GGAGAGGGGTTTACTTTAATCTCACCTTAACGACAGCTCTTGAAATGAAGAGATAATTCACGATACTCTTTATATTTTTCGTTTTCCATTCAATAGTATTTTGCTGTTGTAGAAACTGTCGTTAACCTTGTTCTCTTTATAGAATACTTAGCAGATGAAGAACAAAAAATGAGGTAAGTCAGAAGGACGCTTCCAACAAAAAAGATGTGTTGAATCTGACATTACCCAATACACACCTTTGATATGACCTTGTTAGTTCGTCAGAATAACCCTTCAACTGTAACAACGCGTTAGAGCTAAGGTTGAGCCTCAAGTATAATATTACCACTATAATGATACTTCATTTGCCGCTAGTAAGCTTACCTACAGAACCTTCATCGTATCAAGACCTACACAGTTATTTTTTTTTTTTTTTTTTCACGATTACCAAGTATCTCAATATTGATTCCTGCACAAACTTCAGATTTAGACAGATATAACCGCGTAGACACTACGTGGTCGTGTGTGGACCAAATAATCCTCTAATACGTTATCCCTTTAAAAATTTTAATGTAAGGTCGCGTGGTCTAGTTGGTTACGACATCTGCTTCACACGCAGAAGGTCCCCAGTTCGAGCCTGGGCGTGATCATTTTTTTTTTATCTAGTTTAGCAGAAAAATTGCATACTTAGTCTCATGTATAGCCGAAAGCTTCATATGACTTTCATCTGATGTATACCATGCCCAGCCAAAGAGTGCTTCAATGATCTGTTATCAAAAAAATAAGTCATTATGATGCTTGTTGTCAGCTATGCCATCAATTATTTGGTACGTTCTAGAAAGGATGAAGTAAATTGTTACGTGCCGCTTTACAGCGGCCCAAGGACCGATTCGCTCTCTGAAAAGTTTTTTCCGACTACATGGAAGCGTGAAGTCTTTCAGCCGTTCATTTGAGAAATTGCTAATCAATAGCGCTGCTTACTTCGTCCAATGGTACTCACAAAAGACTGGTGAGGCCACCAGCATTTCTTGTTAGTTGACTTGTTTGAAAAAGAAAAAAAGTACCGCCGCTTTTTGTGGAAACTGTAAGGTTTTGCTGGGGAAAATTCAGACTACAGCCTGCAATTTTAATCCTCTAATGGATAAGCGTCAATGAATCTAACTCTTCAACTTGAGATGTTTCCCTTTTAAGTTCATCCTTTATATTTTCATCACTTCCCCCTCCCTTCTTTGAAACGAAGCTGTACTCGTTAAAGGCTACTAGACCTTAAACCCAGATCAATGTCGCTAGGGTCCATGATCTGAAGTACATCACCACAAGCGACGAGTTATGCAATTCTGCAAATCTGCTAGGTTAGATATAAAGCGACTCAAGTTCAAAGCGTTGTCCCAACAAGACGTGACTTGTGTCCCTATGGTTCGATCGAGTGGGGACGTACAGAAACACTTGTATAAAGGTCCATGCAAATCTTACATTTGTTTCCTTGCATGAGTAAATCTACAATCTCAAGCACGAAGGTCAGCAACAGAGGGCTAATGTTGAAAATGTAATACGGATATACTTATTAAGCCAATATTATTATGTAAAAAGGGGTTCTTTTTGTTGATTTGTGTTATACATTTTCAGCTGACACAGTTTTTTCCTAGACCCCTCTCTCAAATGCTACACAACAGAAGACTGCACTGTGGAGCGAAAGGGCTTCCAACTATGCGAAAAATTTAAGCCATGCCCTTTGATCAACGCATGGAAGTCTCGCAAATGAATTTTAACATCGATGGCTCAGTCTTCAAAGCTGTCCATGTTGTTCAAATGCAATATGCATCGACCCAAGTGCCTAATAGCATTCTTCTCACTGTAGCCTCTGTCAGATCAATCTGCTAATCCATTTTTTTGACATATCTATCTCGATCTTAGAATGTGAGATCGAAAATTGTGTTGAGGGGTCTTCGTCGAAGAAATTGCCCGAATAATTTCGAGTGTTCGGCCAATTGCCATTGTTGGAGAACGCTCGTATTAATTTTTATGTTTTATTTTGAGTTTCCCCGGAAAGCTTCGCACATGAAGGTATCAATTTATTCGAATTGCATATGATACTGACAGCTTTTTCCAAGTACGACAAACAAATGAGTTCCATTTGGCTACCCCAAAAATCCTCAAATCCTCCGAGTCCTTATCTTTGGGAAGTCATTATTCTTAGCAACTCGAGTATAGGTCGGGGAATGATTGAACGGTCAAGCAGTTTTGTGTAAAGTTCTGCATATATACAAAGTGGAGTTGGAGAACTCCTTCGCCATATGAATGCTTAAAATTCCCTCATATCGGCAAACAGTTTGGCCTGAATTTCAAATTCCCATTGATCATCATGGACACTTTGGAGATTCATTCCAAAGACTTTCTTGTCAAATGGATCCACGCTGTCGACAATTCTTCTATAGTGTGGCAAGTTAAACCTTTGAAGAAGTCGATTAATTTCTCCATCTACAAGCGAGCAACCATCAGCGAGAACGACTCACTGAATGAAAACGGCGCAACTCATGACGATCTCGATGATTACCAAGTCCAGGAAAGCACGGCTCACTCCAATGGTCCATTGAATGAGCAAGCGTCGGACGTGTCCCGCTTGAGATCAGGTTCTGTTGCCTCGGTGAACCAAATCACACAACTGAACTCGCTCAGAAATAAATCAAGATCTACGACCTTCTCCAACAGCTTGAATGGCTCCAATTTGGTTCTTGTGAAGGACTATTACAAACTTGTCCCTGGTGAGCTTGTAAGAGGGCACTTCAATGTCGAAAAGGAGGGAATGTATGCTTTCATCTTTGACAATTCTTTCTCAAAGGCTGTCAGCAAGAAAGTTTTGTTCAGTGCCAAACTTGTCAGCAATGTCGACACGTCGTCAATCCCAGTTTCTAACGAAGGTGACCCATTGAAAGAGCCACTGGGGGGGACGGGGGATACCTCCGGTGGGAATCGCCGCTTGCAACTGCTGGACGGTGAAGTCATGATGACTACATTTCTCAAAAGGAGAAGGAAAAAGCTTCAGGGTTTCACCAAGAGGACCTTTGTGTTAGATCTCAAGTACAGCACATTATCGTACTTTAAACTCAACGACAATAAATTGAGAGGCCAGATGCCAATCATCCACTCTATTGTCAGTGCAAATGCGAAAACCAGGGAAATTTTTATTGATTCTGGTATGGAAGTCTGGGATCTCAAGGCACTCAACCAAGAGGACTTTGAGGCTTGGGTGGATGCTTTTGATAAGGTAAAGAAAGGCTCCTACGAGGGTTCATCAGATAAGTCGGCATCCTTTAAACCTATTGACGGTGCTACAACCGCCGGTATCCCACAACTCAGTGAAATTAACCAGCAATTGACAAACTTGTTGAAGGGAAGTCATAATATGAGCCGTGATCAGCTAGAATTTAGGTTGCAAGAAATCTCAACTAGTTTACAATATTTGACTACGTCAAAGAGTCAGATTGACGGCGAATTGACCCCAGTTCTTTCGAACTCTGAATTCTTTGATGCCGAAGAAACATTGGAAACATCATCTCGAGGTGTGGTTTTGATGGATGGTGTAGATCGCAGGCAACAATCGGAGGATGATGATGAGGAAGAGCATGAGGAGTCCGATCTGTCTTCAGATTCGGATTCAGAGGATCTTCCCGCTCCCTCTGTATCTAAAGCTGATACTACTCCACCTCATGAGGGCGAGGACATGGACGGCTCTCTTTACCCGTTGCCTTTAGATCCAATCACCAGAGATCCAGACATTCCAGTTTGCGATCATGAGCCACCTAACTTACTTTCGTTTGTCAGAAAAAATGTTGGAAAAGACCTCTCTTCCATTTCGATGCCTGTGAGTATGAATGAGCCCATCAATATACTTCAGAAGTATGCTGAGCAATTGGAATACTCTGAGATGATCGACAATGCACTTGATGGAACCTATCCCGAGGACTCTGGTGAGCTCATCCTTAGAATTGCAGCCTTTGCCGTGAGCAATTTGTCTTCGTTTCGGAAAAAGGTCAGAAGCACTCGGAAACCCTTCAATCCACTTTTGGGAGAAACTTTTGAATTGGTGAGAGAGGACAAAGGCTTCAGACTCATCAGTGAAAAAGTCTCACACAAGCCTCCAGTTTTTGCAGTGTTTGCGGAGTCAGATCAGTGGACATTTGGTTTCTCTGCTTCGCCATCTCAGAAATTTTGGGGTAAGACGTATGAAGTGAGTACCAAGGGTACAATGAAACTTTCTATCAAGTCTACAGGTGAAGTTTTCACCTGGTCGCAACCCACCAGTCTTTTGAAGAATATCATCGCTGGGGAAAAATACACGGAGCCATCTCTGTCGATCGTTATCAAATCCAGCTCTGGTCAGAAAGCAGTGGTTGATTTCACGAAGGGTGGCATGTTCAGTGGTCGGTCTGAGGATCTCACAATCAAGGCTTACAACTCTGCCAAGAAGCAGTTGCCATATACCGTTGTTGGAAAATGGACAGAGAGCATGGTTCTCAAAACGAACAACACGGAGAAAGAGATTTGGACTGCTGGGAATCTTCTTCCACAATGTGAGAAGAAATTCGGTTTCACAGAGTTTGCGGGTACTTTGAACAAAATAACGTCCATCGAGAACAACAACCTTCCTCCATGCGACTCGAGGTTGAGACCAGATATGAGGGCTTATGAGGTGGGCGATGTCTCGAAAGCCGAAGAACTAAAGATTCAATTAGAAGAAGACCAAAGGTCGCGCCGTGCAGACTTGGAGCTGGCTGGCAAGACCCATAAGCCTTTGTTTTTCAAGCATGTCGGAGACACTTCCCAAGCAGATACTGGAGAATGGATTTACGATGCGGGCGTCAACAGCTATTGGAATAGGAGATCAAAACAGAACTGGAGTGGTGTCCAGCTGTTGTGGTAAGCTGCAAGAAAAAATTCTTTTTCTTGCCAACCTTGAATTTGTTTTTATTAAAGAGTTTGTCATTAAGTCGTACTATCGTCATCAGGTCGTACTATTGTCATTAGAGTTTGAGATTAAGCCGCTCCTCCGAGCTTGAGCGGGACAGCACATCGATGTAGGATTCGTCGCTTTCTGAAAAGTGTATCTGAGGCCGCCGCTGAAAAAGGAGAAATTGAACCTGTTTCCTGAGGCTGTTCACAAGCCCTCTCTGTAGATTCAATTCGTCTTTGATGACGAAATTTTCGTTCACAAGCGAATTCACTAGATTTTCCCTCTCGGTGACGGCATTTCGCTCCCTCTCAACGAAGGGAACAAGCTTTTCCTCAACTTCCAACTTGTGACGCTCGAACTCACAACGAAGCCTGAGATAAGCCTCCTTTCCGTCGTCTCCTATAGAGCCACCGATCTCTTCAATCGGTTCACAATAACCGAGATTAGTGACTCGGCCCAGCATGACAGAGTCAAGTACTTTATTTATCGAATCCTTTAAGTACCTATTATCTGAAGATAGCAGCTTGATCTTCTCTTCGAGCATTTCAAAATGCGGTAAGATTTGGAAAAGCGAACAATTACCCTTGGCTGTATGATTCTCCAAGGAGGGCTGATTATGGCCGATCCAGGTACATCCGATTTCTCTAGCCGGGCAAACGAGTACACCTGTTTTCGAACAATTATCCTTGTGCTTGTTTAAAAGTTTCTGCGGTATCAAGTCATTATCGCATAAATCACAAGTCGTGAAATTGGCTTCACATTCGTTCTCAAGATGATCCGACTCCGTCACTCTGTTAATCGATGTAGAGCATTTTGAACAAGGGAACATTTCATGGACACAGGCATCTGTATTTATAGTGAATCTCCTTTCGACTATTTTCGAGCATCTTGTTCCTTCATCCTCGCATTCTCTCTTATTCAGTTTAAGCGATGACGCAGAAGTAAGGTTCATTATCCCATTGCAAACAACACCGGTAAACCCACAATCATGAATAACGTGTGACTCTAACTCCCACCTTCTCCCTTTCCATTCACATCCTCGATCCTGATTGAGGCATAGAACCATGAGCTCGTCCACCATGTTGGTGATAATCAAAGGAGTGGGAAAAACGTCATGGGAATTCGATTTATCTAGAGGTGTTCTGTCAAGTGGACAAAAACCTTCGTTTTGCGATGGGGAATTTGACATATTCAAACATTCTTCAATACATTCCTGGCAAAATGTGTGGCCACATATCGTCGTCATGGGTTTAATAAACGGCTGCTTGCAAATAGGACAATGCAAATGGTCAGTACAATCCACATAGCGTACGCTTCGCAAATCTGGTTTGGCTGAATCGTTTACCATATCGAAGAGAATATTCATCTTCGAAGGCACTGACATCTCTTGAATGCGTTGAGGATAGTCCGGTTCACCAGTTCGATCAAAATGCAGTCCACTTTAATGCTCCACCGCGGTACGTTTTTACCAAGTTAGTGGTAAACGGAGCCAGTATTCATAACTTACTTGAACCCTCGATCTACAATAGACGACAAGAAAACTCTACAGCGACAAGATGTCGTAAACTTGTCATGATCTCACAGTAGAGAGTGGAGAAAGAATATGCGCATTGGAACCTGGATTATAACAGCAGTTCCTTGTGTTGGTCTTTGATCTGATATTGCAAACTTTAGGTTTGTACGACAAAAAATTACTGCCCTATTTTGTCTGTCTTGTCGTAATAAAGGTTTCCTGGTATATGAGGCATGTGGCGCGAAAGATCAACTTCAATCAAAAGAATCACGACCAATGCTGAAACGACCCCACGATCGGGCATTTTCCGAATCACCACCTGAGGGCCATTCCATCAACCTTCGGCATCGGCAGGCCACCTCGGATGATATTTCAATCTCGCTAGTTAGGATGATCATCACAAGGGAATCACGGCTTCTTAAAACTCGGAAAGATCATATCAGCACCATACTCAAGGAGCACGGCTTAAAGTCTGGTACTAAATTGTCCGAATCGAGGACTGATGCTGATTTGCGAGATATTTTTGGACTCCTGGTTCAATTTGAAAAGACAAATATGGAAGCCAACTCCAACCTAAATGATGAATCGCGGAATTTGGTAAAGGAACTTTTACAACCAGGGAATGATAAAGATCTAACTGTAAGGAACCAGCTGCTGCCAACATTCTTTCTCCCCTCCGACTTGGCACCGGACGGCTCTCTTGATAATCTTCTGCTATTATCTGGGGGGCTTCTTTTGTTGATTGTTTGCATAATCGTAGTTAGTGAGGACAATATTCCAGAAACTTCATTATTAAAAGAGCTCTCCAAATTTGGTCTACCTCAAAATCAAAATTTACTCGTTCCAAGTCTCAACTGCGATATACTTACTATACTTCAAGAACTTGTTAAGAAAGAGTATCTACGGAAAACTGCTCTGGAGAACCAGGATCATCACGCTAAAGAAACCTATTATGGCATTGGATCGAGGACAGCCCGGACTTTTGAAATGCAGGAGCTAAAGAATGTTTTGGGCACAATACTAGGGAGTCATGATAAATGGTCCTCTAAAATAGACGTTTGTTTGGCTCGTTGCTTCCCTACAGGCTGAGGACGTCATTATATAACGAACTACATTTTGGCCTCTGAATTCGTGGAAAAAAAAAAAGTAAAACCAGTACGAATATACCAAATTTTTCTAGAAAATTATTGTAGCTCTTCCCGCCTTTTTCAAAAGGTTATTTTGGCTCTTCCCGCAATTATTCTGTTCGATATGCGAGCAGACACTCAAATCCAGTGCGATACGGACTTGCCAGGAGAATACATGTGAGATTAAACGAGGCGGCGCTCACCGGACGCGACAAAAAATCATGTGCTATAAAGGTGTCCATTTTCGTCTTCCCCCACCATTTTATTCGGATACACACCACTGTCTTTTGAAGAATTTAGATTAGTTTTCAAACTCTTGAGACGTCATGGCTTTGGATACATTGGATTTCGCTGTAATAGCAGGTTTGGCTTTGGCAGTAGCCTTTTATTTCGGAAAGGACTTCATCTTCGGGTCTGATAATGCCACATCAGCTGGCTTTGTCGCTGGTGGCGATGAAAATGATCGTGATTTGGGAGCAACATTGAAGAAGAATAAGAAGAATGCAGTTGTATTTTTCGGCTCGCAAACTGGTACTGCTGAAGACTATGCTACCAAGTTAGCCAAGGAATTACATTCGAAGTTCGGTTTGTCGGTCCTAATTGCCGATATGGCCGATTATGACTACGAGAATTTTCAGGATTTGAATCCAGATTATCTCTACTTTTTCCTTGTTGCAACTTACGGCGAAGGAGAGCCAACAGACAATGCTGTTGAATTTTTTAACTGGTTGGATGGTGATGCTGATCAGATCTCCAATGTCAAGTATACTGTCTTTGGCTTGGGTAATTCCACTTATGAGTTCTACAATGCCATGGGAGCGAAATTGAATGAGCGTTTCGAGGCATTGGGCGCTGAGAGAATCTCGCCATATGGACAAGGCGATGACGGAGTTGGAACCATGGACGAGGACTTTTTGTCCTGGAAGGAAGAATGCTTTGATTCTCTCAAAAACAATTTGGATTTGGAAGAGCGGGAAGTGGAGTACGAGCCTTCTTTTAAATTGATTGAGGAAGACATTCTGGCAACTTCAGAGGGTGTCTCAAATGGTGAGCCAAATAAGGCCTATGTCGACATGAAAAAAGATTTGACTAAGGGTCCATTCGACCACACACATCCCTACTTGGCTCCAATCAAAGAGACGCGCGAGTTGTTCCTGTCCCAGGATCGAGCATGTGTTCATGCCGAGTTCGACATCTCTGACTCAAATCTTAGATACTCAACCGGAGACCATTTGGCAATCTGGCCATCCAACTCCAATGAGAATGTCTTACGCTTCCTCGATTGCTTTGGATATGTCAAGCGCAAAGATGAAGTCTTTTCACTTAAAGCTCTTGACTCCACAGTTCTGATACCATTCCCTGTGCCTATTACGTATGAAGCAGCAGTTAGGCATCATATGGAAATAACAGGCCCAATTTCTAGACAAGCGTTGGCATCCATCGCTCCCTTCGCTCCAAACGAGGAAACCAAAAAGGAAGCTTTGAGATTGGGTTCTGACAAAGCTTTGTTTGCGCAGGAGATCCATGCAAACTACTTGAATCTTTCTGACGCTCTTTTGAAAATCTCAGGTGGTGTTAAATGGGAGACTGTTCCGTTCGTTTTCTTGATTGAGCTCATGCCAAGTTTGCAACCTCGATACTACTCCATCTCTTCCTCCTCGCTTTCTGAGAAAACATCCATTCATGTAACGGCAGTTGTGGAGATAGAGAAACACGGTGATCACACTGTCAGTGGTGTGGCCACTAATTTGCTCAAGGATGTTGAGGTTCATCAAAATGGAACTAAATTTGTCCACAACATCAACTACGATTTGAACGGGCCTCAAAGCAAGTTCAAGGGGTTCAAGTTACCAGTGCATGTGAGGAGATCAACTTTCAAACTACCCTCCAACCCGGCCACTCCAGTCATTTTGGTAGGCCCAGGTACAGGAGTTGCCCCCATGCGTGGCTTTGTAAGGGAACGTGCCAAACTTCAGAAGCAAGATGCCAATGTTACTATTGGAAAAACTCTCTTGTTCTACGGTTGCAGAACTCTGGATGAAGATTTCCTTTACAAAGAAGAATGGCCCGAATACGCGAAACAATTGGGAGACCTGTTCGAGATGGATGTAGCCTTCTCGAGGGAGCTGACAAACAAAGTTTACGTCCAAGATAAAATCTTGGCAAGGGGTCAGATCATAGACGAGCTTTTGAAGACTGGGGCCTACATATATGTATGTGGAGATGCCTCTAAAATGGCTAGAGATGTACAATCAACTTTTGTCAAGATAATCTCCGAACAAAGAGGTCTTTCCGAGGAGAAAGCTGCAGAATTGGTGAGATCTCTCAAGGTGCAGAACCGCTACCAGGAGGATGTCTGGTAATAGAATTGACTTTGTTGACTTTTGAATTTTCGTCATACAAGTGTCACATAATAGATGAGCCTCGACCTTTGTTTCTACTTATAATCTATCTTTAATTGTGTTCGAGTTCCCTCTCTTCCAGGAGAGTTGCACGGGGGCCAGTTCAGGGTACTGTCGTTTTGTAGTGCCTTGACTTGAAGTTGTACCTCTTGCCAATAATTCAAGCGAAGGGGCGATTTTGGATCTAAATCGAACACAGTAGGTGTGACACTGGTCTCGAGATTAGCTGATACTTCCAATCTAAGAAATAACCCAACATCTCTAAGGGACATCCCCCGCAAGATTTCATCCAGCAAGTCGTCCTCAGTCTGTATAGTTGAAAGGTCTGGAACGTCGTATTTCATCTGCAAATTTTGTAGATGCTGAAAGATATTGTTATTGGTGTTCAAATATTTAGCAAGTATTCTTTCCATAGAGATACCGAATTGTTCGAATTTTTCCTTTACCAGTTCAGGAATGGGTGCCATCAAGTCAGATACTCCCTTCGAAATTCTTGACTTAATGACTAGGTCAAGAGGACAAAAGTGACGCTTCTCGTTGCGACTGTGAGCAAGACAGCAATTACGGCAATAAATTGATTGGCTTAGAGTCAACCACTTTGGCTTCAATTCCAAAATAACGATTTTACTTGCGTGCAGAGCATCTAATTGCTCAATGTGTAGCTTGCCATGTTTCGAGAGCTCAATACTCAAAGTGCAGCTGCTTATCAAATTCTTCACAACAAGTGCCGTGTAATCATCCACAATATCAAATGCACTTTTGAGATGGGTGAAGAGCTCACTGTCCAAATCGAATACTTGATATTCTATTAGACATTCCCCAAGTTCATCTCTGAATTCCTCTGTAAATTTGAACACCTCCATATTTCGAATGAGTCGAGTATGACATTTCTGACGTCTCAAGCGCATAAGTTTGTCACTGAAGTACTCTCCACTGCCATGATATTGTAGAAGTAGATTAGCACCTCCTTTTGCGAAGAACTGCCAATCATGTGGCACTGAGCTGTGGTCCAAGACATTCTTCCGCCCAAGAGCTGTCATACTGTAACTATAATATAACCTGGCCCAGTAAATTTGACGAAATCGAGGGTACTTTTCAGAGTATCGCGTTTGAGGGCTAAATTCCAAAACCTATGGAGGCTATGAAAAGAAGGCCATTCGGCGTAATGGTGATTAGAGGAGGTATGTTCACGGTTCTTGTGAACATTACAGACATCATGAGAGACGTCTGAATGCCGGAGCGCGTTAAAACCGATTACGCAATTTGGACTTACCAGGACGCTTTCCGAACTTTCAAGATATACTTTGTATAGTCCATTCGTACCGTTCAACACAATGTCACTATCCCCATTCATCACGTACGTCGATGACGTAGTTTCATATACTGGATTTTCTCCGGTCCAGGCAACCAAGGTTACAGGATTTGGAAACCTCCAAACATCCGATCCAGACACCCTCAAGATATGGTAGTGGGCATTGGACTTTGTCGCTGAAACAATAAACGAGGTCCCCACCTCGGACGTTAGTTGATCGAAATTGAATTTGTTTATGGATTCCTGCCCCATCTTGAGATATTTGAAGTCCTCGTTGCAAGCAGTGATACATGCCTCCCGCACTTTCAAAACCGATCTTCTGGGCAAATCAACTTTGACAGATTGATTGTTGTTGTTGATCGGGTGTATTACCGATTTGGCAACAAAGGGACCTACGCCAGTAACTTTTGGTGAAGTCAAAATCTGGTAGGAGAGTTTTCGTGAAAACTGAAGCATATCTGGAGTTTTGTTAATCTCAAATCGTAGACTATTATGCCAAATTTGTGCGAAAATTGAGCGGACAGCGGATAATCCAAAAGTATACGTTTGTTACCTCCCAATCAAATTTTAAATCGTCAAAGACAAGTCTTTTATTTAAACATGTGAATGAAAGAGAAAAAGAGAAAAAGAGAAAACAAAAAAAAAAAAAAAAAAACTAAAGACCGAATCAAAATTGATCAGTTCTGTTGGTGTTCGCAGAATTCCATTCAGTCCATCAAAAGAAACCAGCTTTCTCCCCAGTTTTTCATCCAACTTTAGATGGTCTGTTGTCTCGAACGAGAGATCTTGTGTCAATCAATTCATCGACCAATCGACCAATCTTCTCAAACCTGAAATTGTTATGAACCGAAGACGATATTACGGAAGTGTGCGATTAATAGAAATTTTTGTAAGATTTGCTAACATGGATAGATGTGATACAATCAGATTGAGGCCAGCAGACAAAAAAAAAAAAAAAAAAAAAGCCCCATTACCTGTGACAATTCTAATATCAACCTAGCACAATTCCATTTATTCAAGCCCTTCGATGTATCTTGCTACGATCTCATCGCAGTCCGTGATAGTCTTTAAGCTTGCGCTCTCCAAAAATGTTTCATCGATACCTTGACCTATCCTCATTGCAGCCGAGAAGTATCTCCAAAATCGTGACCCAATTTTCAAATCATGGATCATCTGATCTGAGCTGACACTATTTGAGCTTGCTAGATTGATATTAAAGGTTGGATTCGACTGTTGCATGACGTTACTGACCAAATGATCGAATGATCTTTGCCTTCCTTCACTGTCTTCGCAAGCTTGCTCCAGTAGTTTGAAGCAGCCATCGAGATATATTTCACACATGACACCAAGAAGGGTATTGTTTGCGTCCTTGAAGAAGGGTAATTGATCAACAATAGAATACCACAGCCGTCTATTCTCAAATTGAAACTTCAATGTTTTGTGTCTGGTCAAAACATCTACCAAGCAAATCCTTATTGAGTCTCCAATAAGTTCTCTCACAAACAGATGATGGCTCCTGAAGCTCAATAAACTCCTTGAAATGGGCCCTTGATAATTTATAGGATTTATGCTCAATTTCTGTAACGAGAACACTCTTGAAATAATTGAAATGTGGAGTTTTTGCTCTTCACGCAACTGGGAAAAGGCTTGATCTCCAAACTTAAAGATATTAGCAACCCCTTGATACTTCAATTCCGTGGAAAAGAAATCGAAAATCTTGAGCTTGACCAATATTAATAAAACAAAAATCTCTTCAATGAAGTGGTCTTCCATTTCAGGATATTTCAGAATGAGCTCCTTGGATACTTCAATCAAAAAAGAAGCGAGGTTATGTCCCACTTCCCCCGAATTTAATAAGACGAGACCCCTGAGCACGGAAGTTGAGACTATATCGATGTTGTCGTCACGGTCTTCACCGTTCTTGGATTTCTCTTCGAGTAAAGGACACTTGCTCGAGAAAGTCTTAAGAGAGAATGATTTGGATTCTTTAGAAAGACTCCACGAGCTCAACCTAGCCGACATGGACATGCTCATTCTAGAATTAAGATCGAACATCTCTTCTGTAAACCACAAGCTGACAGGAATGCGTTTCACCTGGTAATACCTGGCCAAAAGCTGGGTGACTAAATTGAATTGTGCATCTAGCACTTGGGTTGCGAGTCTCGATGAAACGAGTTTTTTGTAATCCTCACAGCGTCCTCCCTCTAAAGGTGGACGTATGTCCAAATGATTGAGCGCAATTGCCTCCAAAACTTTAGACGGCATGAGACCAACAGACAAGTAATAATAAAGCTCTGATGGAAGTCGTTGAGAAACGACATCATGAACCTCTGATGGGATCTTGAGCCCAATTGGAAGCGCCGGGTCTTGTTCAGGGTCTTGCTCGTCCTTCACATCTGTTTGGAACACGGACAGCTCATCACTCAATCGGCCAGCCTCAATCTCAGAGATGTAAAGTTTGACTTCTCCGTCAAGATTCATCACAGGCATATATTTGATAGCGGCAAGTCCCTTGCAATAAAGGTCCATCAAATCATCATCGTTGAAAGCTGCAACATACGAGTAGAGGCTTGACTCATTTTGAAAAGTTTTGTACTGATACATGAGGTCCAACACATACTTAAAGTGAGTCATTTGTTGGAACTGAGAAGCAGGGTTATGCTTCGGCATCGGTGGCAAGGTTGAAAAAGTGACGGGCTGGGAGGAGCAACCAACAATAATGCTGATATCGATTAGCTGACTTTCAGTCAAGTTCAACTCGTTAAGAACTTTATGCTTGTCGACGAAGCGAAAATCTTTGGAAAGGAATTCCATACCCAATATGAACTTGTCAATCTGAGTGAGCAAAAGGTCTGTAGATCCATATATACAATCAATTATACCATTGTGAAACATGTAGGACAATTGATGGGATGGATCACTGGGGCACACAATGAAATCAATGTCATACTCGATGAAGTATTTGATAAGATCGTTGGTCATTGGGCGAGGTGAGATCAGGTCTGAATGGAGTCGGAACGACTCATTCAAATGAACGGAGGGGTTACTTGATGGGCTGGACCATTTAGTATGTAGCCTGGTCCATGTGATTTCTCTATGTTTTTCAGCTTCGGTGAGATCGTTGGTAGTAAGTGAATCGCTTTTCTGGATATGCAAGCCTGGAAAAACAAATAATGGTCTGATATTAAACTCCCGAAAAACAGCTAAGTCTGACTCAATGTAAGCTTTTAATGAGACGGGTATACCACCTATTCCCAGAAGTAATTGCTCCTTTTTGTATGTATATATCCGACCCAAGTAGTGCTCCACATCAATTCCAAGCGTTGCGTTTTGCAAGATCTCGACGGGGCTAACACTAACAAGCTTCCTTTCAAATAAGAATGATTCTAAAGAGTTAATTGGCATGGCTATGACTAGGGGAGATCTGACGCAGAGTCTCGCTTTATTGACGTGTTGATGCCAATCCATCGCACATGCAGGTCTATCATTTGTTGAATCTGCTCATTCACGTGACTGTAAGACACGTGAATGTCATTAACAATTGGAAGGACGATTAAGTCAGTGGAAGAGTCTCCCAGAGTAGACAGACTAGCAGGAGTATAGGTACACTGGACCATAGTTTAACGAAGGGAAATATAATAAGATATACACAGAAGAGTCACAGTAGTATAACACGTGACCTGTGGTATGTGGATTTCCTCTAAGGAAAGAAACACAAGGACGGACGAAGTCCACCTATTTATATTCAGAAGAATTAGGCTTCCCAAGTAAGTTTTCATAACCATGAAGATGGAGCAAAGCCGGGACTCGGATTCCCTAGCTCAGAACCCTAAGTGACAATATGCAATACGCAATTCTCACTTCAACACTCCCCTTGAAGGCTAGCTCTTCTGGGTACTCAATTTCATCCCTAAACCTTCTAGGTGTTTCTTGATAAGAACTTCACTCAATGCCTTAGTGAGAGGATCAGCATGGTTCAATGCGGACTTAATATACAGGACCTCCACAATCTTCGCGTGGACAGCCTGTCTCACATAGCTCAAATGCCTGTCAACCGTGCGGTTGTAATGCAGCGGGGAAATAGATCCAGTTCCTCGTATGACAGACAAGGCGGCACTGTTGTCATTCCATATAGTAATAGTCTCCTGTTGAAATTTCAACTCTTTAGTAAGTTCCTTAAGCCATTCAGCTTCAAAGACAGCTGAGTAAATAGCGGTGAGTTCAGCAACCTGAGTACTCGTTGCAACAGTAGTTTGTTTCTTTGATGACCATAAAATGGGGGCTCCATTGAAAAAGTAAACCCTGGCAGACTGAGCATTTGCTGTTCTCCAACTAGCATCAACATGGCAGTGAACTTGGGGTTGCGTTTTGAACTTGTAATGTAAACCGAGATTGATAGTTCCTTTGAGATACGCAAACACATTCATGGCAATTTTCATGTGTCTCTCTTTGGGGTTCTTCAGGTATTTGGCTAACAATGAAGTAACATAGGCAATGTCAGCACGCACGGTGTTGGAAGCGTGAACAAATGTACCTATCATTTGTCTGTATCGAGCTGGGTCTTTGGCATCTGGTTCATTCTCTAAATCGACAGAGTGACGGTCTTCAACAGTTGGAGCAAGAAACCTCTCCAGTTCTTGACTGAGCGGTAATCCTTTAGGTTTGATGCTGTTTAATCCAAACTTGTCAAGCATTTTCCCAATATAAGACTTGAGATTCATCACAATTCCAGTCAGCTCATAACAAAGATCAATGTTCAAGTACTTCTTAGCGATACCCATATCTTTCACTTTATACTTCTTGAAAATAGCAGCTTTCACATCCTTGATAGTCTTAGGATCCTCACTCAGAAGGAGGATGTCGTCCACATAGAGACCAAGAAGTGTAAGTTTACCATTCTTGTGAATGAAGTACAAGCAAGGTTCCAACTCACTTCTAGTGAAACCTAGTGTTTGGAGAAACTTGTTGATATTCTCGTTCCAGACAAGCGGTGCCTGTTTCAAACCATACACAGCTTTGTGCAATTTTAGAACGTGATTAGGAAAGCGAGGATCTTTGAAACCTTCTGGTTGTTCCATATAGATCTCTTCCTTAAGTTCTCCGTTGAGGAAAGCGGTCTTAACATCCATCTGATGAATGGATAACGTCTTAGCGGCAGCAATAGCGACAAACAAACGCACACTTGCGTATTTAATGACGGGAGCATAGGTCTCCTCAAAATCAATTCCTTGTATCTGTGTATACCCCATAGCAACAAGTCGTGCTTTAAATAATTCAAAATCCTTAATAGTGAAAACCCATCTGCATTTCACAGTTTTCATACCTGGTGTCCTTTCAACTAATGTAAATGTCCCGTTTTCTTTGAATGCTTTCATTTCTTCGCAACAAGCTGTGCGCCAATTGGCACGCTCCGCAGTTCTCATTGCTTGTTTGTAGTTGTAAGGGTAGGTAGTATCATTATCAGTTTCAGCAGCATGAAGAGTTTCTTCCGTGTCGATGACAACATTGTCTTGCAGAGTCTTCAATTTGCTATCCAATAGTTTCGAGTGGGTATTATCGATTAACCGATTACTGACGTTGCGAACTCTGAGACATCTCTGTAATGTGTCAGGTCGTAAATGATTCGAGTATTCTGGATCAGTCGCAACCACCAATCGCGTGATCTTCGAGAATTTGCGTTTCAGGTTAAGAATCGTCAGTGCCGGTGTTCCAGAAGAATTTGTGGATTCGAGTTCTTGAGATTCGGATGAAGTCTCGGATTGAGAATGAGAATCAGATTCATTCTCAGTGTCGGTATCATTTCTCCCCTTGATAATGGCCAGTTGATCAGAAGAGTCCGACAGGGGCGGAATTGTCGAGGGAGTAGACAGAGTTTTACCTCTGGGTTTGCCAGTATGCAAATCCTTGTAGTGACCAGCCATAAGACCTCTGGTGGTACCTCTGGTGGGATTGCGTCGAGATGGCGGCTCGGAGGGTTTGGTCGCAGCCGGAGGGGTGTCAGGCAAGGGTGTTGCATCCACCTTTTTCATATCGAAACCAAACTTAAAATCATCAGGTGCTAACACAGGAGCAAGTGCAGCAGTACTGGGTTCCGGCGATGAAGGCAGCCCGGTCGGCCCAGTAGTGGTCAGAGTAGTCTCCCCTTCATCCGTAGGTGTCTCCCCTTGCTGAGATGAACTCGGGGTCGAAGAAGGAGTCTCCAAACCAGTTTGGTGGGATGGCAACTTAGCATCCAAATCATATCCCAAAATTGGAGCGTCGGTAGGGGGGTCCGATGAGAGGTCACGACGCGGCTTCTTGTTCGTAAGTCTATCATACGGATAAGATTCATCAACATCAAGCTCTGATGATTCAGAGTCAGATGCAGCGTCTCGGAGATAAACGGCATCTTCTCGTAATTCAGCTTTGTCAAGAGTTTGTTCGGCATCCGACATCTCATCGTCCTCATTGTCTGTGTCAGATTCGGTTTCGCCTGGGATATACTCTTCATCTTCAGCATCATCAGTAGAGTTAGTTTGATGAATCGGTAAAAATTCTTGGTCTTGCGTCATAACATGGGTAACAGCTGATGGCAGATAATCACCAGTAGGCCCAGATTTCAGACCAATGAACTTTTCAATAACTTGAGCAAGTTCAACTTTATGCTTCTTGTGATTTGAACGTTTTATCAGAATAGGTGGTTGTGGAGACGTAAGCAATGATTTGAGTGAGTTAAATTCTTCACTTGTAACCGAGTCAGTGAGCGCTTTCCAATTCCATTGGAATTCTTCGCGTAGAGCAATCCGTACTCCTCTTTGTTCATAGCCGAGTAACATAACTTAACTCGTTCATCTGCACCAGTAAGGGGAATTAAGCCCTTAATATAATGGACAAGGCTGACATCAAATGATTCGACCCACTTCGTAAACTCATAGTACCAAGCGTCAAGGCTGCTAGGACCATCAAAAACTATGGGTATAGTAGACTTCGCTTCAAGGCGCATAACCTGTTGAATCTGCTCATTCACGTGACTGTAAGACACGTGAATGTCATTAACAATTGGAAGGACGATTAAGTCAGTGGAAGAGTCTCCCAGAGTAGACAGACTAGCAGGAGTATAGGTACACTGGACCATAGTTTAACGAAGGGAAATATAATAAGATATACACAGAAGAGTCACAGTAGTATAACACGTGACCTGTGGTATGTGGATTTCCTCTAAGGAAAGAAACACAAGGACGGACGAAGTCCACCTATTTATATTCAGAAGAATTAGGCTTCCCAAGTAAGTTTTCATAACCATGAAGATGGAGCAAAGCCGGGACTCGGATTCCCTAGCTCAGAACCCTAAGTGACAATATGCAATACGCAATTCTCACTTCAACATCATTCGTAACGCAAAAGGACATGGTTTGGTCATCTTTCTAGTACTTTCAAATTCAGGCAGAATTGTTACATCTTGGGACATGAGTAGAAGCTTCCAAGTTTTTAAGAAGCCTTGAACTGAAGCCGTATGAACCAAGAGAGCGAGATGTTTCCTTGTGACAGCTGATGATGAAGAGTATGAGGAGGGAGAATCGTCAACCGGTATTTGAGTGAATCTTGGGTTAATTGAGCTCAGTCTGGTGCTAAAATTCAACACAACAGAGCTTCGGCGGGAATCAAATTTCTGCTACGACGACATCATTTTGAAGAAATATTTAACTTGACTTTTTTTGGCCCGAGATCTGAGCAAAAAATCAATACTCCTCGAGGATAGTTTTTCCATCGAATTGTTTTGCATGATCAAGTACCTTTTCTCACTAGGAAAGATTGGATCGTTAGTAGATTGGGGTCCGAAAGACGATAAGATCTAAACTTTCGAGAAATGCTCAGCTAGAGCTCATTGAGAATCCAATTCAAGATTAGGGGACAGAAGGCCGGTACCTGCTGACATTGCAGTAAAACGTCTTGACTTGACGTTCATTTTTAGAAATGGACGCGTTGTACTGATCTTATGGCGATATATCTATTTGATCATGGGTCTACGTTTCCATGCATAAGCGCAAGTCACAAGTTGATCCAGTGTAATAAGCTACCCTACAATTCGGAGGATGCTATTCAGCTCCACTACCACGGGCGGGAAAAAATTACTGGTGGCATGAGCAAGGATTTCTGGGGCCAATGCATTTGAACTTAATGTTAACTACTGTAGGCACTACATTCTCTTTATTTAAGACGTCTTTATTGGTTCGTCAAGATCGTGTAATACAAGAACTGGGTCTAACAAGAGCGTTCTCGTACTTCAAGACAAACCACATACCCTCCTTCTGCCTCAACAAGACAGGAATCTTTATGCCCACCCAGTATCAAGTAACATTCTTACTATGTAATTTCGGTGCATAGTTTTGAACGCTGCGACACCGATCCCAAAGTGAATTGCATTGGATGTCTTCAACAAGAAATAAAAAAAAACCAGAATTTTAGAAGACTTCCGGACAGTTTGATTGAAAGACAAGCTGCGCTTCTCTGAACCACTTTTGTGTAGTGAAAGAAGTTGAAGGCTACTATAAAAATCTGTAATTACATGAAGCCGTTGGAGAGAAAATTTTATATTCTCGCATCCTCCTAAAATTCCCACCCTTCGGCCCTAGGGCGCACAAGGTACAATAAGAAACGACTAAACGTGTCATCAAACCGGATAAGCGGTACACACCCATGAATGTAATATTTTCATTACCCATTCCTGTCAATCGCCAAACAAAACTAGGAGACAAATGGAGTACAAGGCGCTCGAATTAGAGAAGTAACTCAGTTTGATCGCGGGTTTCACCGTATATTGCATGTAGAAAAACAGCAAAACAAAACTGTAAGCATCACCACAGCCTGCTGATGGCTTCATTATTACAAGAATTGAGTTGGATTTAAATGGAGTGCAGACGAGCCAAGGTAAATGATACTGACCCGGGTTAGAGTAAAATACAGATCACAAGGATGGAGTGATCGGTGATTTTATCACAGTCCTCCATCTACGAGTGCATTGATTATGAGTTTTGTTCAGGTTCTGACATGAGTAATTTTCTTCATTCGGTATTCCTATAATGACAGATGGGTTGCGCGAAATAAAGAGAGCGCCACTTTATCAGCGGAAGCGTGGTTGCCCAGGGTGAGAGGTTGTACATGAAAACGTAGCGGTTGCGATCAATTGACTATGACGGGAGCTTAGTTATTTAGTTTCATACTGAAAGAAAATTATATAAAAATGTTTTGATCTTGTGTAATAGTGAGAGGTAAATTATAGGTCTTATTTTTGACGAATAAATTTGTCACTCATTGCTGTTACCAATGGAGGCAATTCTCTCTTTGCTTTTGGTGTTGTTGCAACTTTTTGGAATTGCGTTGTTGTTTTCTACCATTGGTGAAGTTCTATTTAGTTACTCGAGTATGATTATTAATGTGATCAGAATGCTAGTCAACATTTTTATCGCAGTACCATTTGTTAATTGATTCTGATGGACATTCTGCTAGACAATCAGCGAGGCGTAGCTATGACTGAACTTGTTCAGCTGTATGTTTTTGAGTTCTTTTGGTTAAATGCGAGGATAAGAGTGAAGTTTTGATGACGACTTCTTATGGAGACTCATTGTAATTCTCATTGATTCTGATGTAGTTATTCGCGTAGAGTCTTGTGTCAGCGATGATTTAAGTCAGTACTTATTGTGAACCTTCTGGTACCAATTGGCTTTGAATTCAGTTAATGAATAGGCTTGTGTGTTGAAGCTTTTTGACATATTGTTGCGGCGGTTCTTATCGTTATGAAACACGTAGGATGTTTTGTATTGTCGAATATTTGCCGTTAAAATTTTTAACTAAAGAAAGTCACAGGTCTCGTAAAGGAGATTCTTTCTAATATATGTCGCCTTGCTATCATTTGAAACATAACTTAATTAGAATTTACAATCTGCCTGTGGCTATGACGGGATGGCAGATCACATCATCCGTTGTAATTGGGTGAATTGTGTTTGCTTATGCATTTGTGCGGATGCCATTAGAGTAATGTGTTGTAGAGTATGTCTACCTGAAGGTCGTGTTAAATCTATAGACTCGTGTAACATTCAAATGGAATCAGGAGGGGCATATCCGTTGTTCGTTTATTAGTCGTTTAAAATTGAAGGCACGCCAGAAGTCACGAGTTACTAAATAGATTATTTGCACAAATCGTTAGGTCTATTTTTAATTAGGCAGTGTATAAGTTTAGCAAGCGGTCCCATTGACCCTTTTTGTGTAGCATGGCAAGAACAAGTACAACAGGTAGTTGCCAGACTGAACACCAAAACAATTTCCGAGCAGCAGTATTGGCAGCTTCGATAGCCTGCGTCGAAATTTTGGCATGTAATTTATGATTTATATTTTGTTGCTTCCAGAACCGAAATGCCAAAATTGTAAGCCACGCATTTGCAATCGAGGAATCTAGCGAAAAAACCCAATCAGTCACACCAAAATAGCTCAACCCGAAACAAATGGGAAACATAAGTAATGAATATCGTAAAGCTACCCTCGCATTTAGTCTTGGGTTTTCCGCTGCCGTCATGATGTATCCTGCTTGTTTGTATTGAGCAGCGATGTTGTGAGAAAGAGCATTGAAATGTGGGAATTGCCATGCATAAAGCAAGGAGGCGAGACACCATGCTCCAGGGTGTAGTAGGGATGACGATGCTGCCCAGCCCATTAACGGAGGAATTGCTCCAACGATAGCACCAACCCACGTATTCAAGATGGATTTACGCTTGAGCGATGTATAACACCATCCATATAGAACAATGTTGGAGAGTCCCAAGGCTGCTACCACTGGATTAACACCAAAGTACAAGATCGCAGATCCAATGGAGCCCGTCATAGCAGCAAACCTGAATGCTTGTTGCGGGGAAATGATACCTTTAACAACAGGTCTTGAGGAAGTCCTGATCATCCTCCTGTCAAACTCAGGTTCTCGACCCATGTTTATTGCATTAGCCGAGCCTGAACATAGCGCAGTCCCTACTGTTAAAAGAGCTAGTTCTGAAATGCTAGCTGTATTGGGGGATATTGCATATGAACAAATAGAACTTAACGTGACAAGAACTGTTAAGTTTGGTTTCGTTAGCTTGATGTATTGCAGGAGCAACTTGTTGTTTGTCGAATTTCGAGCTCTCTTGGATTTTGCAGTTGGTGCAACTTGAAACGGGAGTTCTTGAGGTGTCTTACATTCAAGCTTCGACAGAGTTTTTGCAAAATGATGATTCTGCGACAGTCTCTCTAGTAAGCCCTTCGTCTGTAAAGATTGTTGGTTTGGTTTAAATGGACGCAGCTGAAACACATTCTGGAGAAAATGATTGGAGAAGAGCTCGTCGAAGCATTTCAGTAAGCGAGGATTCAGAACAAAGTACTCTATTCGTGAGGCTCGTCCCAGTAGCCAGACTGATGAACTTCTGACTAGCATATTGACCACTTGTGCGTTACGACTGCTCTTCGATAGATTATTGTGAGATTTGTGTGCGCACTACCATATATTCGTCCTACGAAGATGCTTATGGGATATATATTCTTATCCGGCCTTTATTTAGAATCTTTGTCAATTTTCCTTGTTTGACTTGTTAACTAACTTATTCTCGATCAAATCGTGAAATGCAATAATTGACCTTACCAAGGTACTCACGTACACCATCATCATTTGATCATTTGTCTTGACCATGAACGCGGCCGTTAATGGGTCAGAATTTTCCTCTCTGGCATCGGTGCTAGAGATCAATGGATTGGATTGCACGCTTTCGTCGTTTAAAATTTGAGGCAAAAGGTTGAAAACGTTTTGCATTTTTCCCAATATAGAGTGATTAATTGGCATTGCACCACTGTAGACTTTCTCGAGGTAGCTTGAAATCTCGCGTAGCTTGTGATGCAAGCCAAGGAGGGATTTGTATGTCTCCGTTGCCTTGAGTGTTAAATTTCCGGCCGCCTGATCACGAATGTCACGAAGAAGATGTTCAACGCCAATTTCTTCAGCTTCTTCAGCTTCAATAAGGGAAGGCACATGGACAAAGGTTCTCTCCGCTTTAGACCCGTCATGCTTTATGTCATCTACTGCAAAGTATGCGTCGGTAGGAATTCCCACTGAACGTGGCTGGACATCAACAATTACTAGCAAGGGATTCGAGGTATATCTTTTAAATACGTCATTGATTTTCAAATCAGATGCACGCAATTTCGGACCCGAATGATACCATCCAATGAGTTTTTCCTTAGCGTTGATTTTCTTGAACATCTCACCCATAGATTCAATGAAGTTGTGGTCTAGGAACCAAACTGATGAGTTCTTCTCATCCTCCTCAAACGGTATTGCGTAAGAGTTGGTGACATTTATGGTGTCTTTAGACTGGTGCCCCAAAAGGACACCCACCACCCTCTTTTTCGAATCTTTTGCCACTCGATCGTAATGGTCAGCAACAGACAAAAGCACGAGAGGTGATACAGTTACACACTTATTCATGGTCAGCAATTCCAGATTTGTGGAGGGCATTTCGAATGTATGTAGTAAAACCTCGTTCGTGCCTTTGGAAGTTTGCCTTCTTGCCATTCGCGTGCACGTGACACCAAAAGGATCAACTACTTCTCCATAATTATCGCACTGATTGCAAAATTCTCTACTGCAGTCTCCTCGCAGATAACAAGTGCTGCTCTTATCCGTGGGGTTGTAACTTGAATACACATGTTTGGCCAAGTGGTGATAGGTCCCCCTGGATCGGGCAAATCGACTTACTGCTATGGTATGTTCCAATTTTTGTCCGCACTAGGTCGAAAGTGTTCTATAGTCAATCTAGATCCAGCAAATGAGTACCAGGTCTACCCGAACTGTGCCCTTGATATACGTGACTTTATCTCCTGTGAAGCGATCATGAAAGAAAGTGGATTAGGACCCAACGGAGCTCTACTACACGCACTTGAAACTCTTGTGGATGATGACTTATTGATATCTTCCATGGCTAAACTAAGTAGGTCTGGAAGCTACCTTCTTTTCGATTGCCCCGGACAAGTTGAGGTTTTTACACATCAAGAATCATTGTACCGCATTTTCGGCAAACTATCCAGTGAACACAGTGCTAGATTATGTGTCGTCTCTTTGATCGACTCCATTTACTTGACATCTGCATCCCAATATATATCCATTACACTCTTGAGTTTACGATCTATGTTGCAGCTTGGTTTACCTCAGATTAATGTAATCTCAAAAATTGACAAATTAGCCGAGTATAACTCGTTAGAGTTCCCACTTGACTTTTATGTTAAGGTGCAAGATCTTCAGCTTCTTCTACCAAAAATCGAAAGTGAGCTGGATAGGAGGCTCGGTGGAAATTTCATGAAGCTTACAGAATGCATAGCGGACATGGTGGAAGATTTCGGGCTTGTCACCTACGAGGTGTTAGCTGTTGAAGACAAACAATCGATGATCAACTTACTCGAGAAGATTGATCAGACGAATGGGTACATTCATGGAACAAGCGAGATAGGTGGTGATTCAGTTTGGCACGATGCATCGAGAGTGAGACTACATAATAAGGAAGACGTGACTTTGCAAGAGCGTTGGATCGATCACAAAGCACATTACGACGCTTTACCACAGACAGAAATGTTTGACCATTTGAAAGAACATGATTAGACTATCGCGATAGAAATATCGGCTTTGCTTCTTTAAAAAATCGTTCGGACTAACGATGGATGGAACTCTCTGCAACTACTCTTGAATTCTGTCACGTGCATTGAATAGGTAAGTATTTGAAAATACTCTTCTTAGGTCTCGAAATTTCAGGAGGGAATTTGATGACTATGTTGAAGATGTACGTAGCGTTCATTGCAAAACCACATTCGCCTCTTGAGCATACTCGTCATTAGGGTATGTTTTGAGAAGACTTAATAACCTCTCCGTGTGAAGTTTTATTTTACTATCCAATTCTGGTAGCATCCGTTTGGTCTCCTCGCATACCTCGGTGTGTTTTTTTAATAAAATCTCGTCCGCATTCCTGTTTTTTAAAGACTCTAGTTCGATTTCCTGTCCTTTTAACTCTTTGATGTAAGACTCTTTCTCTTTCTTGAGACGTTGAAGAGCTTTTACAGCTATTTCAAGAGGCAGTGGCGCCATGTCTAGGAAAAGTGACTTTTAATTGGTTCTTCTAACTTGTTGAGTTTGAGCGCGAAAAGCATAAAATCGGGGGATTCAAGTTGAGGTAAATTAGAATCGGGGCACTTTCCAAGCTCGTATCATACAATTGACCTTTTCGGTTTCAAGTTCCAAAAAGTGAAAGGCAAGTCAGTGCAACGATAGCGAAGGATATCAATTTATATATTATATAATGTGGCTCTCACTCAGCAAATCTAGAAGGGAATGCAGAAACGAATATAGGTTTAATTATGTGAACTATGTTCTATGATGATCACACTATATATATATATATATATATATATTCATATATTTAATGATACATTCGTAAAACAACAGTGTCAGATGAAGTCGATTGGATCGCCATGGGGAGAGCAGGAATCCGACCTCATTGCAAGCGCGCATCGAAGGTGTGCAAGTTTTGAGAAACATGTTACTGACGAATGAAACTAGAAATACCTATAAGTTACAAATCGAAGCCAATGTCATAGCAGAAAGATTAAGAAAAATCGTCGAAAGCAAGCTTGCTATTGAAAACTCAACAAACACACATCCCGACTGCTTAGTTCCCATTGGCTCGTCACACTTCATCAAAGCAAGTAAGTCCGATTCTCTACGAATGCTCGAGAACTTCCAACGGAGACTAGTGAAGAAGTTAGCTCATCACCAGCATTATGCAGAATTGAAAACAAGCTCTGATATCCCTGCTGATGCCGCTCATCACGACACCGAGGCACATGCAGTTGAGATATTGGAGGAGCTTGATGATAATGGTGACATCATACGTGCAACTTTGAATGGCAAGAGCATCGAAGAGCTCCACGATTCCCGTCCTTCAAGTCTTAATGCCCACTCTCTCCGAGATTCACAAACAAGCAGACAGATAAAACGTGAAAGGAACGGAGGAAAGGACTCAACCCATATTCCAGGCCAATTTGACTCCAGTAATTCCAATATTATAGAGTTTGAGGTGCTAGCGCAAGAACTATCTGATAACCAAGCCAATGAGGGTGATGCAGACGCTTCCGATTACGACGAATATATTCTAAATGGGCCTAAGGATCTAGAGGAAGAGTCCAATGTTTCTGACGACAATGACAGTGATGATTCGTACGCGGACAACGTGCTCTTTGGGAATGGAATGTCCCTAATTCCAGCTCACGGCTCAATCGAAAAAAGACTAAAGGAGGAGCTCCGAAAGCTTGGTCTGGCTAAAAAGACAAGCTCGCCAAAAGGTGAAAAAACAGTGAGGTTTGATGATACCCTCCATATCAAAACAATAGCAGAGGAAGTTGATGAAAACCGCGGTAAAATACTGAGATTCAGGAGGGAGAACTCGGGGCGTTCAAGCGATGACGCTCACAGGTTCTCAAATCCTGATAGTGTGGTGAAGGAAGAAATAGTGGAAAGGCCAACTGAGAGACCATTTCTCAAAGATCAGATTGAGATGTACGATAGTGCTTTGACGCACGAGAATCAATCATTCCTAGCGAACAATACTGAAAATGAGATGTTAAAGCTTGTGCAAGGATATTACAATGCTCTTTATAACACAGAAGAGTGTCCCTCGGGTCCAATTATCGATAACGTGACCGATCTCTGTTCTCTTGAGGGCAGCGAATTGGGGGACAAAATGCTGGACTCAAACTCCGAGACGGAAAATGTCGCTCGCAAGTCAGATATCGCTCAAGGGTCAACGAAGGTGATAGAAGACAAGGTGATCGAAAGACTGGATACCGTTCTGGGTGACCCTGAAAGCTTTTTTACATCGGAGATTGAGAATGACTATATGTTGTTGAAAAAGAGGATGGCGTTGAAGGAGCGATCGACCGACGAGTCCGAAGTTGTCGAAGAGCCGAGGAAATATGCACAAAGCCGTTTTGCGAGATCAATGCGACATTCGAAGAGTGGGTAGGCGTGCCTTTTCCCCAATTCTAGTAGAGATAAAGATAATTTGATGAGCTTGATGTTGAAGAGGAGGCCAGAAATTGATTTACCGATGAGTTTGATCGCTAAGTTTTAGTTCTACCTTGGTCGAATTCGAATCACAAGAAATGGGTGTCTTAACCGCTCCGAGAAAATTCAACAGTCTCCGGTGATTTATACAGGTTGCATTTATCCGGTCCGAATCCGTGGAAGAGTTCATTCATGAGAATCCTAGGAAAATTCTCATCACTTCTTTACTCACAGTCGCAATATAATAGTTCGCCCATATCAATGCCACAAATAGAGATTCCGACCCCTCGCATCGTCATAGCGAAATTTTGTTGGCTTACCCAAAACTCCTGCCCGCGCATCTTGTTGTTCACCACCTGCATATGCCAACGCCAGACCCCTCGGTCTCGCTTAGGGCGATGTATTTAACTGCACACATTCCTTGCTCATATTCTATTTAGAAGCACTTGACTAGAGAAAGTTAAAGTTCGCAAGAGCCATAAGCAATATAAATTCACATGTCGTCGATATTAAAGCAGCGTGTTCGGTATGCTCCGTACCTACAAAAGTTGCGTAAACCGGAGGAATGCATCGAATTGTTCAAGCACGGCCAATACTTGGGTTGGTCTGGTTTTACTGGAGTGGGTGCGCCGAAGGTGATACCTGCGGCGTTAGTGAACCATGTTGAGAAGAATAGTTTGCAAGGAAAGCTTGCTTTCAATCTTTTTGTTGGCGCGTCCGCTGGCCCTGAAGAGTCTAGATGGGCAGATAATTCCATGATTTTACGCAGATCCCCTCATCAAGTAGGGAAACCAATTGCAAAGGCGATCAATGAAGGCAGAACCAAGTTCTTTGATAAGCACTTGTCGATGTTTCCTCAAGATTTAACCTACGGGTTCTATACGAAGGAGAAGAGCAATGATCTTCTTGACTTCACTATAATCGAAGCAACTGCCATCAAGGAGGATGGCTCTATTGTACCCGGTCCCGCGGTTGGTGCCTCCCCAGAGATGTTGTCTGTGTCCGACAAGATCATAATTGAAGTGAATACAAAGACTCCGTCTTTCGAGGGAATTCATGATATAGATTTGCCATTGAACCCACCCTTCAGGCCACCTTACCCTCACGTTACCGCTGACTACAGAGTGGGTCGCACTTCTATTCCAGTTGACCCCTCTAGAGTCGTTGCCATTGTGGAGTCGACTACGAGAGACAAAGTCCCACCAAACACCCCCTCGGACGCTTCTTCACAACAGATCGGAGCTCACCTTATTGAGTTTTTTGAGCACGAAGTGAAAATGGGGAGGCTTCCAAAAAACCTTTTACCATTACAATCTGGTATCGGAAACATTGCAAACGCTGTCGTGGAAGGATTGGCAGAGTCCAATTTCAAGAACCTCTCTGTCTGGACAGAAGTTTTGCAAGATTCATTTTTAGATTTTTTCGCGTCCGGAAGCTTAGATTTTGCAACCGCAACCTCTATTCGCTTGACTGAGGCAGGATTCGAGAGATTTGACAAACATTGGGATGAGTTCTCAAAGAAATTATGTTTGAGGTCACAAGTGGTTTCCAACTCGCCCGAAATCATCAGGCGACTCGGAGTCATCGCCATGAATACACCAGTGGAAGTGGATATGTATGCACACGCGAACTCTACAAATGTGATGGGATCAAGAATGCTTAATGGTCTCGGAGGTTCTGCCGACTTTTTGAGAAATGCTAAACTTTCGATCATGCATACCCCGTCCGCAAGACCGTCGAAGACAGATTCTACCGGAGTCTCATGCATTGTTCCATTTGCTACTCATGTTGATCAGACGGAGCATGATCTCGATGTGATTGTGACGGAACAAGGTCTAGCCGACCTTAGAGGTATGTGCCCTAGGGAAAGGGCAGTGGAAATTATCGAAAAGTGCTCTCATCCTGACTATAAAGACCAGCTCAGAGACTATTTCGATAGGGCATGTTTCTATGCCGAGAAGGCCAAATGTTTGCACGAGCCACACATTTTACAAAATGCATTCAAGATGCATTTGAATTTGCAAGCAAATGGTACTATGAAATTAGATTCCTGGGATTAGTTACTGGATCTCAGATATCAGTTCTTATAGATAGCCTATGACACAAATAAATTTGGCAGGCAACTCGCGAGAATAAGCGCGCACGTGACGTAGTTCTTTCTAGAAGATTTTACTGTCCAAGTCAGTTAGACTCGCAAAGGCATTTGGTCACCAGGGATGTTATTCAGTACGAATTTAAGGAGGTTTTGCTTACAAGCGACAAAGCTTTCACCTCACTATGGAATCAAGAGCTTTCATTCCAGTGCAGCTAGATGTATCAGCTTTGATCCCTACAAAGTCCTAGGGGTAGAGAAGTCTGCAAGCTCATCTGATATCAAGAAAGCCTATTATCAACTTGTGAAAAAGTATCATCCCGATGTGAACAAAGATAAAGATTCAGAAAAGCGGTTTCACAAGATCCAAGAGTCTTACGAGCTCCTCAGCAATAAGGAAAAGCGTTCACAATATGATCAATTCGGTGCAGCTGGGTTTGATGCAAATGGTAATGCCAATCCTTTCGGGGGTAATCCTTTTGCATCACATTCGGGTAACCCATTTGGTGGTGGGCAAGGTAATCCGTTTGGGGGAATGGGTTTTGATTTCGAAGATCTCTTCAAGCAAGCATTTACCGGCAGTGGAAATGCTCGAGGCTCCGGTGGTCAAAGCCCTTTTGTAACGAGGCATGTTGGCGACAACATTGAAGTCCTTAAGTCAATTTCGTTTCGAGAATCTATTTTCGGGACTAAAATCAACTTGAATTATAAAGCAGTTGATTCTTGTGTCAGCTGCTCAGGCTCAGGACTCAAAACGGGCAAGAAGAAAACGACTTGTACCAGCTGCCATGGCACAGGTCAAACGACCCACATAATAGGTGGATTTCATATGGCATCTACATGCTCAAAATGCGCCGGCTCTGGAGTTGTAATCAATAAAGCAGATGAGTGTTCGAGCTGCAATGGCGCAGGTGTGAAAGAGGTTCCGAAATCGAAACTGGTGGATTTGCCATGTGGTATAGCAGATGGTTCTCGATTACGGATCCCAGGTGGCGGTGACGCCCCATTCGCATCCAAAGATCCCTACAGCCAAATCGTTCATGGCGATCTCATAGTTCGCGTACATGTTAAGAGAGACCCCGTTTTCGCCAGAGAAAATAACGACATCACAATAACGCGTGAAATTCCAATGACCACAGCTGCCTTAGGAGGAGAGATTATCGTACCCACAATCGATGGTCAAAATGTAAAATTAAAAGTCAGATCAGGCGTGCAATCAGGAAGAAAGCTTACCGTCCCACAAAAAGGTGTTCCAATTAACAGAAACATGGAAAATAGAGGAGATATGGTGATCAATCTCAATGTCAAAACACCTGTACCGACAACACCATTGCAAAAAGCCTTGCTCGAAGCTTTGGCGGACTCTTTCGCAGAGAAGACCGCTGAGAGCGCGACGCCAGAGAGTTCTCATGACCAACCTAACTTCGGTGCACTGAAAGAATCTACAGACGAGTTAGCTCACACATCTAAATTGGAAAGCATTAAGAATATCCTAGGGAAGTTCTTCAACTTTAAGGACGAGAAGCCTTAGAACATCTTGTATATAGCTGCTACAGAGAAATATAGAGGCACTCAATAAAAAGCTCGCTATTTTTTTTGATTGAGAAGTTGACAGACTTCTTCAGCTAAAGAGGTTGTCTTGACTCTCACCAAATATATCAGGAAGCTACCATCCTGATTCGCTGATGGGACCTTGATGTTCGTTCCAGTCGTCACGTAATTGACTTCAGATAACAAAAGCGCATTAAGAATAACTCTCGAACTGCCCTCGGAGCGTACTAAAATTCGACATCTCTTCTCCGATTGAAGCACTTTTAACTCACCTACACCAACGTTGGTGTAAGGTTCTTGCTTATTGTGGGTGTTGAGAAGAAAGACCTTGCTTTTACAAGCGAACAACAATGATTCCTCTTCCTCGCCCGTAATAACGCTGTCAACCTTCTGCGTCAATTTCGTTACAGGCTCAAAAACTGGACTATTACCTCCTGAGGGCTCTTCATAGGAGTCATCATCATTTGCTTTTTGTGAGGTCGAGGTATTAAGTACATCACCAGTAGACTGAAGGTTTTGTGACGGCCCTTCCGATGTTGTTGAAGGTTTATTGTGGCTGTCTAGTTTGAATATAGGATCGCTGATCGTCTTATTGAATGTAAATGCTGGACCCTCACCGTTGGAACTATTATTGGAAATAGTATCATGGAGTTTGAATTTCGAATTGTGGAATAATGTTGCAGTTGATGCTTTTTGGGGAAGCTTCGGAATTGAGTTACTTGAGCCTGACAGCGCTTGCTGACGGTCTGACGTGAGACTATTTTGCATCGCAAGACTTTTGTGGTACTCCACATACTTCAATGCAATAGGTGTGAGGTCCAAAGCATCCGCATCGACCGCTTCTTGAATCGATTGCTTGAACTGTTGATTTAATGCCAAAACTTTAGCAGTCTTGGTTGCATGCAAACTATTTGGTGGTTTTTGAAATTGAAAGTTTCTTCCACGAGGTTTCAAGATTTTTCTCTGAGCTAGCACATCTTCAGATGCCAAAGATGGGGCTTCAATCACCTCGGCTTCATCTAAAGCTGTGTCTTTTGCAAGCTGTTCTTCGGCCACTCGTTTCACCATTAGCTGGAATCTATTCGTGACATTGGATGGATGGTTGCGCGCTTTGAATAGGGCTATAGCCCTACTATCACGAGCGATCATCTAGGTTTGGGATCCACTAGATTTCACGTGACTAGGTGCGAAGTCCACCTCTTGCAAAAAATCTTCTCTTCGAATTCTCCTTCTCTCCTAGAACTGCAACAACAGTAGAAAGGTATGTGAATCAAGATCGAAAGTGTGAACCACTCTGTCCTCCTCGAAGCAACCAGGACTTTGACGAACTATACTAACAAAAAAGATGGCCCCAAAGATCCAACAAACTAAGGCCGCCAAGGCTGCTGCTGCTTTGGCTGGTGGTAAGAAAGGTAAGAAGAAGTGGAACAAGGGTAAGGTCAAGGACAAGGCTCAGCACGTTGTCATCTTGGACCAAGAGAAGTACGACAGAATCATGAAGGAAGTCCCCGGCTTCAAGTTCGTGTCTGTCTCCGTTTTGGTTGACAGATTGAAGATTGGTGGCTCCTTGGCCAGAATTGCCTTGAGACATTTGGAGGACGACGGTGTCATCAAGCCCGTTTCCAAGCACTCTAAGCAAGCTATCTACACTCGTGCCTAATGACTTCAATCGATTTAATAAATTCGTTGTAAATTTGAGAACTGCACACCCATACGTAGCGTAGGCGTCCAACCCCAATTCTCCGCGTAGATAAAATCTCGTGGTAAGAACTCTTTTGGCGAACAGTACTGGAGGAGCCATAGATGTTGCTTTCATTTACACGAACTATCCAGAAGCGGTCGTTTGTCTCTTTTCCATCGTCGCTCAACCCTATACATACATATCGCTTGTCGAGGCGTGTCACCATTCATAAGAGCGTGATTTTTGATGTTGTTTCCGATGTTACAAATTACAAAACATTCATACCGTTTGTGAATGATTCCTTCGTTCAAGATCTTGACCCAACGACCAAATTGCCTAATAAGGCTGGTTTTTCTATTGGATGGCATGATTATGATGAGCATATGGTATGCGATGTTGACTGCCGCAAAGACGAGCGTGTCTTCTCCAGAGTTCTTTCGTCATTGGTATTTGACCACCTCGAGAATGAATGGACCTTCACCTCAGTAAAACCTGATTGTGGACAATTACCGATAACTCAAGTGAACCTTCATCTACAATACCGCTTTAAAAATCCGCTTCTAAATTCATTATCATCAATATTCCAATCTCAGGTGAGCCAAATCATGATAGATTCTTTCCTCAAACAAGCAATTGCAATGCAAGAGAAAGCACGCCGATCATAAACGTTGATCTCAAAGCTCCCTGGGAACTAGCAGATGCGAGCCAACGACATATTCCCGCAATTTGTGACTAGGTGTGCAAACAGGTGGAGACTGACCGGAGCCATGATGTTTCGTGAAAGAAAGACATCTTTTTCTTCTCGGGAAATTGCCTTTAGCCGATATATCGGGCGAAACATTCGTAAAGATCCCTGTTGTTTCATCTGCTCTTTGCTTTAATCCAGCTTGGTTCCCATAATATCTCATATCGACAGGAGACATGTAGGTTGCTTTAACTAATGTCTTGTTTATCCAAGGTTCATCAAAGCACAAGGGCTTTATACACTTGATGCAATTTTTCAAAAATCTTCGTTCACTTTCAGAACTTTCGGGAATGACAAAGGGTTTTTCGTTCAAATCGGCCTCCTCTATATCTGAAGATTTCTTCAATGGCGCTGCTTGTAGTGGATCGTACGTTGGAATATCAATGCGATCACCAACATCCATGTCACCGTCGACCTCGTCATCTTCGTCATCCTCATCTTCATCATCTTCGTCTGAGCGGTGGAGATCGCTCAAGTTACTAATATCTTCGTTTCCATCGTCCAAAGGCTGTGCCAGCTTGTCTGAGATGCTTGTTTCATTACTGTCCTCATTCGCAGCTGCCTCCTTAGCATCTGAGCTGCCCTGAGAGGATAGGCGGTTTGTTGTAGCACTAAAACCCCGTTCGATAGGATTGCTGGGACTGATACGCTGCTTGACATGGAAAAACGTGCTTCGAAACCCGCTTGTAGTGCTTGGCATCGAGCTAGATCTCATCCGCCTATTGCGTTGAAGGCTGTGATTTGATGCGTTACTTAGCGAGCAACTCTGTCCTCTCCGCCGACGAGGAACGGTTCTGTATTTTGGCGCTTCCCTTTCCAGGATGTCTGCAGCAACATCCTGGCCAACGGAGAGACCGAGATGCCATTCGATTAAATCCCGTGTCAGAAAGAAGTGTAAGAGTAACTGTTCGTTCTCTAGACGAAGTCTAAGAACATTCGGCTTTTTAGAGTAGTCGCTCGCTAGCCCCACCTTCGCATGTAAAAGGCTGTAAGATCTGAGAAGGCGCAGCTGGAAATCTGGCTTTGCGAATTTTGAAGCAGAACCTTGAGCTTCGTCCTTACCCCGTGTCTTTGCTAAGATGCCTAGCTGAACACAGAGAGAGAAAAAAGATATGTCTTTCGGCGTCGTGAATTGTGACGTTAAAAGGTCTTTGTGAAGAACTTTTGGTTCGCAATTTTGCTCCTCTAAACGGCAAAAGCTCATGATGTAAGACTCAAGATGTGAGGGAATGCGATATATGTTTACCTGCGTTGAGTTAAGCTCTATGATCACGTTCTTCCACGATCGACTAGACGCTGGTTGGAACGGGGATACCCACTCAATCTTGCGAGCAACGATTCCAATTTTGTAGGCCGCAGGTGTGTAAGATGGTAAGTCATCAGAGGGATGAGCGTTATCCAGTACTGGAAATCTAGGACAGCCTCCTGGTGGCAAGGTGTGATACTGAGGTGGGAACACGGGAGTAGGTTCCACAATCTGCAAATATTGTTCCTGACACAGATAATCTGGCTGTTGTGCTAATGGGTCAAATGAATGATGCCGATTATGGCTAAGAGATGCAGTTGACTCGTGTGTGGAATGCGTCGTGGGCGTAGTAAGCGGCACACTATTAGCATCATCGAGAGTAGCTGTTGAGAGTAAACTTGTCAAATCAAGCTCACTCTCCAGAGACTCCGACTCCAGAAACTTTGAGGCAGATACTGGACCCGCGTTATGAACCTCATGGTCTTCTTTCCAAAGAACCGACTCCTGCTGTCCGCAACTTAGACTAGGGAGGTTCGGGACTCGAATCATCGTTGATGTATCTCTCTATGAATTAAAAAAAGACGCTTATTTCTGAAAAGCTGAAATTTGAAAAGAGTCGTATTGCTCAGAAAGAACAAACTGAGGAGCAAATATGAAGCTTTAGGCGCAGTTCTCCTCGTGAAAGCTGATCTGAGACAGTTGCTTGCCTTATTCCACAAGAAAAGAACAGTCTCACTTATCGATAAATAGTGGTGAGTTTCCAGAGAGGATAGTGACCAAGTCTTAAAGGAGCAATAGAACGAGGAAGGTAGGTGTCGCGATCAGGTGCTACATAAGACGACTTCTATCGGGCTGTGGATCGATCGGAACCACCGTGATCATATAATGCAGGAACTCATAGAATAGGAGATAAACTTTCCCTCGCAGACCCGTACATACACCTTTGCGCCGATAAGCCGAGTGATTGTTGCTCATTGTTTTTTGTGAAGCCTTGCTATTCATACTGAATTGTTTTTATGAGATAACCAGTTACAGCATCGTGCTTACTTTTATTGGCAAAGGTTGAAATGCTTCGGAGCTTAAGGGGCCCGAGCCGTAAGTCGTGTTATGCTTAATGGCTCACTTCGCTTATGGTTTTATGAAGGACCCAGTGGTCTGACTGCAAGAATTGAAACCTCGGCAGCGATGCTGGCATGGAATGTCACGCGCTCCATTACCACTTCTCTTACCAATATGATCTCAACTGCCCACTTGTAACCATCTATTATGGCCTAGTTTTTGACTCGACGGCAAAAAGAAAAAAAAAAAAATAGAAGTTTGTCGCCAGGAACAAAAACTACTGCCAAGTTCAACAAAGGAGAGCCATGGAAGTAGAAAATCAGAGCTATCATTTGCATACTGCACATAAAAAACCAACTTCCATTATCCGATACCCGCTCCCGAAAAACCGTTTATGTGATGCGTTTAATATTGAAAACGGCACGTAGAATTAATCTAGTGCGATGAGCGACGACTTGAATACCCATGTTCGACGCGCTGTGTCAATATGGAGCCAATTAAGCGAGCCCAATCGATTGGAGAAGTTGCTCGAGGTCTTACGTTCTTTGATTGCGATTACTGCGGAGGAATCGACCGGTGAATTAAAGCTTTCCTTGCATGACAGGAATACCATTCATGATATCTTGAAAGCGGAGTGTGATACAGAAGATGAATCTAGGTGCATCATGCTCTTGAGGGTACAAAGAGGTTTGGTGATATTCTTGAGAAATATACTGATCAACTCGTCCGTCGATGCTTATATGACATTGGAGTGTTTCTGTTTGCATTGGAATAGGATTCTGCTGTATCAAACGCAAACCCTACAGTGTTGGGGTAGCAAAACTCTCAATTCATATATGGAATTATTAGCAAACTTGCTGAACAATGATCTCGATTTTGAAGGCATCAACGATTATACGGAAACATTTCTCGCCTTGAACGCAACTCACAAAGCTTGGAGGTCCTCCGAATTCCTTCATCCTTTTACAATTTTTCTTAAAAATTGGAGTGCAGAAGCTGATTTCAGCATGCACATAATGGCAATGGCAGACACTTCATTGCTAGATATGTTGATCGAGAAAACAAACCATCTTCAGAAGAAATCAAAGCTTTCGATTTTTGATGAGAATTTCATTCACATTATGTTGGCCATCATTTCTCACGATAGTTTTGTGGAATTTTCACTCAATTATCAGAAGACCCATACCGTTGAGTCGTTTACCGCTTTCATTAAAGCTTGCCAACTCGTTCTCACTTCGGACTCCAATTTGAGTCCAACGATTTTTAAATATTTGAAGTGGACTAGAAGCATGTTATTGCTTGTGACGGAAGAGACAATAAGGATCCTCGATGCCGCCACAGCGATCGGGACAATAGAGGCTATTAATAATCAAACCACCTCAGTCCTCGACATTATGTCTCACATTCTTCAATCAGCTGCTGCAGTAGATCATAAAGATGAGATTGTTGAAACGTTAGGAAGACTTCTCAAGGAGACGCACCAGAAGTGCGCCGTCAAATCGCTTCGAAATGAGTCCAGTTCGAGGCGAGAAGGTGTCGTTTATCCAAACGTCAAGTCACTTTGCATGGAGAACATTGGATACCTTTGTTTCAAAGATCCGAGGGTGCAAAATAAATTGCGAGAGTCACACATTCTTGAAATAATCTTGTCAAACTGCATTATTGACGACTATAATCCTTTTTTGAAGGAATATTCCATCGTTTGCATCAAATATGCGTTGGAGAATAACCAGAGTAATCAGGAATTAATCGCCAGATTAGAGGCCAAGCAAGTTGTGGATGATTCTATTTTAGAGAAGACTGGATATAGAGCGGTCATCGAAAATGGGGAGATAAAACTTCAAAGTGGAGAAAACCATGTGTCCAAAATCACTCGCCCAACTTCTCCACTATAATCTCCTTGACTTTTTCAACGGACGCCTCGTCGACTAATGAGATGCGCTTTTTCTTCGTCGATAAAGCCTTAAGTTCGGTAGGGAGAACATCTCTCTCAAAAGAATAGCCTTCAACAGCCAGTAAAGCTTTGTCGACAACCTCAGCAAATTTAGCCGGATGAGCCGTAGCCAAAGATATATAGTTAGCGTTTCTTTCGGGGTCTTTCGCGGCAAATGAAAGTGAAGTCCTGACACCAATAGCGGAATGAGGATCCAACACGTATTTTGACGGATGAGCATCGTAGATATTTTTGATTGTCTCAATTGTTTCTTCGTCGCTCACTCGATTGGAGTCAAAATCGCTTCTCGCTTGTTCCACCACAGAGGCGTCGGCTGTGAATGATCCATCTGACTTCAATTGTGACATCCAAGAGTTGAGAATCCTTCCTGCTTCCTTGTCATCTTGCTTTGTGAGATTTTGGCGGATGTAGTACCACAACAATCTCTCAAAATTCGAGGAGATGAGAATATCCATGGCCGGGGAATACGTGGCTTTCACCTCACCGCTCCTTTCATACCTGCCATGCTTCAAGAATCTGTCCAAAATGTCATTCTCGTTCGTGGCAATTATCAACTTGTCGACAGGTAATCCCATTGACTTGGCATAAAATCCCGCGAGAATATCACCGAAATTTCCAGATGGGACAACAAATCGAACTTTCTTCCCGTCAGAACTGCCAACCAATTTCATGAGTTGGAAATACGAGTAAAAGTAATATGTCATCTGGGCCAAAATACGAGCCCAATTGATAGAATTCACAGCACCAACACTGTACTTCTTGTCGAAATCTCTGTCGCCAAATATCTGTTTGACAATGTCTTGACAGTCATCGAAGGTACCTTTCACTGAAAGTGTATGTACATTCAGATCCTCCACTGTCGTCATTTGCTCTTCCTGAATTGGTGAAACACGACCTGTAGGGTACAATATGAACACAGACACATTTTTCTTGCCACGCAAACCGTAGATGGCAGCAGAACCAGTGTCACCAGATGTTGCACCTACCACTGTGATTCTCTGTTTTTTGGTCTCTTCAGACACCAGCTTATTGCGTTTCTCCAAAAAGTATTCAAAAAGATTTCCCACAAATTGTAAAGCCACATCCTTAAAAGCGTATGTGGGACCGTGAAATAATTCTAAAAGAAAGATCTGCTTATCAGCATCCAATGTTTTGAGTGGGGTGACCTCTGGTTCCCTAAATGTCGAGTAGGACTTTTCAATCAAAATACTGAGGTCATTATCTGGGATGTCGGTGGTCGAAATGTATAATCTCATAATTTTAAAAGCCAACTGTTGAAAATCGAGATTCTTCCAGTCTTCAATAAAACCTTTGTCTAAGGTCGGAATTGAGGATGGGACAAAGAGACCACCGTCATGGGCCAAACCCGTCATGACAACATCCTCAAACGATAAGGATTCCTCCAGAGCGGAACGTGTTGATCTGTAAGAAGCAGAGCTCATATCGAAAGTAAAGAGAAAGTCCCGCGGCACTATTTCACGAATTTTGATAAACGATATTTTTTCATCAAGTATGTTGAGTCACCGGCACGTGATTGAAGACCTGATAACAAGTCAATATACAGGATTATTGAATCGACTTTAGATTCACGAAATGATGAAACAGAGATCTATTTCAATTTTTTTGAACTGAATGAGCCTAACTGCGCCGCTTCCTATAGTGGAGTACATTGTCCCGGGTCCAGGAACGATTTCATGCTCGTTGTGTACTGTATACCGAGTGAGCTATCGCCATAAATGTGAGCTGAAAATTTATCCCGGATGCATACAATCCCGGCTTCAATGGTGACATGGTGTTCTACAACTCGTCTCAAATGAGTTATGGTAGGCCCTTGATTCGCCGGTTTCTTCGAAGGTCGCATTATAACTCCCTTTCTAACGGTGTGAAAAGTTATCACCAACTGGGCACAGCTATTGATGTATCTAACCAGTATAGCAGGAGTACACGATCCTCAGGCATTGAGAGCATCATGTCATCCATTGACTCTGATAATGTGAAAGCTATGTTTGGATATGGTTCTGGTGTTATGCCCCAAGACGGCTACGGTGATTCAAAACCGCAGGTGGATGTGATCATAATCGCCGAAAACACCAAAGAGTTCCATAAAGCAAACTTGGCTAGATTCCCCAGTCATTATTCAGCCATTAAAGCTTTGGGGATAGATTCGATTCAAAAGGTCCAAAATTGGGGTGCGGGGGTATATTTCAACCCGTATGTCTCGATGTCTACTGGCAATGGAAGTGAGCGTATGGTTAAGTATGGGGTAATCTCTTATGAGAACGCAAAAAAGGACATCTGTGAATGGTCATCCATGTACATTGCTGGTAGACTCCAGAAGCCGGTAAGGCATTATAAAATAGACGACTCCTTGTTAGCGGCTAATCAATTCAATTTGAGCAGCGCCTTCAATTTAGCCCTCTTGCTTTCAGATACGCCTCACAGGAAGAAGTCTCTTCTGCATCTTGATCTTTTCCATTCTATTGTACTGTTGTCATACATGGGTGATCCGAGAATGCTTATAGGCGGAGAGAATCCCAACAAAGCGAAAAATATTGTCACGAAACAAAAATCCGAAATCAGGAGTCTTTATCACCCTTTCATACGAAATGCCCTCAAGAGAAATGTGCTACGTCAAGTTGAGGAATCCAATTTTAATTTGCTTTTAAGTACTCATTCGAAGGCGGAGCTATTGAGTGAACTTCCCCATCAATTCAAAAAACGCCTTTTTGAAATATTCACATCATACCGAGATCGTCTTCGATGCGAGGTGTCCGGAAATTTTACGAATGGCCAAAATGATGAGCTACTAGAATTAATCGCTAATGATAACCATTTAATTCCTTTGCTAGTGAAAACTGTTCGAAAAACTATATGTGAGCCAGCTCTTAAACAGTCAATTAAAGGCTTGGCCACAGCTGGGTTACTCAAATCTGGGAAATATGCCTGGGAAAAGAAGATCAAAAGTTGGAAGTGATGATAATAGTGAAAGCTTAGATCTGGATAGCCCCTATTAAATCGAGTTCTGAAGCGTCTTTTAACGTTCGGCTACATGACAAATTGTTTATCTAGCGCATGAAGTGACATCCGATCATCTGAATTGTAGTTAATGGGCAATCTCACTAGTGGTAGGGGTATGGTGTTGGAAGTGAAGCTATTGGGATCTTGGGCTGGTATTCGTGTTTCTTTTAGGCATTTGGGGTTATGTTTGCTATCTAATCCTGGAAATAAAGCGACCTTTGGGAGGTTGTGATAGATGCTGGGGTCTGTGAAAGCATTTGAAGTGTTTGACGAGGTTGTCACCAGTGTCATGTTGTCACGATCTCTATCGATCAACGGATTTTGAGGCAAAGCTGTATTCGGAGAGTCGACATGATGAGACTGTTCTACTGGCTGCACTGAATGCTGATTAGCCAATGTGATTTCAAAAGCAGCAGCGTTTGAACGTGAGTTTTGTGTGTTCTGGACCCAAGGGCCATGTCGTGGGGATTGAGAACATCGTGTTCCACCCTGATTGTGTTTCGCCTCGTCAGTGGTTACTTGTAGCATATTAGGGGATGTGTATAGGTATCTCTGGTTACGATCTGTCAAATATGGACTCTTACAGAAGCTGGGAGTCCCGATATTCGTCCGGCTGTCAATAATGTCACTCAGATAGATCTCGGGATGAAGGGAAAGCATGGAAAGCGATGGATCGTTAGAGGGTGTTAGATCAACTAGGTACCCGTCCATGCGCCTCAGGGGACTGTAGTATGCTATAAGATGCAACTTAGTATTCTGCTTAGTTGTGAGTGAGAATATCTGCTTTATGAGACCATTGTCCTTGGCATTTCTCGATTCGTCAAGCTCATGGTAAGTCAAAAAAGGACTTTTCACTTTTGAAGCCAGCCATATTTTTCCATCAGTCCATCTTTTCATTCCACATTCGTTCTCATTCCAGACATACACAGCGCCTGCGCAAATTTGCTGTCTTTCTTCACTGTTAAGTCTTCTTTTCACACATGGTAATATCAGACATCGGGTCCCTTCGAGAACGAGTAAAGCATCTTGTAGATTTAGAATCAGTCCAAAATATGTTCTTTGGACAGATGTGGGGGCATTTTTTGACGCGAGCATTTCGATGGAATTAAGCCGTTTGGAAGGTTTTAATTCACTTTCAGTGAATATATCATTCAAGCATTCAGAAGGAGCGTGGGGTTACAAAAAAATTTAAAGAGGTAGCGAAGTCGTGTATATTTATTCATCGTCAAGTGTAGCTAAGTTCTGTTCTTGAGGTTGTAGGACAGACAATACTACGCCCATGCAGCTGGATGCTGCAAAACAGTTTACGCATCGCACAAGCCGCATGCGACATCTATTATACCGCATTTTCAAGACTGGTCAATCATTTCATACTTTCAAATCGAATCTGTGGTTTGGCTTGTAGCTTGGCACTTATGAAAGGAGCGTTTCAACAAACTTTAAAAAGCCAAGTTGCGAGTCTTCACGAAACCCCCTAAATGACCGTTAGTATTACCTTTAGCGAACAAATGATTCGGAGGCTTTACATCTACTCCCATCTGTTAGTATAGCTAGCATCACAGTATGTGATTTCTGTGTGGTCTTGGATTCAAGGCAACGCATGCGCTGTACAGGGACATATGTCTCTGTGCTTCACTTTGCAACCACGTATTTAAGTCATACTGTTGTAAGAGTCAATTTTTGCGAAATGTCCAATTTCGATCTCGCCAATTCACCCTGCACCCCGTGGTGACTGAAGCACATTAAACATGAGGTAGTCGAATACCCCCGGACAAATAGAAAGTCAGGGACCGCGGAATTGTTGGCCGCTTCTGCAGAGTAAAAAGAAGGTGCTGCGACTAGATCTTTCAACTGAGAAATGCTATTGTACGAGACTTTTATATGCGAGTGCAAATTCGCGCATGTAGGTTGTCAGGTAACGACATGCTGGTGGGAAGAATATACAGTACGGAAATAATTTGCATACTGCTTATCGTCCGGGGCAACGCCTCTAGTTAATTACAAGATCAGCAAAACTCTGGCAAGAGGCTCTCTTATTGAAATTCTCTTTATATCACTATTCAGTTGTTTGCCTTGAGAAATTGCAGTCTGTCAGAATTGTCATACCAAGAATATAAACCGAAAACTGACTATATCAATCATCACTTTGAAAAGAATCTTTTTACATCAACCGCCTGAGCTAGAGCGCGGTTTCAAAGAGGGGCTTTTTTAAATTGTAGAAGCGGGGTTGCTTATTTGTTCAAGTTTGATACACAATTCCAAGGATTAGTCTATTTGGCGAATGATTGAATAGTACCAACTAGAAGCAGTTATCATCAGCGAAGTGATTCTAAAATTATCAAAGGACATCGTTCAATGGCGTTATTGGACAACATTTCTGAGCCTTTTGCCTATGGCATAAATCACAATAACAATTGGACATGTTTTATTTTCTTAATTTTTTCTTCTCCTCACACAGTTTGAGCATCTGCTGCTTTATGAGAATTAATCAGTTGTGACTGCATACAAGTCTACCTTAATACGGCCGGGTATACTCGGACATCGACAACAAGAAGTACAATTCAAAATGCCCCCTAGAGCACAGCATAGAGACCCTGCAAGTGACGCTGAATCCAAATCTATCCCCACTTCGAGATCCGCTAACAAGGCCCGGAATGCCGTCGCAGTGGCGGCTCAACAGGAGCTTCTATCGAAGCATATTCATTCAAACGGCCCACATGATAAACCTCGGATTGATGTGTTGGATTTCAATACATTTGATGATACTACCCTTGAAAGATACAATCGGAAGTTAGGTATCGAGTGCCCTGCAATCCAAAAGATCGACGAGGATATCCTACGGTCTGATATTGGCAAGAAAACATATACTGCGAGAAATTCGAGTCAGACTATGAGTATTTCGAAACCAGAAATGGCCTCCTTTTGTCAGAAGCATTTCATCAATAGCCCTTGCCGAGAAAATGAGATTATTTCCAATTTTTTGTACAAAGTTAAGAATGATGATAAAGAATTCAAACTCACGTTCTAACACAGTTTCGACGTCAGAGATATCCGCTTTCTATTCTGAATATGTTGTCATACTACTAATGGGGATGACTTTCTTTCAATCCTCCAATCGTCCAGGATCAAATTCATGCGGGCTCTATTCCAATTGTTTCGATGTATCTGTGTGTCTGTGTCTGTGTCCGTGTGTGACACGTCTCTTGTATTATTGAGACAGGCATCAGGAAACCATATTATGCTTTGCAATGATTTTTTGCTTCCTACTTTATATTGGAGTTCTCATAGTTGAATATCGTTCAATATATAAGTTCGATGATGAAATCGCTGAAATGGTCAGCGTTTCCAACGTGTAGCGCTTTAATTGCCCAAAATTTGAATATGGTTTACTAATTCGTTTGTTCAACTGGTGGATAGTGCTTGTACGCTAGAAGGTTCATCCGATTAGGATGGAATTGCGGCGCGTAACTGAGAACGCGCTTGTAGTGTTTCACACCAAGATTAACTGAGAATCGCAAACGAACACTATGAATTCTACTACGTTAGCAATTCACTGGCACGATGAAAACCAGCCGGTTTATAGTGCTGATTGCCAGCTGAGGAGAGATGGCCAGCCAGCGAGATTAGCGACTGGGGGTGGTGACAACAATGTTCGAATTTGGAAAGTTCAACACCCTGATGATCCTACAAATGTCCATGAGACAACCGTTAATTATCTATCAACATTGAGGAAACATACCCAGGCTGTTAACGCCACGCGTTTCGACCAAACTGGGGATTATTTGGCAACAGCAGGTGACGACGGACTACTCATCATCTGGATACTAGCTAATGAGGTGATACAAGATTTTGGTAATCAAGACGATGAACTCAAAGAGAGCTGGATTGTGAAAAAGGTATTTCATACCAATTCGGAGGTATATGATATCAGCTGGTCGCCAGACTCCAAGTTCATCGCCGCAGGTTCTACAGATAATTCGATACGAATCTTCGATTGCCAATCGGGAGAGAAGGTACTTGATTGGAAAGGTCATGGGCACTATGTGCAAGGCATATCATGGGATCCTCAAGGTGAGTTTTTGGCAACTCAAAGTGCTGATCGATCTCTTCGTGTATATCGACTAGTGGCAGACAAAAATTCTCGCTCTGCAGACCACCGGAACGAATCTCGAAAGACCTCCCCCTTCACTGCATCACTTGTTCTCAGCCTAAGTCGTTCAGAAGTGCCGGCAATTAGTTCTCTGCCGAGTTTGTTGGTAAGGCAGCTGCAGAGTGATGTCAAGTCGGTTTCACAAGGGACTCAACAAGAGACTCAGGCAAATGCGCCGGAAGCGCCACTATCAGCTAATGGTAATACTCAAAGTGCTTATGAGGGAAAGATCGCCAATTTATACCACCCTGAATCGCTACAATCCTTTTTCCGGCGACTTGCATTTTCAACCGATGGAAGTCTCCTTCTCAGTCCTCTGGGGTTATTAAAAGAAGGATCTCGTGAAGAAGAGGACCCCGAAATGGTTTACCACACAGTCTATGTCCATACTCGCGCAGGTTTGTCTAATCCACCAGTGTGCTATCTTTCGGGCTTCGATAAACCCGCTATAGCAGTGCGATTTAGTCCAATCTTGTACAAATTAGACTTAGACGCTTCAAAATGTGTGTTTGACCTACCACACAAAATGTTATTCGCTGTTGCGACGCAAAATTCTGTGATCGTTTACGACACTGAGCATTTCAAACCCCTTGGTCTTCTGAAAAACCTACATTATTCAACCATAACTGATATTACCTGGTCTGCAGATGGTAAAAGCATAATCATCACTTCTGCTGAAGGTTTTTGTTCCATAATGCTACTATCTGATGGAATTCTTGGTACCCCGTTGCAAATTCAAGAAAAGAAGAATGACGAAGACACAAATGGCCAAAAGTCTCGATCTGCTTTGGTTGAGAATAATACTGACGAGAGGCCCACAATTGATGAAATCCTGACAATTGAGCCAACAGACAATAATGCTGCCTTAGTTTCTGGCCAATCTTGTGTTGAGGCAAGAGAATCAGACAGCACGACTAATCAACCTTGCACGCCAAGTCATACAAGCCTCTTGTCACAATTTGTGGAGCCACCGATTGATGGGCTGTACGAAGATAGGCGGCAAAGTCTGTCACTGCTGAACCAGACACCCGACACCGAATGCAAGAGAAGACGGATACAGCCTACACAAATTTCCACGATTTGAGTTCTCTTTAATGAACATACATGCAATTAACTCTTGTCTAGAAGTTCACCCTCAGAAACCTCGTTTCCCAAAGTCTGCTTCATTCTGCGTCTCGCACGCAAGATCATCTGCTCTCGTCTCTTTTGCAAAATATCTAATCTTTCCTGCTTGTCCTTTCCCCATCTTCCAGGCGACTCGGCCTCTTCCTCGCCGACGGGATGATCGTCCTCAACGACGGCGTACTTTTCAAGCAATGTTCGGGACTGATCGACGGATGTAACTTTCAGCTTATCAGTGTTCGCCTCTCTCTCTGGCGGTGACTCTCCAGGAGGATAAGGCAAGGATCCGCTCTCCATATATTGTTCAACAGTAGCTTCCACTGATCCTGTTCGTTCTAAGCTATGAACGATTTGAGATCTGCTAAGCTGTGGACCAATTGCCTGAACAACTTCAATCATGGAATCAGTGACAGCTCGTGTCAGTCTTCTTGGATTACGCGACTCTTCATTCTCACGAGAGTCGGGTTCAGGAAGGTTGAACTCACCCGCAACAGAATGAGGAATAGGAGCGATAAGCCAGCGCAAAAAGGTAAATGCTATCACAAGGGTGACGATGAAGAAAATGGTAGAGTTATCCATCTTGGTGTTCACCGAAGATCTTTGCGAACCGGTGTCTTTATTCAAAGGACGAACGGTATTGAGCATGTACAGGTCACACAGTTGTGCCCTGGCTCGCGAACCGCACTACGAACGTTAATGTGACAGGTCTTTTGGCTGATCAAGTATTTCCCTTGAAGACTATCATCCATTTCATTACAAAACTGTCCCTTTTGTGATGATCATTCCTTTTTCATTTCATTTGTTTTGCCCCGCCTTCTCAAGCTTACGTAATATACAACGAGCGGAACCTATATTGTAATTTTTGCGCCACTAAAAGCTGTCCAATGCGGACCGGCTCGAGGGACTTCATAAAAATCTTATCTCCAAGGAGCACAAATCGTTCATTCATTAAAGATTCTAAATCGTAAGAAGCAGACACAAACACATCATAACTAACGCAGATGATATTAAAGACACTCGGGGTCCTGCTGCGTTACTCTGTTCGCTGAGTGCGGGAGACGATCCCGAGGCATCACTTTGAGACTCTTTGCTTGAGGAGGATACCGAGGCGCTTTTAGAATTAGAAGCATGTGTGGTGTGGATAGATTGGGCTGTAATGCCAGACTCAGTTGCAGAAGGGTTTTTGATACCTAATGAACTTGATGCAATTGGCTCGAGGCCCAGCAATGAAGTGATGGAGTGAGATGCTGTCGTGCTAGTGGACGTATCTAGGAGTAAAGACATGGTAGTGGATTATTCGTAAATTCGACAGTGGATTTTATTGGTAGTTAAGGGGTAATGCTCTTCCAAAAATTGATAAGTCAAAAAAAGACTTGTTTCCTGAAACGTCTAAGTGAGGGACACCTTCGCCTTAAGTAAGTTTGGAGCTGTGTGCATTATTTGAGAATGCGTAAGAGGCTTTTAAAAATTTTCTGCCGTGCCCACGATTCAGAGTATTTAAACCGAGTAAACAAACGTCGTGTACCTGACTTGTATTCAGGTCTGACATCATCGTGCCTGTGGCTTTGCCTGAATCCGCGAATGTCATTGGCCTGTTTATAATTTCAATGTTTCAAGGAGTTTGACATTGTAGGAAAACAGAATGTTTTCGTCTGAGTATTATTGTGTTGTTCCAATAACGGAAGGCCGCCGACATAACCGAGTATTGATTGGAGTTACAATTGGGGAATCGTCAATGACCGTGCTTCACGCATTCGAGTGGAGAACATCATTTATTGGTCTTGAAGACCGCACTTGGCAGTCACGTTTAAGTTTTAGTCTCAAATGGCGACCCATTGTGTACTTTGTGATACGCGCAATTCGGCATTTTACTTTGGTACTGAGATTAGGCTTAGCAGGTCGTGATACGGTAATGTCAGAGGGTACTTATTAGCTAAGTCATGTGAAATGGAATCTTAAAGTAAACGTGAAATAAACGGATCAAAATGAGTGGCTTCAAATGAAGAGTCAACTGAAACAACGCGTCAAACTTCCTTCATGGGTCGCTCTTGGCATCAAACAACAGCACGCAAAAACTACAACTAGTCATTTGTTTTAGGGAACTTCAAGTTATTCATCGTGGAGCAGGTTCTTAAGTTAGTTGTTCGTAATCTGCACTTTTTTGCTGAGCCCACGAAAACCACGACTTCGCGTCCTTACGACGTTTGAAATCGATGATGTCTTCGAAAGATGGTGGCGCGGTAGCATCATCGTTAATGCCAGCATTTGATGATAAGCCCGAGATGGCAGGCTTCGCAACCTCATTTGCTGGAATTAGAGGTAATTGGGGCGTTCCTGTAATGAGACCGTCGGGCTCATTGCGCATAGAGGAGGGATTTCTGGCGAGCTGTGCTGCAGTTTGGTGAAGTGGCTGAGTTTCGCCGCTAGACTGAGAGGGCTCGATGCTTCTCCTCGACTCGCTATCATTAGTTGAACCATATCCAGAGTGGAAGGAAAACACTGATGAACTATCGTCAAAAATGGATCCCATTTCCTCTAACGATAAACCCTTAGTCTCTGGGAAAAGATAGTGCACGCACATGAAGGAAAGAACGCAAGAAAAGCCTGGAATCAAATACGTTCTCCATTGGATCAAGTCTAACAAAATTGGAGTCATTTCTCCGACAAGGAAATTGAAGAGCCAATTCGTTGCTGTTGACATCGCAGCTCCCTTGCTTCGCACAGAATTGGGCAAAACCTCATTCATCATCCACGGGATGGGTCCCCAGGATGCTCCAAAAGCAGCGTTGAAAATTATGACAAATATGACGACAACCTGAGGGGTATATGTATCGTCCAAAAATAAAGAATATGCAATGGAAAAGAGTGAAACGGCCATGACGACTGCGCCTGTCAAAAGCAATGGCTTCCGCCCCCATCCATCAACCAAATACCATGGTGGTATGGTGCTTGCCAAATAGATCAAGGAATTGATACCTGTCATCAAAATGGCCAGCCTGCCGATCCAGCCGGCACTTTCAAAAATCATAGGAGCATAGTATGACACAATATTTATACCATTTAATTGTGCAAACATTTGGGAGAAACATGCAACTGAGACCCTCTTTTTGTAACGGGTGAGCATATAACGATAAGATCTTTCGCCTCCTTCGATTCTTTGTATCAAGATGCTCTCTTTGATCTGTCTAAACTCCACCTTGGCCAACTCATCCTCAACCTCTCCATCAGCATAGAGATCGCTGATAACTATCATTCCTTCAATATCATGGTCATGATCCAAAAGCCATCTAGGTGTTTCGACGATTATGAATGTTCCTAACCAGAGGAGGAACCCCATGACACATTGAACAAACAAGGGTGAGCGCCACGAGAAGTCATTCTCGAGAAACAGGAAGCCGTAGTCAACCCAAATACTAGTTGAATACCCGACAATATTGCCGGTAAACTCCAAGCAGGCATAGAATCCTCGATCATCAGGCGGACTGATTTCTGATTGGTAGCAAGGTATGATCGTTGTGAGGAATCCGATCGCAACACCAGAGACGAGTCTTCCCAAGCCTAGAACGTAGATTGTTGGCGAAAAAGTTTGTAAAAATCCACCTACTACGAAGATAAACGAGCCCCAACGAATTGTTCTTCTTCTTCCAATTTTATCACCAACCTTTCCAGCCTCAAACGAGGAAAATAAGGCGCCTATTTCTAAAATTGCAATCATCGTACCGATTGCAGCAGGACTAGGGTGGTTGTAGTATTCTTTGAAATATGAATTGGTTAAGAGGGAAGACATCAAGCCCTGCTCAAATCCAAACAAAAATACACCTAACGAAACAAAAATGGAGGTGAAATTGAGGAGTGCCCTCCCGACAAGGAACGACTCCTTGACTTGATGGTGCGCCATGTTTAAGAAGATCAGATTCTGAGCTGAAATCGCAGGGCAAAGAAAAGTCAATGAGCGGCAAGTGACCGAAGCTGAATTTGATCTATATGCTCCAAGTATGCTGATAAAGATCCGCGTATATGCAGTGACCTAATTTGGCGGCCGTGCTTTCTCCTGCTATGTGCACGACTTAACATGTAGGCACTGACGGCATTTTCCCGTGGGGTAAGCAGGATCTCAGTAACTTTAAAACAGGGAAACGCGTGGTATTGTGAATGCAACGGTCTGCTATGTTTTAAAGGCGAATCAGGTCTTTTCCGCTTAAAGTAGCATTACGAAGTAGTGAGGGGTTATGCTTGATTCGCGGCAGTATCCGGAGGTTACTTCATTGCTGTTTAGTGATATTATTACGTAATGACTTATTTAGCAGTATTATAATGCAATTCAAATACTATTCGTTCTTGAACAAGCTGAGGGTGTATCAGTTCCTATGCTCCGATATGCCTTCGACTCTTTGGAAGATGTCCGTCTTCGGGTCTGTCAATAGTGGTACTCAATTACTGGAATCCCTGGACCCTTACCTAATATTATTCAAGCGAGTGCTGTTGAGGTGCACATTGATATCCAAGCGATCCGCATCTTCCTCGATCTTCCTCAACCTATCATTTTGAGCACCGACTTCCTGACCCATGACAGTTGCGGTGTTTCTTAATTTCTTAGAATAGGATGCAATTTGATCCAAATTTGCAGCCAACTCCTTCTCCATCTCATCATCCTCGGAATCATTCTCGAATTGGTATCTTTGAGCTTGTTGTAGATGCTTTTCACCCTGATATTTGTTAAAGGTGTCTGACTGAGTTGAGTTATTTGAAATTCCCTGTTTGACACGCTGCTCACTAGCATAAACGCCTTGTCGGTTCGTCTCTCGAAGGTATTTTTCTTGTTCCTTCTGTGCCTTCAATTTCGACTCTTGTTCACGTAAGCGAGACTTTTTGTTAAATGGATTTCCAGAGGCAGGGATGAAAATCGATCTATTGAGACGCTTCAACTCTGCGACTTTATCATCAGCGATCTTGGTTTGAGTGTCAGCAAGTAACAAATTCTGTTCGGCATTGAACAAACGTTCGGATTGCGATCCTAACATACCGAGAGTATTTGTTCCTGAAGCGTCCGCCTCTTGGGCCATTCTCAATGTGTTACGAGTCAGTGCCACGGATTCCTGTTTCACAAAACGAATGTCTTGCTTGATGGCTTCGACCTCTTCTTCCTCGGAGTTCACTTGTTCCTCCTCTGCTAAAAAGTCGTCCACTTCGAGGTTCAAGTCTTCTTCGTCCGGATCAGCATTAAGATCTAGCGTATCTGTATCCGTGGTTTTTCTGATAGGCTTCTTGGCCGTGGGCAAAGCGCTTGAGCTGGGAATAGCGTTGAGGTCAAGAGTCAGCTCATCATCACCTCTCGGCCTTGTAGTGCGCGAGCCGTAAGGGTTTGGCTTGCTGGATGATGAATAGGACTTTTCGCTGTAAGAGCCATTCCCACCATTTCGTTGAGTTTGGTACGGACTGGGTCTTGATGGCGCTGGGCCATCATCTTGACTCGCATAGGGGTTCAGTCGTCTCTCCCCGGTAGAAGAAGATGCATACGCTGAATCGCGAGCACTTGCCTCACCAGACTGGGAGTTAGCGTATGGATTACCTTGGTTTTCATTCATGTTTGCATAAGGGTTACGAGGTGCCATTCCAGGTTTGACACCTTGTCTTTCCTGGGCGTATTGCTTGAAAGCGCCGAACTTCTCTTGACGGTTATTGGCAGTCTTGGTTGTGATACCAACCTTTTGCATTGTGTCCACCAACTCCTCTTCGGTTGGATCCTTCTTCTTGAACATTTTTTTTAACCCCATGGTTGTGTAGTTGTGAACTGGAAGTTGTCTATGGTAAAAATTGAGCCGTGTACAGAAGACTGATTAGGCTATGCCGCAATATACCGGACTGGAGTTATTTGTGTGATCTTCGTGGTCGATAAGAATCTCACACGAGTAGCTCCATAGAACGACCGAAAAACGTGAACCTTTCAATCTTTTTTTCATCCAGAGAGTTTTTTCGATTTAAATTGAAGATGGAGGTGAGACAGTAAAAAAATTGAAAAAAAAAAAGTAAAGGAGTTCTGAGAAGAATATTCATAATTACTTAAGGCTTATGATTCATCGCATTTCTTTCAATCTATCGGGGCCCTGCAATCGACACAGCGAAAGAATCTCCAAAAATCTTTACACGGCGACAGGTGGGCTCCAATAAACTCGTTTGAAACATGGGCATCCTGACGAGGGGGAAGGTACTGTATAAATCCTCATCCCAAGTCGGTCCCGCAGACTTCGTCAAAGTCCGACTTCGTCAACTCCACATTCCATGATAGCTCTCAATAGGCCACCTCCGCCTCTTGACATCCAAAATGTTAAGCGGCGTAAGCTAGAACCCCCTGTGCTTCCGAAAAGTCGGGATACTACTTTTGAGTCTGCCAGTGAAGACCGTATGGATACAGACATTTCTGCTAACGAATGCCCATGTGGCTACTTACATGGTCCTGGAGAGGATCATGGACATGATATCACAGCTGTTGGGTTGAGCTCTAATTTGATGAGAGGCCCCGCTTAAAGGAAATATTAGGTAACGATCAAGAGGCTCAACAGTCACAGAATGTTTGTCAAGATGCTGGCCAGAGAAAGATACAGCTTGGCTTCATGACTACCGACTGCTTTCCATCTGGAACTCCGGGGGTTGATAGTGAGATCACTTCTTCGATTCATGGGGAAGTCACATTATGTTGCATGTGTCTTGTATCAACATACTTGCGTCAAGCAACTAACAACTTCGTGTACATTGCATGGTTAATTCTTTCGTGCTTATTACCATACGCACATATTAATAAGCTTGATGTTTGGCGCCATTCTCAAGGCGGTGTCAAACAGCATGCATCTGACAGTCTTCCGCACCCCCTCAACAGCGATGGCCGTCTTGAATCGAGTCTCCTGAAATCAAGATCGAATCAACAGAAGACAACCACTAGTGGATCATTGCTCATGTTCCTTGCTGGATTGAAGCGGGATCAAGCGCGAGTGATTCGAGACTACCAATTCTGATAAGCCTCATGAAGGATCGCGATGCCACACTTTTGGCTAATATCGCTTGTAAACGGAAATGGTCTTCGCCCCTCCGAAGATAATGCAAGCCCTAAAAAAAAAGGTAAATGAAGGATTAATGAGATATGTAATTAAACGGATTTAATGATCGACGTAAAATGCATTGTGAGCCATGGCTCCAACGGCAAAAGATAGAACCGAAGCATGGATAGAAGCAGCCAGACCATTCTAACTATCTTCAACAATCATCCGTCTTGTGAGATGCAAGTCTAATCTCCATCATTGATTCGGAGGTAGTGGATATAGCTATATTATATGGTTTATGCCACTCTGCATCAATCGCCACAGTAAGTTGCGAATAATCTGTTTGCCTCATCCCCTGCTTACCTCACAATGGCACGTTATCTATCTATTAGTGATGAGGTGTGGAGCATAATACGCACATCAACCACACAATTTCGCAACCATGACTTCGTTATAAATGGGTAGTTTTCAGCTTTAACTGAAGCCGTAGGACAATGGGATTTTTTCAGGTCTTGAAAAGAGAGCTTGAGGGTCCAGAGATCACAGAGACAAGACGAGATCATGTCGTGAACTCTTTGGATCTGGCATCCGACCAAAACTCAAAAAGCAGTCTCAACAAGGACAGAACTATTCAAGTTGAGGAACGCTCTATAGAGATCGATGAGCCATACATCGACCTTGAGCTCCATCTCACGCCTGAGGAGATTCATAGGAGGAATACCTCGAAACTCTTTAAGGTGAGACAGTTCTTCTGGGATGGTACCGACAAGCACCCAAAGGAGCAAAAGTACCTTTGCAAGTTGGATTTCTTCCTTCTCAGCTCTTCGATGCTCGGGTACTTCATCAAAAACTTGAATCAATCCAATGTCACTACTGCCTACGTCAACGGTATGGATGAGTATTACGAGATGAATCAAAACCAGTACAACTATTTAGTTACGCTATGGACCATTGGTTATATCATCGGGCAGATTCCTTCGAACTTGATTTTGCATAGAATTTCCGCCCGTTACTACTTGGGCGGCCTAGAAATAATGTGGGCTCTTTTGACCCTACTTATGATTACATGCAAAAATATAGAGTCCCTTTATGCCGTTCGGTTTTTCCTTGGGTTCTTGGAGTCAGGTTACTTCCCGGGCTTGGAGTATCTTGTTGGAAGTAATTATTCGGCATCTGAATTATCCACGAGATCCGCTTATTTCGCCGTGGCTGGTAATGCGGCAGGGTTGATCTCCGGACCTTTACAGTTGGCTGTCTTGAAGCACTTTGGGCATTCGTCAATGCCACCTTTCAAATGGATGTTTGTGCTCGATGCAGTTATTTCATTCCCAGTTGGTATCTATACCATGATAGTCGACCCAAACACGCCAAGTACCACTGATGCTTTCTACTTTTCACAGGAGGACAGATTGGTGGGCCTTGAAAGAAGAAGAAGAATCGGTGCACAATTGAACACTCGTGAGAGGTACCTGTGGAAGAAGATTAAGGGTTTCTTTGACACATGGCACATTTACGTGTTCCCGTTATTGTTTTTGGCCTACAATAATTCCTGCGCTGCCAATAGTCAACCAGCGTTCCAAACGTGGATGAAACTCGATCTCAAATTATCTCCAGATAAGTATAATACGTTTCCTTCCATTCTTACAGCTTGTGGTATTGGAACAACCTTAATCTTGGCCTATTCTCATAACTTTATTGGAGGAAAGAAGAATCATTTCTATGTCATGAGTTACTTTGTACTATTGATATGGGGTTGTGCTCTACTAGCGCATTGGCATATACCAAGAGGTCTTCACTGGTTCTCCTACTTCCTTGTTGGAGTACCTACATCCTACGGTCAGCCTTTTATTTTCTCATGGGTCAATCGTTTACTATTTGAGGACGATATGAAGAGAAATTTCGTGGTTGTTTGCACAAACACATTGGCATATGTTACAGGCGCTTGGGTGCCAATTTTTGTCTGGAATACAGCAGATAAACCTAGATATTATATTGGGTTCACATACACAGCATGTCTTGCGGGCTTTGGTTTGATCATGACAGTGATTGCTTGGCGATTGACGATACGAGACAAAAACAGGGAAGAGAGGAGACTAGCTGATGAAGTTTCAGATGAAAGTTCTCTCAAGGATGAAGGCGTTGTTGGAACTTCCATTGCACATGTGACAAAACAGGTATAGCTAAATCGACTAATGAGATAAATTTATGATAAAGACTTTCAATGGATCGAAATTTATTGGTAAAGATGCTAATATATTACAAAGTTGTCTAGGGTGTCTTTCTTATGAAGCAGTTTCGCTCTCAATCCCAAGATGAGCCTAGTCCGAAGCGGCAATTTCCTTCACAAGCTCATCGTATGCATCCTTATAGTCATCAGTCTTGTCAGAGTTTTTCTTGGACTTGCCGCCACCTGGAATAACAAAAACACAAGATGTAGGTCTCTTGGTTGCACCAGCGGAGCCCAAATCCTCCTTTGAAGGAATGAAGATGTATGGCACAGATGAATCCTCGCAGAGAACAGGAATGTGGGAGATAACATCCGCTGGAGAAATGTCTCCAGCAATAATGACGAGTCCTTTTTCACCCTTTCTCAAAGCTTTGACGACTTCTTTCACTCCTCTCTTGACATGCTTAGCCTTGGAAGCCTTTTTGACAGTTTTGAGCACCTTCTTGTTGACCTTCTTCGATGCAAGTGGTTTTGCAAATGGCAAGACTGCGACCATACGCTTGTCGTAGTTATCCTCGCCGCTCTCTTCGACCTTATCCTTCTTTGCCATGCTGACGAGTATCTGTGGAAAATGACTTGAGATAGCTAAACTATTTTTTCAGGAGATGAGGTTCCCAGGTGTACGGGTGTATTGAACGTATTGGCTCGTTTGTAACGCCGTATCATCTGGAACCTACTTGCAACTGAATTTGACCAAATGTAGCTATAATTATAGCTTATCAGATATAATTTTGTCAATTGACTCAACTCTGCTATGGGAATTCCCCCCCTCAGTACATACGTCTGGCCGTAAGAAGAACCCCGAAGGAAACAGTTATATTGAACTAGAAACAAATATCAGTAAGATCTTTTTGTCTTTGGAATTAGCTTCTTTTAAAAATTTTTCATATTGAAAGCATTCTGCTTTTTATTGCCCTATTTCATATTTTTTATTTGACATTTCGAATTCTTGATTTTGCAAGAATCTGCATCTCGTAGGAAAATTCGTAAACCTCACTGCAACCTTTTCGCATTTACTGGAAAGATATATTGAGGGACAATCAAGCACTCCTTCAATTTTGCAAAAGTAAAACTTTCAAAAACCATTCTTACCAATGACATCAGCTTTAAAAGCATGACCTGGTTGCCTTCTACTTGTCAGCAAATATAATTTGTATGTATTAGTTATCTGAAACACGTGATTACTATATGCATCAATACATCGTAATCAGAAACCATTTACATCTACCGATGCATCAAAGAGGAGGTAAAGCTTCACAAAGCTACTCACGAAAACGGAGAAACGATGATCAGCATACGGATCAGTTCAGTGATAATCCATTGCTCCTCGAAAACCCTGTTATACCAGACACAGTACGTTCTGTGGTGGAGCCGGACAAAGTGAAGACCTATCTTCAAAAGCTTATTCCTGAAAAGAAGTCCGAAGAAAAGTCAACTCATGTGAAAATTCTTCTAGGGAACTCCGAGTCACAAATTTTCACAGCCGAATTCAAGAGCGAATTGATAGAAAACTTCCACCTTGATTCCATCACTTTGTCTGAGAGCAGCCCGTTTAGCATTGATCGCATTGTAACACTTTATGGTCAACAGATTAATTTGCTGGCAGCCACTGCGTTTATTGGTTTCATAATATCTGCGGTATCGAACAACCTTTTGAAGCATGAGTCCTTCACTCTACGATCACAGAACTACAAAATCGATATCTTGTTGGAAGCCAGGGAGTTTGAGTTGGTGCTGTTTTCAGAGGGCAAAGCACTGGTTGACTTTGCGCCATACGACTTCAACCGAAATCTCAACGTTGTAAACATAAAAGGTGATCTTCAATACTTGATGAATACCGTTTCAGAGTATTCCCGAAGATTTCAATTCAAAGTATACAAGCAAGATACAGATATAAAAATCCTTTCCACTATAAGGCTGCATGATTATGACCATTTGTTCGAGTCTTCAGAAACGGAAGACCAGTTACGAGTCAGCAAGGAAGAGCTTCTCAAATTCATTTATCTGAAGAACGTCTTGAATGATCTCTCCTGTAAATAAACTTTATTTTTTTATATATCAAACACGAGATACCTCCAATTCTTTAGATTTCCTCGAAATAGAGGCGACACGGTCTCCGAGAGACAAAGCCAAGCCCTGACCCTTTGACCTTATCCTCACATGTCCTATGATATAACCATCGGCCAGTTTCTCGATGCACAAGTTAGCCAAGGCGTCCTCACCAAAGGAGGATCGAGAATAAAGATTGGCGGCCAAAAAGTGACATTCTTCGCCAATTATAGCGCCCGGCGTCAAACAATTCATGTTAGTTCCTGCCATCAAATCGTCCAAGTATTCTTTCAAAGATGCCTTCTTCGATTTAATAGTAATTTTGTTCTCCCACTCAAACTCGTTCCACATAGTGCGGAACGCACTCTCAGTACAAGAAGCAGGCTTGATGTAGTCCATTATGTCCACATGAACATCGTTGAGGATGACGATGGTAGAATCATCCGAGTGCTGACCATCGTAGACAATGTTACCAAAGATCACGCCGGTATCAGCACTTGTAACCTTGACAGTGACAGAAAGATTGTAGAATCCGTGAGGCCCGATGTTGGCGGTTGCACCGTTGTCGACAACCTTCAAATCTCCCAATGTAGCAAACTCGACTGAAAGATTTCTGAGAGTGTTTGTCGTTTGATTAACCAACAAAACCTCCAATGTAACGTCATACTGATGCACCTTGACATATGCTTCAGCATAGATTGGGTCAGAGAAACCAGTCAACTGCAAAATCTTGTTGAGCCTCGACGAAAGTCCCTCTTTCTTGGAGACAACGCCAGCGACGCCCGTGAGGTCATCTCCAAGGGCATCTGTAGAACCGCCGTCCTTGTCGAGCTGCCTGAACACTATGGCGTCATCAACATGCTCAGCGTTGTCATGCAAATCTCTTGCCTCGGACTCAGCCTGTTTCTTCTGTGCCGTTTGCACCTGGCTCTTGTAGGCATCCTTGGTATCTTCTAAGAATCCCTTTTCAATGAGATCGTGGTCCTGGTCATCGGTTAAAAATTTAATGCAAGCCAAAATTCTGTCAGCAGAATCTTCATCAATTCTCTTCAGAACAAAGCTAGACTCACCGACTCTTAGTATGGACACCATGATCAATAATGCCTCGGCTCTCAATGCATTCAAGTGTTTATCAGCAGTTTCTAGACGTCCCAATCTCAAGACAAATTTGACGAGCGTAGATGCCAAAACTGAAGCCAAGTAGAAGTCACCGGCCAAGATAAGTTTTCTAATACGGAACGAGTCCTCATCATCGCTCGTATTAGTTTGCGCACTCAAGGCACTCTCTGTGGCGTAGGTTCCGTCTGGCAAAACTACGGGACCCTTCTTCGATTTAGTTGAGGATTCACCGCTCTCATCCTCATCGGCCTCTTCCGAGTATCCCTCAAGCTGTCTCTTTTCACTGGCCAAAATAGGGACCTCACCGATGCTAGATCTTAAGAATTTCCAGGCATCCTTGATCGATTGTTCACTCAATGAGTATTCACCCAAGACCCAGAATGCACCGCGGAACACCTTGCCTGACTTGACATCCGACAAGCTCTTAATCAACTTGTGGATGATCGATTCTCTCAAATCTGGGAACTTCTCGACAACTTCCTTGACAAATGTAATCACATCGTAAGCTGCAGCATTTGTGAGATCACCAATCGATTCCAAAAGCAAGTCAATGACATTTGTCGCAACCTCGCTGAAGTCGATCGCCAATTTGTGGATAGCGTTCACCAACAACTGTCTGTATTCGGCGGCGTTGTCTTCGTTGGAAGCAGAGGCTTTCTGCAATTCTTTCTTGAGCAACTTAACGACGTCTTCAACGTTTCTGCTTGTGATCAATTGTAATGTCACGTCAAGTGCCTTCTTACGCACACCGATATCCTGGGTGGATAAAACACCCAAGATGTCCAAGCACAAGCCTTGCAACAAGCCCGGACTCTTTCTGTTAAGCTCACTGATACGCTCCAATGTAATGATTTTCACATTGTTATCAGCTTCCTTAGTAGCGAGCTCAACAAACTTATTGCCGGCCAAAATCATGGAGTCAGATGAAGCTGACAAGGAGATCAAAGTAATTGCAGCCTCGTAAACGACAACATTGGATGATGATTCAATAATCTCAGATACCAAAAGCACGTATTGCTGTCTCAAATTGACAGCCGTCTGAGCATCCTTTCTGATGAACTCGACAAAGGCGAGTTGTAAAAGGGAATCCAATGTTTCGATTTGGTGAATGTTGTCCTGGATGTACAGTAAAGTAGCATCTCTACTCAAATCACTGAGACACACGAATGCATTTCTCTTGCACACTGAATCAAACTCTTCCACCAAGAAGCTGTAAATCAATTCAGGAGCATCGGGAATAAGATGGCTCGAAACCTTATAAATGGAGTAAAGAGCGAAAATTGCATTCTTTCTCACATAAGCATGTCTGTGAACCAAACATTGACGCACGTTTGGAATCAATGTCTCCAACAACTCGGCCTCTCTCAATTTGCAGAGGAATCTTAAAGTATTACCTCTCACGTACTCATTTGGATGCTGCAAGTCGTGCTGAATGGCGTTGCATACCAAAATCATTTCATGTCTCATCTTACCTTGGTTGTCTAACTTTGGACAAACCTCCCAGTAGAAATACAACAACTTCTTCAATTCCTTGTTTCTCGAGGGCATGATAAAACGAATGATATGCATCAACAATTCAGGCATTGGATCACCATTCAAAACTGCTGTAATGATTCTTTTCATAGCCAGAATCTTGACTTCGTCCTTGCTCTTTTCCAAAAGTGTCTTCAATTCAGACACGGATGTTTTCGACGCGGCATTGGGCTCATAAATGAGCATGTACCCTGCGTCAGACATTCTTGGTAGTTACTCAGGAGCTTTGGAAACCTTTACGCCTTTAGGACAATAGTAATGGTCTATGGAAGACTTGAGATCGCTCACCAAAGATGTTTTGAGATTTTTTGAATATTAACACCTGGATAGAATGGCTGAATCGCGGCCTTTCGACACATGATCACAATCACGTGACTACATAGGTACCTATTCTTTATCAGGCTTGACCTACAATAGAAATAACCGGTATCATTTTTCGTTAAATATATGCATGTCTATTCATTATCGCTGCTTTCGCTATCAGGGTTCGCAAGCACCAAACGGGGTTTTTGAACTTCGTCTTCTTCTTCAAAGTCTTGATGCATGGTACCGTCTGTAGATGGGCTAAAGCGATCCGTTTCTTCCATTTCTTCATCGTAGCGATATCCTGGGTGTTGATAATAACCTTCAGTCAAGCGTGCTTCACTAATACTGCCGACAGAATGACGAGATGAAGTCAGTGTATGCCGCGACAAATGAGACTGAGAGTCAACATGAGAACCTGAATCCCTTACGGGAGTAGTAGACGTCGTTGAAGGCAAAATCGAGCTCAGAACTGAACCAGCAAATGAGCCGGTCCGAGAGGGTGCATTGCTGTTTTGCCTTAGTGAATTTCCTCGAGATAAAGCGGTGGATGGTAATGTCAGTCTCGACAGAGAGACAGGGGTGATCTGTTTTCCTTCATGCCTTTGGAAGGTACTCGATCTTCCCAAGGACCCAAATTTGTTCAGGCCCTCTGATTCATCAACTTCAGTAGCAAGAAGACGGGGAGCAAGATGGCCATGCTTAAGACCCACACCACTTGACTGATTCTTCCTGTTGCCGCGCAATCTATTATACCGATCATTCGAAGGCGTGAGCTGCCGCTTATCAACTGGTAATATACCCACAGGTAGTTTCCAAGTCTCTGGACCCAAGTCGTTGTAAGAAGTACCAGCATTGCGTCGCACTGTTTGAACATAATTCGAGCGCTCGCCCTCACCGGGTCGTAGGGAGATGGACTTCTTCAATGCTGCTAATGTAATGTGGCGATTGGAATTTGTGCTGAAAATGGAGCTTATTGACAGAGACTTGCGGTGGAATGTGTTTGCAGGGGTGGAGGTTACCAGAGCTTTTGAGAATGTTGAATCGCTGGCAATAGATGTAAATGTCGGGGCACTTCTGAGAGGCTGGCGGGTCTGGTGTGGGTAGTTTGCTCTGATGGAAGGTTGAACCCGATCCAAAGTTGGGTTACTGGAGTTGGTTGCAACATTTCCGCCGGTGGAGCCTGAAGTGAGCACCTCATGAAGGAGCTCAGTGGGATAGGTTGAATGAGGCGAAGGAGGTTTGGATCTTGCAGGGTCAGATTCAAAGACTTGACTGGAAGTGTGAGTCGACCGGCTGCTCGCATGCGGAGGACCTTGTAAATCTTGACTCTCAATCTTACTTGTCAGGCTCATGCTAAGCTGAGATTGATTTTCACTCATCATATTGCTTCTTACTGATGAGTGATTAGTCTCAACGTTATGAATTGGCTCCCCCATGGTGTCAACAAAGTGAAGGCTTTCAACGCTCACCAGTGATGTTGGCCTTAATTGGTATGCCTCATGTTGTGCTGTCGATGCTATATTTTCGGAGGAAGGTTCTCCATACTCTGTATCAATCTGGTTCCCAAATTTGAGCTGGTCATCAAAGACAGGTTCATTTTCGGCGGTGGGAGGAAATTGGTATGGATTGAAATGCGTGGTAGGGGCTGGCTCCCGTGATGTAGAATTGGAAAGATGATCAGGTTGCGACAACTGAGTTGGCCCCAGATCACCCACAAAAAACAGTCTCTGAGATTCTGAGCCAGAGTCTCTGTCTGAACTGCGTATCGAGTCTGCATTTACTGGAGCGCTAGGCTCTCTTTGAACCTCCTCGCTTGTGGTACCACCACGCTGTTGCGAGCTTTTACGAAAGTTCATCATGTCATGAATTTCATCTTCCAAGGTACAGATGATTTCATCCAAACTATCTGCTTTTGTTGCAGCTGTGTCGATGCTTGTGCCATACTTTCGTTCCTTTAACGCAACTGCATGGGGCTTGGCTGAATCATTCGAATGAGACAGTTTAAATGAATCAAGGTCATCTCCTGGTGGAGGGGGTTTTCTTGTGAGTTTTCTCGCTGGCTTCGGAAGGCTGACACTTTCATTGCTAAAAGTGCTCATGGAATGTGTATCACTAGGCAGCTTGTTCTTTAGGTCTCTCTTTGGGTCACTCTGATACAGCATCGGCAGATTACTGAGTGGCGGTTTTGACAAGGGATTAAGGCTCCCAGAAGACAGCTTCGATTGTATGGATCTTGCTTCATGATGCTCAGGCTGGCCCTGGGAATAGTCCAGAGAGGTGAAAATGGAGGAAAGCCTGCTTCCAAGCAACCTTGATGAACGTTTTTCTCGCTCCATTTTCGATGAGCTCCTTTTGTTTGAGGATCAATGGCTGGGTAAATTTCTGTGCTGGTTCAGACCTTGATCGAAGTTTAAGAACGGTGCAGTAACATTGCATGAATGAGGTACACCATACACGTGACACAACTTGGGGAACCCTAATTTCGGAAAGTTAACTTAAACTTAGTCATTTTTTTGGGATTGATTGAATCGAAAAAGGAATCATCTTGATGTGCTTAAATTAGTCTCTGAAGAATTAGCTTATCATTGAGAAATCGACTTTGGGCACAACTTGCGTGAAGTTCTATACCACTTGATGCAAATCTTTGTCAGCTACACTCTGAATATTCTGAAGCGGATAACGCCAGAGAATGCAAAAAAAGCCATCATCTGTAAAAATTTTCACCTAGAAAAACCTCTAATGTATTGCCAATATTGCCCATGAAAGTCCGATATCTGTGTCGACCTTCTCACTAGCCTGCATCTCCAATTGCTCTATAAAAGCTTTCAGCACAGGCTTCCTTCCTGAAATCAACGATGTCTAGCAAAAGTATGTCTGAAACACACCATCAAAATGTTTCCAATTTCTTACTAACGAGTAGCCGAAACAAAAGCTCCTGAAATTGATTACTCTATCAATAACTCCGACGTTGTCGAGAAGTACAAGACCGCTGGTACCATTTCCTCCAAAGTTTTGGCGGAGGTGAGAAAGACCGTTAAGGATGGCTCCAAAATCTTCGACATCTGTCAATTGGGTGATAAGCTCATGGAGGATGAGCTTCTGAACGTTTACTCGTCCAAGAAGAACAAGACTTCTAAGGGTATTGCCTTCCCTACCTGTGTGAACCCCAACAATATCCCAGCTCATTTGTCTCCAGAGTCTGAAGAAGATGATGCTAACTTGACTCTCAAAAACGGAGATGTTGTCAACATCATGCTTGGTGTCCAGATTGACGGTTTCCCTGCCATCATTGCTGACACTTTGGTCGTTGGTGAGAGTGCTGAGAACCCAGTCACTGGTATCAAGGCCGATTTGCTTCAAGCTGCTTGGAATGCTTCCGAGGCTGCTATCAGAACCTTCAAGCCTGGTAACAGAAACTTCGATGTCACCAACGTTGTCGACAAGGTTGCGAAGGATTTCGGCGTGGCTGCTGTTCAGAGCATGTTGACCCACAACCAGGAACGTGATGTCTTGTACGGTCCTAAGGAGGTCATTTTGAACCCAGCCAAGGAACACAAGAACAGAATGGATACCCACAGATTCGAGGAGCTGGAAGTGTACGGCTTGGACATCTTGATCTCCACCTCCGCCGACGGAAAGGTCAAGAAGTCTAACTTCAAGACTACCTTGCACAAGTTGACCGGAAACAACTACTCTCTTAAGTTGAACACATCTCGTCAGGCCCTCAAGGCGTTTAAGGAGAAGGTTCCCGGCCATTTCCCTGCCAACGTTAAGATTTTTGAAGAGCCAAGAAAGGTTCGTGTTGGTTTGATTGAGTGCAGCAACCACGAAGTTGTATTGCCATACGATATTATGGAAGGTGCATCTGACTCTTTTATTGCCCAGTTCTTCACCACCATCGCCATCACCAAGAACGGCATCGTCAAGTACACCTCTCCATCATTCAACCCTGAATTGTACAAAACAGAAAAGAAGATCGAGGACGAGGACCTTGCGAAGTTCATCGCCGAGCCCTTGCCTGAGCCAAAGCCAAAGAAGAAGAAGAAGAAGCCAGCTAAGAAGGCCGGTGAGGAACAGGCCTAATCCAGATTCAATTACTAACTACGTATAATGAATAAATTTGGATTTTCTTAGATAAGAAAGTTGTAGGCCTGATACAGTTTGAGCTTGCTTGCTCAGTATTGACTGAGAAACCTTACAATTTATAATAAGGATTATTAAGAAGGGGCGAAAAAAAAAAAAAAAAAAAAAAAAAATCAAACCCGACGACCACACTTTGTTGTCATGTTCTCTACATATTACAGCCATAAGCGAAGACTTGGGTCTTGGTTGACTAAGTAAACCTGTTGCTTTCATGAATTTTCGTTTTTCTTTTGCATTTTTAGGAGGGTAAATCTCGAAATAACTTCGCTCTTCAAACTACAAAAACCCAATCACAGCTCCATCAATTGCAAGTTGGAGCCAACGATTGCCTATTCAAAGCAAAGTCCAGTATCGGACAAAATCAAGAGTTTTAAAAAATATTTTCTTGAACTGTCACAACGCATGAAGAATCTGTTTCAGATTTCACGTTGGCCATTAAAACAATACAAAGAGTTAAAATAAGGAATTAAATTACTTAATCTAAACCAAAGCCATGAATAATTTTGTAAGAATCCAATTGTCCATATGAAGCTCTCCTTGACAAGTTCTAGATTATCCCTTATTTTGATTTTCAGCACTAAACTTACGCCAACGTGTTTTGGTATTCTATCATTGCTTTAAAGAGAACCTCAACGAACAGACAAAATGTTTCAGTTAAACAAACAGCTTATGATATATTTTTTATTCTCTTCCTTGAAACAGTATTTTTTGCACGGTTTCACCTAGGCATAATTCTATTTGTCACACTTCACCAACAAAACGCGATGGAAAATTTCGTCCTACTCTCTTTTAGTGATCAACAGATCTCACTACATATTCGAGCTCACGGAACTGCTCCTATCAAAGACCAACAATTCCTGCCCCAGCTTAGACTCATTAGCTGCTGCTTAACTAAGGATCGTTGAAATTTGGGCGTTCTCGTATTTATCAACCACGATCGCATGGTAGATCCAGTGCAACCAACTAAACCGCCTGCTCCGCGAGGGCGTGGGCGGCCAAGATCCGATAAGCTGCTCAAGGCAGCAAAGGAGGAGAAAGTTCCTAAGAAGCGTGGCAGAAAACCTGGCTCTCTTGGGAAGAAGAAATTGGCAGCGCAACGAAAGTCTGCGAGAGATGAAGCCTCCTCGTCAAGACAAAGCCGATTGGAGGATAGTCCGAATATCTCAAGAAGGGCGGCAAAGGCGCTGCGTATAGAAGATATCTTCTTGGCTCCAGGTTCGATGCCTGCTACACGAAATAACCCATTATACCCCAATTCCTCACCAGGCAAAACAAGCTCAACAATTGAGGGAAGTCAAGAAAAGACATTTATAGAGCCCGAGCTTGCCACACCACAACCCGGATACTCCGGCTATCCACTTGAAGCATTACCTCCACAGCAAAAAATAAAGCGTCCACTATCCGGAACGCCCAGAGGAAGGAAACCCAAGGGAGATAGTTCTCCACAAGCGACCCCGGTTCCAAGTGATATCGACACCACGGAAACGGAGAGGAAGTACAAAGCCCAACTCGAGACACCCGTGTCTGAATCTATTCTGACCGCTTCCGAAATACGAACTCCGCTTAAAGGTAAAAAAAGAGGCCGGAAACCAAAGTGGGCAACGAACCCAGAACTCAAGTCATCGCCCTCAGGTCTTAAAATTCGCATTCCAGCAACCCCAAAATCAAGCAGAAATGGCGAAGACTCAGCCAGATCAGCCCCAGGTCTGTCCCGCACAAAACGACTCAAAATCACTTCACCAAAGAAACAGCCCACGGTGGGGTTGGCGCCAGCAATAGACAATGCACCTGAGTCGGACGACTCAAATAGCAATGACGATTTCTGTGCTACTTGTGGCGGAACCGGAGTATTCATCTGTTGTGATACCTGTCCAAAATCGTTTCACCTTCTTTGTTGCGAGCCTCCCATACAAGAGATCCCAGAAGAGAACTGGAACTGCAATGAATGTCGTGCAGCACAAGGAATTGACCCCAGGAAGTATCACAACAATATTGGTATGTTTGGCCCGCTTATCAATTCCATGCATGGCCGCAATCCCACTGAATTCAGATTGCCTAAGAAGCTCCGGGATGCCACTTTCATTGACGTCACTACGGGACCCGATGACAACTACACGGACTCGCATTTGAAACCCGAGCTTTCTTACAGCAAGGTGAATGGGTCACAGATCGTTGGCTTCAATAAAAATGAAGACTTAGACATTGACTCCCTCTATGATAAAAACGGCCGGCCGTTTTTGTGCCATCGGTGCCGAGAGTCAGGCCTTAAGAGGAGGACGATGGTGTCTTGCGACTACTGTCCTCTCTATTGGCATCTAGATTGCTTACCGGAGCCTGTTTCCCTGGCAAAAACCATTGGCCTTAAGTGGAGATGTCCGAACCACATCGAAAATCTTGTGCCAATCAGCTGGTCTGACAGGAGATCTTTTAGGGATTGTGCTGTTGTTGACTCCGGTCTACACTCCAATTTCATAAAAATTATGGAGGCTAGCAATTTCTTGATCAAGTTCGAGGACCAGGGTTTTATCGCAGAAAACAAGCAACCAACTTTACAGGACTATCTTCAATTTCAGAAGGAGGATTTCATATCTAGCAAGTCAGACTATGTTGCAAAATTTTCTAAAAACGATGATGGACTGGACACTGAAAACGATGAAGATACATTTCCTCTTTTCAAAGTACCTGAATATCTTGAAAACTATACCGTGGGCAACAAAGTTGTTGGAAAGTCGTCTAAGAAACTGGCTCGCGTCTTATTAATGACCAATGCCGATGACAATGATCAGAAGCCTTTTATTTATCGTGTTCCAGAGAAACAGGTCCTTCTTGATTTCATCCACAAAGGCGAGTCGCTGAAAGCGTCCGTCCTAGCAGAGTTGAACTCCTACGAATCAAAGAAAGAGGCAGAGCACAAAAGAGACTCTAAAGCAGCTGAAGATCTCCAATTCTTCAGTGAAAACAAATCCGAGACGGCAGTTTCTAGACGAGGTGATCCGCATCTCAACTTGGACGAGCTTGTAGCTGCGGCCACTGCCTCCGCCACTACACAGACAACTGATTCGGCAGTTGATAATTCTGAGATCGAGGATCTTCAGAAGATCAAGGAATTAATGGAGCTCAAGGGCCGCGACGCACTCTTGAAGTTCCTCAAATCATAATTACTCTGGGCCTTATGGTTCAGTAAACCAACCTCGCATGATCTATCGTCGTATATTACAGTCATAAAGCATTCTAAACGTTCGTCGTAGTTATTTTCTATGTACAGATTCCGACAGTTATAATGCTATGAAAGGGTGCTGGATGTGGGGGATCTCGGACTCAGGAACCCGAGTAGCTTCGGTAGCTTTGATTAGCTTTTTGAGGATCTTTTGCTCATCAAGAGCATGGCAGTCTATCTCGGTTTTGTTGTTGGAGGCATCGTGGATAACGATCTTTGTTGGCACCTTGGCGATGTCATCCTTGGAAGTGGCTCTCACTCTAGTACAGAAGAAATCCACATTCTCATTGTGAAACTTCAAGGTGGGCAACTGTAGTTTCAAAAACTTTCTTAAGCCAGTACGAGGACCGATGATGTTCTTCTCTAATAGGATGACTTCGATCTTCTTTGTGTTGTCACCGAATCTGTAGGCATTCTTGGGGGTACCTGCAATCATGTTGATACGGCTAATTTGCTTGGCCAAAGACGATGTTGGCAAATTTTTGAACATTTTGGCCGACATCTTTGATGGTGTGGTTGAGAATGAAATCAGATTTTTTAGATTTTTCGCTGCCTCAACTTGGGCAGTTCCTACAGGACATCAAGTTTTGCAGCCCAAGAAGAATAGGTGGGGTGAAAGAACTAGAATTATTCATAAGTCTTGATGAAAAAGACACAAATATTTTATTGCTAACGCATCGAGAGAGCGAGTGCATTTCTTTGACTCGTCAAGGCGGCAATTGGGAGTGTACACCAGCTTTTGTAGGCTCTGGATGAAGAAGGTTTTCACCTTATTGATACAATTTTTGGTACTCTTTTCTGCCCCAGAGCATGCAAATTAGTGACATTGAGCTTTCAAATCTAACTAGCTCTTTTAGTTTAGAAGGTCGTATTGACAGATCCACGCATTCGCAGCCAGTCAATTTGCACCCCACAAAACCACTTCAACAAGAATTTCAAGGAAGATTTTCAATATCACATTTGACGAAAACTCATTGAGGAGAGCTATTCGATGATTTCTCTGTCACAATACATTTCACCAAAATCCTCTTTCTGATTGGGACGCTTCCGTGATACCGCGACTCGTTATCAGTCCTACACCTTCCACTGATTATGACTCTTCCACCTTTTCATCACGTGTAATACCTTATTCCGCTTCTACTTTCGTTTTGACTTTAGCAATTGAAAACGACATGAGAACCGCTACCCGTCTATTTGCCCCGGTGTCCAAAGCCGAGCGCTTCGTCCCTAAACTGGGTAGTTATCCCAAGGGCTACGTTGTTGGAGGAATTCATTGTGGAGTGAAGAAGAACAAAGATGCGCTAGACTTGGCCATGCTTCACAATGTTTCTGGCAATCCTAGTGTTGCTTCGGCAGTTTTCACCACCAACAAGTTCAAAGCCGCTCCAGTGCAGATTTCCTCCAAGTTGATCAAGGAAAAGAACGGTCAGATCAACTCCATCATTGTCAACTCAGGAAACGCCAATGCCGTGACAGGAACCCAGGGCTTGAAAGATGCACAGGATATGATCAGGGTGACCGATGCTGTTTTGGAAAATACGGAAGACTCCACCCTAGTGATGTCAACCGGTGTCATCGGCCAAAACTTACCGATTGATAACATATTGCAAGGCATTCCCAGATTGGGTCTCAGCAACTTGGGAGCCTCGCATGACCATTGGCTTGCTTGTGCCCAGGCCATTTGTACTACCGATACGTTTCCTAAGCTTGTGAGTAAGCAGTTTGAGATCAAGGGTAAGACCTACTCAATGGCTGGATTGGCAAAAGGTGCCGGCATGATTTGTCCCAACATGGCCACTCTTTTGGGATTCTTTGCTACTGATGCCCCAGTGACACAAAATGCATTGAATCAAATCGTCAAGTATGCGGTTGATCGCTCCTTTAACTCCATCTCCGTCGATGGAGACATGTCCACAAATGACACCATTGTTGCCATTGCCAATGGTGCCGCAGGTGGCGATTTGATTGACGCCTCGACTGAGACTGCCGAGGAATTCTCCATTCTTCGTGCCGAGGTGACCGACTTTGCGCAGCAGTTGGCTAAGTTGGTTGTTCGTGATGGTGAGGGTGCCACCAAATTCATCACCATCAAGGTCACAGACGCCTTGTCTTACCGCGAAGCCAAAGAGGTGGCGTCGACAATTGCAAACTCCTCTCTTTTTAAAACCGCCATGTTTGGTAATGATGCTAACTGGGGCAGAATCCTCTGCGCCGTTGGATACGCTGATGTTGGATCCAACTCTGTCAACCCACAAAGAACGACGGTTTCTTTCATTCCAAGCGATGGTAGCGAGCCCCTCCCTTTGTTGGTCAACGGTGAACCCGAGCAGGTGGATGAGGCCAGAGCTAGCGAGATATTGAAGGAAGAGGACTTAGAGGTGCAGATTTCCTTGGGTACTGGCGGTGGACAGGAAGCAACCTTTTGGACTTGTGATTTGACTCACGAATATGTGACCATCAACGCCGACTACCGCTCGTAGATAAACAGCACAAAATGCATATTACACTAGGTTCATGTAGATACCACCAATTCTTCACGCAGCTCCTGCACTAGTTAGTACTACTTCCATGAAGACGCTCCTAGAAGTGAAAAACCGGGATAATTTTCGCGGGTACGAGACAGGATATTTATATGTTCATCTTCTAGCGCTACGTGTGAATACATCGAAGTTTTCTGACGTGATTGTCACGGATTTCACCGGTAATCCCGATGTGGTGAGTGAATGGAGTCGCGTCAACGTGTTTGGAGGCCATGAGCTACCCCGTGATCAATTACTCAATCTTCAGGTGCCATTGGATGTCTTGAAAAGCCTCTGTTTGGACTACTCAGGCTGCTCTGACGGAAGAGCTCTTTTCAAAGGCATTGATGCACTTCACGAGGATTCCAATTGGATTGACGTCAGTACCCAATACTGCTTGGCCTACATCGAGGTGAAGCTCCGCAAGACTGTCAGCAAACTCACAGGCACAATCACAAGAGCCAGGATTGCTGATGTCGATCGTACTGCTGATATTAAGGCATTTTGGGAGAGATTCTTGTCCCTGCCATTGAGTGATATACCTGAGAGTGCTAGTCTCAGACCTTCTGACGTTGTGAGGAGGCTACAGGGAATTACATCCGGAACAGATCCAGACAAGTCCGTGGAAGCTCCAGTGAAGATTGAGCATCTGGACTCCGAGATTGATTCACAACACAACTTACAGGACATACTTGAACCGGCTTCACAATTCAGCCAAGGCGATCGCCAACAAGGCATTGCCCCGGGCCAATCAGCTATACGAGCACTGCAACAACTGCAGCTTCTGCAAACACTGCAGGTCCTTCCTCTGCAAATTGAACCGTCCCAACAAAATCCGGCTGCAGTTCAAGGGACTCAATTTTTAACCCAGATACCTCAATCGCAAACACAGGCAAGTGACAATAATGACGAAAAACTCCCGTTGCTGTTTACACTGGACTCGAATGGAAGCGTCAAAAACCACTACACTTTGGCAGAGCTCAGTGCAATTCCATTGCGCCCTGACAATAAGGTGTATACCACCCTGGCCATAGTAGCCGGTACCGTACCCAAGATATCCACCGTAATTTCAAAGGCATTTTCTAAAACACACGGTCATCTTGAATTGTCAGATCCAGGGGCATCATTCCTAGAGCTAGTGCTCACAGACGTTGAACCCATTGAACAGGGATGTAAGACGACCCTTTCCCAGAATAGTCTCTTGTCTGTTCATATTCCACCAAACGAGATCTCCCGATTTCTAGGAGGAGACTTCCCTGAGCAGCTATACACACAATTGCCAGCCATCGAAGACAAGTTTCAAAAGAGATCAGCCAGGAGCCTCTCATTCCAACTTACTCTATCCGACACAAACTGTGGATGTGTTTGGGTACCGCAGTCTCTTACATTGAACGACTTACTTTAACGAGAAGGCTCGCAAGGATCCAGTGTCATGGACCAACCTGATCTGGCTCCAGTCGCTGAAAAGTTAACATACTTTCATCAATTCCAGAAAAATGCCTTGCTAACTCGACAATAGGCCAGGGCAAGGCACGGAAAACTGGCAAGAAATGGCCATAGAGCGGGAGCTTGATTTCACCTCGGCGCCCATGGGTAATAGCCTCAACTATGGAACGAGCAACGTACAGAGGTTTCAATTCCGGTGCTAACCACCGCCATGGAGTTGCAACTCCGTCGAACATTGAAGTTCTCATCTGGCCTGGGCAGACGAGAAGAGTCTTGACACCGGTCAAACAGAGCAGGGGTGGACCTAGCTCGTACGTGAGCAGCTCATGAAGCGCCACCAAGCCAGACTTAGACGCTCCGTAAGCGCTTAGATACGCTGGAGACATGTACCCTAGCACTGAACCGACGGTAATGACATATCCACGTTTCTGTTGAAGCATTCCAGGAAGGAATGTCTTAATCGTGAAGAAGCTCAGAAGCAAGTTCACCCTGATGATCCTCTCAATCTCGTCACTGGATAAGGCCAAGACCGTCTTGCCGCTGGTGATACCTGCATTATTAACGAGAACAGTTGGTACCCCGACGGACTCCACAATTAGACTGTAGCAGCTCTGAACATCACCAATGTCACCCACATCACATCTGAAGTAATTGGCCGAAGGGATTCTTTCACTCTCCTGGGGAATATCAATATCCAATATGACCACCTTTGTATCTTTTTCAGCAAATTTGGATGCAATTGCTTTCCCTAGACCTGAGGAACCCCCAGTGACCACCACCACATCTTTGGTAGGATCAAACAGGTGTCCGACAACAAGGTGAGACATTTTTCTCAATTGGGCATGAGTGAAGTAAAAGCAGGAGTTAGCAAAAGAAGACATGGTAACGGTGAATAATGTGTTTGGGAGATTGTGGAAATGGCTGCAAAATGAGCCTACCCGCACCAGATCCTTCATGGTTGCAGATGAGCAGGATATCATCAGACCCCACAAAACAGCCGTGAGAATCACCCGAATTACTCCCCTGCTTCGAAATGTCCCAGACACCTCCACAAATTCTACGAATCAAGCGTAAAAGAGGGGAAGATCCTCTTCAAGCATTGATTTTGGAGGGACGCCAATCGTCAAAAAGATCTAAACCGGCTACTCCACGAGCCTCTGCTCACCCTTCTCCTTCTCGTGAGCAGCAAAACTGGTTATTTCACCTAGAACGTACGGAGGAATCCTCCCAAAATCAAGCAGATCTTGAGTCTCTATTGGCCGAATCCAAGAACGACAGGAAGGATGCTCGTCAGTTCGTCATTCCCAAGAAACATACCCTAGAGGACTCGCTCATCCCCAATGAGCTTACAGACATGGTGGCCAACTTCTTGACCGTCAATGAGCCCACGACACGGAAAAAGAGAAAGTCTGGAAAACCTGTGACTTCAGATCAACCCGAGACACCTGCTGCCCCCAAAGCACAGGCTGAATATGATACTTCAGATGACTACGTCTTTGACACCTACAAACTCTCTGCCCAGGAGCCATTGACCGAAGCAAACTACCCGAAATCTCAAATTGGCTATATCAGATTCTTTGACGATGAAAACTACGACCTCATGCAGCTGGACGACGACAGTGTTCCCAACAAGTCTGACGACGAGGACTCCAATGCAGAATCCTTCTATCAGAATGACTACCCAGAAGACGAAGACGCCGGTGCCTTCAGTGACAGCTACGCAAATTTTGAGGACGACATCGATGAAACGGGTGTGGTAGCACTAGAAACTCCAGAAGAGTTTGAAGGCACGAGTCAACTTCTGAGGGGAGCTGATGAATTCGATACCCTATACGACGACTTTATGAACAGAGCAGGTGAGTCTTATGACCCCGATGAAACGTTTGAGCGTCAGCGTTTCTTTGAGGATGAAGGCGATAACGAGTTAGCTATTCACCGTGACCGGATATTCTCCCGTTTACAAAAAATGATTGACGAGGAGTGATCTAGGAAAAGAAGTACTCGCTTTCGAGAACTTTGTCAATATCGAGCTTGCCAACTGGCGGCTCCGGGAGAATTCTCACAGGAACAAGCACCGGGGTATGCGTTTTAGGCGAGACATTCTGCTCTTCGCCCACGTCTGCGTCATATCGTTCAGCTAGAGTCTTACCGTTCTTGTTTTGGAACCAAAGGCGAGGTTTGTGCTCCTCAATCAAAGCCAAGACAGGTCTAGGGTTTTCTATCTCAACCCTTAGACTTTCATTGAAGGACATTTTTCCACGTCTCGTTTGCTCAGCACCGTATTGCTGCCTCATCAGTTGGAACGCTTCGACGAGAGCCGGACTTTCAGAGTTGTTCACCCACACTACTTGCATTGCATTTCGATTTGTGTAGATCATATCATCCCTCAAGTTTCGGATGATCTGTGAGTGATGAAGCCTCACAAATTCTTGCCGGATGATCTTGTTGAGTTTTGGAACATCACAAGCGTGAGTCCAAAAAGAATCATGCACCCCAGCAAAACTTAAACCCTGGCGATTGGCTTCGAGACAAGTCATTTGCAAATGAATTGCATCTAACGAATGAATGAAATTAGGAGCCACAGCGTTTAGCTGTTTCCTCAAGTTCATGTGGCTTACTCTTGATCTCTGCACCACGGAAACCTTCTGCAATGGTGTGACAATCTCTTTCTTCACATCATGTCGGTAGAGCTGCACAACCGGAAAACCCGAGAGGGAGCTCCACATCATTGGCTGATAGTGTTTCAGACCAAAGAAGTCGACCTTTTTTAAGGAATGCAAATTGTGACTTGAGAAGGATTTCAAACACCTCAAGCAATTGCGAAGCAACCAATCCTGAATGGCTTGGGCTCCCGAGAAAAGCTCCGTTATCGATTGAAGTACATTTCTGGCAATGTATGTGGCGATTTGGCTTTCAGTGTACTCGGAGGAGACGGTATTATGGGTTTTGTTAGTTAAACTCTCGATGTTCTCTTGGATCTGTCGAGCTGCACCGAAGTGTGTCACACCGTACACGGTGGTCATGACTGTTCGTTTTATGAGTTTTCTCAGAAGCAATGGCTGACTTATTCTCGCAATATCTTTGGTAGATTCATTTTCAACGTCATCAAGTATCTTCCTTTTTACGATTTCAAGAACCTTTAAGTAAATATCATTTCGATCTCCCGGAAGCAAATTGACTGATCTAGCTGCAGCTTCGTCACCGCCCAATGCGGCGTAATGTTGAAGACCATTGCATGTTCCATCTTGATGAACGGGGATTCTCGACATGTAGTCCGCATCCGATCCTCCAAAATTCTCTATCAGATGTATCTCCTTACAGAGAGCAAGACTTTGCCATGGGTTATCGCCTTTCGTCCACCACTGATCCCCATCGAATGGTCCACTTGCGGATGCAATGATGTTTCCCATGTTCTCCGACACGAATGCAATGGATTGTTCCATATCGAGCTTAGCTTTAGAGTAAAGGTTCGCAAGTTGGTACTTGATCCACTTGTATCCATGCGGTCCCAATGGTTTTGCATCCCAGAACATCAACATCGATCTTATCATATCTTCGTTATGATGGGAAAGAAAGGAAACAGCTGGGTAAACTCTTCCACGAAAATCAACATTATGTGGCAAGTATAGAACATCACCATTGTCAGCGTAACATGAAGCGACCTTGTTCATGAGCTCGTAGGAAATCCTGTTTCCTCGAAGTCCAAAGTACTCATTCTCAGCCTCCCGCTTATGCTTGTAATAAGCCCTCCTGTGACCCTCGTATTCAGAGTCCGATTCGTAAAGACTTTTTTTTGGCATTTCAAAGAACGGGGGATGCAATTCGCTCAATGGCGGTGGTATCAGGAGGAATCCTTCAGGCTTTTTGAGGCACTCCGTGAATATGTCCAGCATTTCCTTGTTGATGGTCCAGGGAAGCGACCCAAGTTGAGTTAAAACGTCATAAAGCGATTGAAGTTGTCCTGTGGCATGAGCCTTGTTGATGTACTTCGAAGTAGTCTGTTCGTCTGAAGAGCGAACCATCGGAGCCAACCCTTCCAAATAGCCCCCATGTGTTGGTGAGGTCCACTTCTCAGGCGGACATAGCATTGGCAAAAGCACCGAACCGCTATGTAGAAGGTCCTTGTAGGATTGAAAAAGAATGATTATCTCCTGGTTGAGGCTGATTATGCCCATTCTATGGTAAGGAGAGCTATCTTGAGTAGACTTCGCATACCCTACAGAGAATAGAGGCTGACCATGCGAGCTTTTTGATAGCATCTCGCTGTCTGTAGGTAGTTTGCAGCTTTCTGTGGCGAGTTTTATGATGCCACAGAAGAACTCAATGGAGTCGTCCTCATTAAGATAGTGATTGAGCTGTTGCGATACGGGTTTTAGTTCAGGATCCAGACGAATTGATTGCTTGAGCGAGGTCAGCATTGCTTTGGCTAACTTCAACGTTCCAACCAGTCCTGACTTGAGTGTTGCCGAAAGCATACTGGTAAGTACTATGGATGCAAGCTTCTCGGCGGGATAGGTAGTGTAAAAGAATGCAAATTTTGAAAGGCTTCGATTAGTCTCTGTATCAAGAGCTTTGATATTCTCGCAAATAGCAGCGTTCCACTGCAGTAGCCAATGCCTGTGAACTATGCTGAACTTTTGAAATGTACTTTCTTGACGCTTGGGAGCGAGTGAGTCCTGAAGAGCGCCGCAGTATTTTTCCACCTCTATTTGGCGGAGCCTATTATGATTAAGGTAGGCATCTATGAAATCGTTTCTTTGGGATTGGGGTAGAGAGTCATAGATCTCATGCATGGGACGATTGTCACCGTCGAATTGAAACCTCGAAGATGATATAAAGTCACAGAGACTGGTGAAGCTCATCGAGCCGTTTTTGTTCAAGAATGGTTGAACATCTAACTTTTTCTCGGAAAGCTCCGACTTTGCTTTGAGATTGGGCCAAAGGGCTCGAAATGAGTCCGTGAGCTCTGAATACTCACTTGCAACCACCTGCTCGAAAGACTGAGGAGTTATCCCATACTTTTCAGCAAGATATATGGTCAACTTTCTTGCTCTTTGACGTCTCAATGCATGCTTTTTGGATAACTTATCGAAATGTCTGCAATATGCCACTAGTAGGTGTATACGGAGTTGGGTCAACTGATCTTGCAGGACATTCAGTACGACATAACCAGGAAGCAGTTCAACCATATCTTTGACGTTTCCAAGCTCATTGAATTCTCTTTCTGAGCCATCGGATGTGGATGCAAAATGTGCTACTAAGGTGCTCAAGCACGATACATAGAGTTGCACATTTCGAGCAAACGAAGTATGGGTCCTGTTGACCTTGCACTTATCTCTGAACTTGCCTAGTAGATCGAAGGCCTGATTGAAGTCTCTCTGGAATACGGCTTGGAGGTAATGGTTGACTCTTATTCTTGTATCGTAGTTGGTGATGGTGAACCGTTTTTGCTCACTGGCGATGCTATTGACGGTGTCAATGAAGTCTGTGTTCAAGGCATTTCGAGGATCTGAACGTTCCAACTGTGGTCTTAGAGGCTCAAGCTTGGGTACCGAGGATAGGAGCCTTGAAATACGTCGAAGCATTTGAACATAGTAGTATGGACTGTATTGTACTGTATGAGATGGCGATGGTCTGCTACTGGATTATTCAGAGGTGATCTTGAAGGTCAACAATAACATCTTTATGATGAAGTTAGTCTACAAAACGTCTTTTATATCTGTTTCTGATTTTCGTTTGTGTCTTTGGTATTCTATTTTACAGTGATGGAGTTTATGAGGGAACTGGCAGCTCAATTCACGTAGGATCAACAGGTTTTCCTAGGCTTTGGCTTCAGGCATCACGTTCCATGTCATTTCCCGACTTGAAATTCCAGAAATGCTTGCTCTAGTTGTTGATGGTGGTCTGGATGTTGAAGATGACCGCAGGGAACTGGGAAATCTCAGCCGCAACATACGCTTCTATGCCAAAGCTCATCAAAACTCCACGAATGAGGCCACAAGAGAACCATAGATACGTACGTGCCTTATTGATAGAGTCTGGAAGGCCCTTGGAGCTGTTCAATCCAGAGATAAGCCTGTGGTCGTTATCTATAAGCACAAACGTACCTCTGTGGTTCGTTCGGAGGTTGTCCATCTGCTTATTGAAGAGACTCTTCCAGACATCACGACACACAAACTTCATGATGTCCAAGATATCAACGATCTTGTTAAGCTGGCCTGCTGTCTTGTACATCAACACCTCAGTGAGACGAAGACCAGTGGCATACCCGTATGACTCGATCCTCAACGTGGCCTCATCTTGACTCAAGTGCTCTGACTCGAAAATGGCAACTTTACCAGGCAAGTCATCCGGCAATCGCAGAAGAGGAGTGTCTATTCTTGTCTGGGAGTCTGTTGTATGGCCTTGCAGTTGCCTTTTTTCACCGGTGAGGTGGGACACTCTCAACGAAAGTGGCACAATTTCTTGAAGAAGCAAGTCGAGGCAAACGCCATTGACTTGTTTTTGGGAATCTAGCACGTCCATAAGGAAAGTATAGTAAAGCTGTACACTTTGATCTGATACCGCTTTCCTATTTTGGCGCGGGAGGTGTAGGTTTCTAGGACCCAGACGGCAGTGCTACTTGGAGAATATGAACAAGTGCTAATACTTACTTTCTAGGGATTGCTAACGATGACGCTTGTGAAATGATATAAACGCTTTATTTCTGGACTCTTGTCTTTCTCTCATCATCTATACTCTTCCTAGGCAGCTTCCCACCATGACGTTACGACACAGCTCCAGTTTTGCAGCCATTTCCCTGACAGGAGTCAGATGCACAGAGACTTCCAGTAGGAAGCCAGAAACATCAGAGAACTTACAAAAGTCAAAATCATGGCCTTTGAGAACACAACTAGCTGAAAAAGTCAGTCCAAAGGCGTCCACAGCCGGCTCGAAACGGAGTAACCGTAGAAGTCCAGCTGAATCGATCAACACCACCAGAAGCAACGATAGCATTTTTGAAAGGACAAATGGCTCACAGACAACAGCTCGAAAAACACTGACCAGAGCCACCACACCGCCTTCAACCATCAGAGAACCCTTTGAGCCGGGATGGTTAGGCAACACAAAGCTGGTCTATATCATGGACGAATTGATCAACACAGAAGAGGCATTTGTGACGTCGTTGCAAATTCTCAGAGATCACGTCATTGAGCCTTATCTCCAGAGATGCAAGTTACGTGGATGCCGTTGCTTTGCACTTGAGGTACTAGCACAGACTGCCTCGTATATTCTAGAGATGCACAAGCTGTTGCTTCACTTGAGAGACCAGGATTTCCTTGACAGAGTCACATTTAATCTTCGACACACCGAGACGTACGTGCGGTACTATGTGAATGCTGATGCATTTTCATACCTTGTGTTGAATGAAACCTCGAACTTCACCACTGAGTTCACCAATTCTGTGCTCCACAATCTTGAAAGCAAGAACAGTTCTGAAAACGCGGGCAAGCTTGACCTTTCGATTCTTCTGTTGGTGCAAAAACCAATGGCAAGAATAGTGAAGTACCAGCTACTCATTGCACTGCTTTCGAAGGCCAATCCCGAGAACGAAAGCATCAGACGGCTGCTCACATGTGTCAGAATGTCTCTTACGAAGATCAACTGCAAGTTGGACAGAGTGGTTAACAGCACTGAAAGAACACAGTCACTTTCAGAGATTGTGCGTTTTGATCAGACAGCTGGCCAGTGTCCACTGTACTATGGTCAATTGAGATTTGCATCTGTTTCGTCAATTGCCTGGCCAAAGTTCAAGAGAAGCTTGACTATGCAGAAGACAGTGGCACTTCTCTTATTCTTTGAAAGAAACTTGGTGATCTGCGACTATCGTTCTGGAATGAGAAGAAAGACCCCACTCCTCGTTCTTCCGTACGACGCTTGCAGTATTGTCAAGAATCATCAAGACTTTGATGGTGGACTCACATACCATAGTCAACTGTGCATCAAGCTTCGATACCACTACCAAGATTGCGAGTACGAGGCGATCCTTGGCTTTCCCAACCTGGACGCCAGAGTCGAGGCACTTTCATCGTTCCCAAATGTGCCTCGGTCAAGCTTCAGTTATGGAGTAGAGAGTTTCTTGCCTGATACTGTTGCACCCAGCGATATCAAGATTGAGTCAACTGGCGTGGCCCAAAGAAAATACCAGCAATGCTACTTTAGGAAGGTGATCGAGTATCAAGCAAGGGGGCCGCTGGAGAGATTCTTCAAGTCAAGGACTATGAGGAGACTACTTCGAAGCGATTGAGTGATCTTGAGGTCGACATTCATCGATTATTTGTGAATATCCTCGAAGACAGCGGAATGGGACTATTGAAAGAGCAGAGACATTTTTGAAAATTTTGTGAAGTGGTCGATTTGGAGAAGTCAGTATGATGCCTGTCAAGCACTCGGACATGTAGGCGTTGCTCGGCAAATCCTATGTAGCATTTGCAGCCATAGATAAGCATACCAGGGAAGAGCGAAAAGCTCAAGAGATAAGAAAATATAAGAAATAATTGGAAAATATTCGTAAAAACCCCATTTTTTTTTTGACTTGAGCTCCCCAAAAATGACCCTGTGGCTCGTGGCCGTTTTTGCAACCCCGAACCTACAGTCCGGCTTGGTCCAAAGCCCTGGGCCGTTAACCGTTGAGACTCAAACTATAATGCCAAATAACAAAACGTATCAAAATCGAATCTGGCAAATAAGAAAAATGCAGTCCATTGCTTAAGTCCGAGAAGGCCTTGTTTTTCATATTTTATTTGCTCAATGGCTTTCCACAATTGCCTGGGCTGGCTGGGGTCCCCAGAAATTATGAGTCGCCCAGAGCTTAATCGGCAGAACCAGCAGGACCCGTGTTCTCGCTCCCGGGTCGGTAGTCAGCCAGCCGTTCTGAAATGTACTTACGTGAGTCGCGTTCACTATGGTGCTGGCTCGGTTTGAATGGGGATGAAGTGCGTAAATTGTGGTACAATCCGGTGGCCGCCTCGCGCTCTGATTGGCCCAGACTGCAGATTCGAGGGCGTGAGCATGGTAAATGCACGAGAGACGCACCGGTTCTTTTTTTTTTTTTTTTTTTTTCTGTTTGCCTCCGGCCTCCGTAGCGAGAATACACCAACAGGAAAATTACCTACAAACAAGACCAAAAAAAAAAAAAAACTGAGATACTCCACCACTTACCTACTACTACCTTTTTCCACCAAAAAGTCAACGCTGAAAGCTACACACGTCCTTTATTCGCATATTTTTGCTAAAGAGCTCCTTTGGTCGTCACGACAAATTCATTTAAGTCAATTTTTTTTTTAGTGTTTTTTTTATCGAGCCGGACAGAAGAAAAAATAAAAAAGCACCCAGCACCAACCCTCCCCGGTCCTACTTCCTATCGAACATTGAATAAGGACCTAGCATTTCCATCACTAATAAGGCTCATCCCTCTTCACGTCATCGGAGAGATATCTGCCTCTTTCAATCATACTTTCAACTTATCGCTTAGCCCCACCAAACCCACCACCTTTCATTCTCCCAGGGGCCAACCATCAGATGACTTCTGAAACAAACCTACAATTTGCCCCCACAGGTCCCATGATGAACCCTAATGTAAATTCGGGCTCCACGTTACCAGGCCAGTCGAACCTTCTTTCAGGCTCCTTCTCCTCCATGTCACAACCGTCTAGTGCCAACCAGCCGCCTTCATCGGGCTCCATACTGCAGCAACTGTTTCCTTTGAAAGTTCTTAATGTTCCAGCTGACTTGTCCGAGAGAGAAGCTCAGCTCATCTTTGCATTGGTGCATGACGATGTCGCCAGTGTCGAGCTCAAGGACCAGGTTATTACCGCCAACTTCAAGACCTTGAACACCTGCATTACTACCGGAAAGCTCCTTGAGAACAAGCCAATCTTTGGCTCAAATCTGCCGCAAGTGAACGTTGAATACGACGCCAATGTGCCCCTCGCAGCCACAACAGGCGCTTTCAACAACATGATATTGTCTAACTCTGGCATTTCTCCACCATCCTCGCATCCTGTTCCACTGGCCGCCCAGCTCCTATCGGGCTCACAGTCAAGTCAGGGGGGTCAAGTCGGCCCTGGTACTTTCGACTCATTCCAGAAGCGCAAGTCAGTTGGAAACCAGAGATCCCGATTCCTTTTCAGTGACCCATTCTCAGGTACAACCACTCCAACCAATGCCAACCCTCCCGCCGGATCTATTGACTTGAGCGATATCACTGGCAAGTCCATACTCATGATGGAATCGCATAATGATGCCAGAGAGTACGAGAACCTTGTTCGCGACCCTTGGTCCTCGCAACCATCGAATTCTCTTGGCTTTGGCTCAAACCCCGAGACCCCTGGAATGAATGTTCCAAACTCATTTGAATGGGGTGTCTCATCGAACAATCAACAGCCATCTCAGCCCTCTCTGGGTCAGCTGTCCCAACAGCAGGGCCAGTCTTCCCAGCAACTGCAGGCAAACCAGCAGGGAACCCAGGGAAAACAAGCGGGCTCCCAATCAAATGTCCCTGCCTCGCTGTCTTCTGCAGCACCAGGGTCCCTTAATGGAGAGAGAAGAAGAACTTCATCCGCATTTTTTAATAACGGCTCAGGCTCACAGACTCAGGCTCAGTCTGGAACCCAGCCTCAACCTCAACAACAGCCTCAGACTGTGGCAGCCATCTTGTCTCAGGGGCCAACGCAGTCTAACGGCAATAATTTGGCACCATTATCGATCCCATCTAACTCAATTAATAGAAATGGGCCTCCATCCGCATCGTCTGCGTCTGGAGCTCAACAGGCAGGCCCTTCATCTCAGCCAAACTCAGCAACAACACCAACTAGTGCTGCTAGATCGTCTACCAAGGACGTTCCTGACTTGTCATTGTTGGCACGTGTGCCACCACCAGCTAATCCTGCTGACCAAAACCCTCCTTGCAACACTTTATACGTTGGTAACCTTCCACCTGATGCTACTGAGGCTGAGCTCAGGACATTATTCTCCCCTCAGAAGGGTTTCAGAAGATTGTCCTTCAGAACGAAGAATCAGTCTTCTAGCTCTAGCTCTAGCTCATCTTCTCACAACCACGGTCCTATGTGTTTCGTTGAGTTTGAAGACGTGGCTCATGCCACCATTGCATTGGCTGAATTGTACGGGAGAGCTTTGCCTAGACCAAACGGCAGCAATGGCAAAGGCGGTATCAGATTGTCTTTCTCAAAGAATCCCTTGGGAGTCAGAGGTCCTGGAAATCCAAGAAGGTCATCTTCCCAGCAGGGTTCCAACAACGGTACCAACAACAATGTTGGTAACTTTGGCTACCAAAATTTTCATTAAGAAGGACACCAACGGGATTGCATCACTAATCTTATGACTGTTCCGCATCATCATTCCATCATTTTGAGCTTTTTAACTTAGCTCATCAACGCTCATCGTCATGCTCCCCATTACAGTTCATTTATCATTCTTGTCATCGATATAATCATTACCCTCGTCATCATCGTCATCTACCTTACGATTCATGTTTCTGGTTACATCTTGTTTAGCCCATGCCCTGTATTATTTTAAACTATTCATCGCAATACTATGTTATAGCTGTTTTATAATTAAAGTGAACTAATTTTCTCTTGAAGTGATTAAATGTATCGATAGTGTGATTACGATCCAGAACCCAAACTCCGATTTTTATTCAAACTTAACACACCAAATAACCATACCTATTTAATTTCTACTCTTATTTTTGTCAAAGCGCTTCCCCTGATCACTTGGGTAAGAGATCTATCAAATCTCTGGTCTGCGCATATACTTCTGTGAGCCATTTAGATTCCAAGAGAGACCCAGTTGTACAACGCTTCTCCGGATCAGGATGAAGAGCCCGTAGAATGTGTCCTCGAGCGTTATAATGGAGCTTCTTGAAATGAGACAACGCAGGATTCAGTGGATCACTAAAGCTGCGGTCGTTGAGCTTATCGACCAAAGCAACTAGATGCTTTTCGCTTTCAGGATACTTCTGAATGTACTTCTCCATTGTTCTGTTTTTGTCATCCGAAACAGTGTTGGAGCTAGACCAGGGCACAAACATTAGGAAGACTTGGAAGTAGACAACACCGAGAGCCCAGATATCTAGAGCCTTGAAGTTGATCTTCAACAAATCAAGCTCTTTACCCTCATTTTGTTCTCTTTCGTACCGGAAAAGCTCAGGCGCCTTGAAAGAAGTTGTTCCGCAGGAGATTTCATTCAACGACGCGTGTTCAACGGTCTTGGTGAGGTCGACAGAGTAGCCAAAGTCGTTTAGCTTGAGCATACCCTTGGAGTCTATAAGGAAGTTTTCTGGCTTGATATCACGATGGGCAATATCATGGCGATGTAAAAAGTCAACCGCCTTGACCATCTGCTTGAAAGTTGCATCCCTGAGGTTCAGCGATACCTCCACTTTCTTGGCTCTGAAGGTGCAAAGATGGTCCAACAAGTCTCCATGGAGGTAGTACGGTATTATAAGGGAAAGCTCCTCGGAATCCTGGGATCTAGCGACGTCCAAAACGTCAACCACCAGCTTACTGGCGGTACATTTTCTCAAATTATCAAACTCTCTAAGGACCAGGGCTCTATAGGTCTCGGAAGTTTGCGTTTTCTGGAACTTGACGGTTTTGATAACCACAACAACGGTTCCCTTTGCATCGGAACCCTTGAAAATGATGCCGTTGGCACCGTCGAAGATAGGTTTACTAGCCAAAGTGACGTAGTCCTCGCCAATAACCAGCTTCCCTGGTTCCGTAGCGGGCTCTAGCGCCGAAAGGCAATCCATGCAGTTGAAAGACGACGAAGCTGAGCGAGAAAGCGCCGTGTCCTTGGCCGAGGTCGACACTGAACGGGTTCTAGTCATTGGTTCACCCGCGTTGTTCAGCGACACGGGCCTGAAGGTGGAGGAGCCCGCTGTGGACGGCGAGCCTTTCGGAGTTAGCGTTTTGGAAGATTTCTTCAGCTCTGAACGGTCCGATTTCTTCATTTTCGGCACCAGGTCCAGCGTTAGCCGGCGGTGTATCGAAGATAGCATCTTCACAATATAGCGATGGGAGTCAGTAGGGCGGTTGTTTTGCGTGCGAGCGATGGAACAACAAGGGACACTTGAAGCTTAATCTCAAAAAAGTTGTGGAAGCAAAAGCAAAGTAAAAAACAGCCGGGGGTGGGGGATGGGCATTAATAAACGCTACCAAAGGACTTCGGCGGTATGTAGGAAGTAGCGCTTCTTCGCGGGGTGAAATGGGGCTGACTTGCACAGGCAAGGTAGAGAGGGCTATTGAAGAAGAGTCAGGAGAGCAAGCGAGGGCGGGATTTTTGTGATTTTTTTTTTTTTTTTAAAAAAAAGGCGAATTCAAATAATTTTGTGACTTCACTGACGACGGGGTTTTTTTTTGCCCCATCTTGGTTGCAACTTCCTTGCTGCGCGGTAGGTCTGACGTAGGGGTACCGAAGCGATTGTATGCAAAGGCCTAATGGAAAAAGAGCCGGATAGACGGTCCGATAGAGATACCGGGCTAAAGGGCCAAATTCTTGAAAGCTGGAAAAGCATGACCTTGGTGGATTTCTTGCTTGAAAAGCCACGATCGACATATTATTGTGGCCAAGGCCGTAAGACGATCGCGAGCGTTCTGAAAGTAAGGTTTCGTTTTTTTTTTTCCAATAAGCGTTGCTGCAGAGTCCTCGGCACTCACTACAACCACTCGGTGTGGGGAGCCCCGATAATGGCTTTTTTTCTAAAGTGTAATTCCGTTGCAATTTCTTTTCTGACCGTTTTTAACTACTTTGGCAAACCTGCTTTTTCGCCTCTATCGGATGGTGCAGGGGTCAGCACGCAATGATTTACGACCAATATGCTCTACTCCAGACGCATTATGGAATAATTAGCCGAACCACCGGACCAAAAAAAAATAGGACCCGGTTTGGGATCTGCAAAAAAGCCCTTGCTTGCAAATTATGGTGTGGCGCCTCGATCGAATATTTCTCGGCTGTCTCCTCACCTTATTGTCAGTTACCCCCTGGTCTCCACCAGGGCTCCTGGCTTCCACGGCACTTAGCGGATCTTGGGGTACCCCGTATATTTAGATCGTCAGCTTTGCAGCCATACGCCGTTGGGGGAGCCTCACATACGTCAATTGACTAAGATGTGCAGATGCAAGGCCATTGCATTGAATGGGCCAGGGTCCAAGTGGTGAAAATTCGGCTTCCATAGTGCAGTGGTTGTATGGTAGGGAAGTAGCCTAGGGGACGAATCTCCGATATAACTTATCACCAGTTGGGATTAGGAGAGTCAATTGATATCAACACCACCAATAACTGTATTTGTCTTATATACGTATTTGTCTTATATATGTATTTGTTTCCCTGGAAGCCCCTCTACAGCATGCCGAGGTGACCCCAGACTTCATACGCACTGGAAGATCAGACCCACCGGGTCTCTAAGCCTCTAACGGGTTCCACCAAATTATCACCCACAATTGCTTATCAGCAAATTTGGGGTAATTCACAAAATCGATTGAATGAAACTTCCAGTAGTTCCTTATTTTCCCGTGTGGTGGTCCAAGGCTGTGGTCCTCCCTGCATGATCGTTTCCCGTAGCCGAAGAAACCGTTACTTGAGAATTAGACACACCAAGGCATGTCAGGCTTAGGAAAGGGATTGTCCAATTTGGGGCACTCGGTGAAGGACAAGAGCACGTCATTTGGCCATTCCGTCAAGGACAAAGGCTCCTCCTTGGGCTTATCCGTCAAAGACCACGCCTACCGCAGAAAGCACTACTCGGTTGATGATGACCTACTACATGACTTGTACCACAACTTGAAACAGACGCTGACAGCTTTGAAATACTTGAGTGCTCAGACAGACCGCTTCCTGAAGAAGTACTGGCCCCATGTTTTCGCCTCAATGGCTAAGGCCACGAGGGGGTTTCTAGACTTGACTGGAGAGAACTCTCTTGAGTTCAAGGGCATTGACGAATACTACGACGCTTTTGACAAAATCCTGAGCTTTCTGGAGCTGTTTGCCATGCATCCGAAGGAGAGGCAAACCACGATACCCAGCATCAACTTTGCCTTGACCAACTTCTTGTTCACTGTGGATCAGATGCGTGAGAAAGTAGCTTTGGATTCAGGCGGCCTAGCCAAACTTGTGCGTCTGAAGAACGATGAAATGAGACTACAGCTCAAGCTCTCCATGAACTTGATGAAATTGAGGACCAAGAGGAAGCTCAAGTACGATGACCTCAATAAGAAGACCCATAAGCTCATGAAGAAGAACGTGCCCCTCGAGGCAAAGGAGCAGAAAGAGCTCGAGACACTAGGCACAAAGTCAAGGGAGGCTGAGAGCGTATACGAGAACATCAATACCCGTCTAAAGCTTATTCTTCCAGAGATTCTTGCTTTGCTCGAGGAATACGTCGACCTGATCACCAAGCTCATCGTGAGCAGCCACACGCAGACATACAAGCAGATTGTGGAAGAGATTCACGATTTCATGGAATTTCACGGCTTCCCTCACGACGACAAGCGTGAAAACCTGGAGGAATACCAAGCTATCATGGATGCCTGGGAGACTGCCGTCACACCAACAAGACTCCGGATTGAGTCTTTTGTTTCGTCCATCAAGGACAGACACCCCGACAGAATTGACGAAGATATCGAGGACAAGGACAAATCCTCGAAGATGTACAAGGCCTGGCTGCTGGCCACGCTGAAAGTCACCGATAAGCTGCACAAGGTCAAACCCAAGGACCATGTCAATGGCATCTTTGGCGAGTACATGACCGCAGACCCTCTTCAGTCGTTCCTCAAGTATGAAACAGAGGACATGAACCAATCAGAACGTTATCACCCTCAGAAGATGTTGAAAGTCACAGACGTTCATGTTCCAGAGAGAGATGTCAAGGCACCACCTCCACTTCCACCTCGTGATGATCTCCATCCAATAGCATTATCCCCACACATTGGAGTAATGCCCTCTCCACACACGGGTCATTGGAATGATTACGAGGACTCAATTGATCAGGACTCGGACACGGATCTCTCGTTATCTTCAGATAAGAGTGACGACGAGAAATCGATACTATCATCCGATATGCTAGCTGCGGACGTTCCACCAGACAAGAGCGTCCAAAAGCTTAAGGTCATCTACAACGAGTCGAAGAATGATATTGTGGAATTTCCCATCACAACGACAAAGTGGCCTCATTTCAGTACCAATAAGAATGTTTTCGACAAGACCTTTTCAACATCATATAAGTTGATTGAACTTAATAAGTTCTTTGAGAGTGCATTGGGCTCCCTTGACGGCGATGGTACCAAAGAACAATGGGTTGCCACAGAGGACTTCGAAGGAAGAGAACCAGGTGATCTCTCTTTCAAGGAGGGCGATGTTCTTGACGTCATTCTCGACCTCCAAAAGTTCAACATTTCACACCGTGCTAAGGGTGGAAACTGGTTCGTTGGTGCTACCGAAGATAAGGAACATCGTCGTATTGGGTTTGCACCCTCATCATATTTCACTAAACGTTAATCTACCTCATTTTTTAATAACTTGAGAAGGCTGCCCACGACCTTTTCTGGGTTAGCACGGAGACCATTGTGGAAAAACTCGCTAGTGATGTACTGTCTCAAGTTACCGTTTTCCTTGAATAGATTCAGCTTCACCTTCATGGTGAGGTCAAAGTCCACATATTGATCGTAGTAGTATGTAGCAGCCACAACAGGCACTATATCCCATGTCAATTGAGCGTAGTTGTTAGGGTATAGCGATGACCATTTTTCGTAGGAGTGAAGAGCATGAGCTACTTCCTTCAATGGACGCAATTGAGCGTAGTCCTCAAACATGGATTTGAAGACCATTTCACCAGTGAAGTACACAGGGTCGTCAGATTCGAGGAGCTGCTCCGATACGACGAAATTCTCATTTCCCTTGGCATAGCGGGTTCTGTCGGCTGCCCAGTTGGTAGCCTTGCCCTCGCCATCAGCATAAATGCATTCTTGGAACAAGGCGTACAAGATATTGGTGTCAAAGCTGTAAGTCAGCTGAATCTCATTCAACACCGCATAAGATGCTCTGCCTTGCGTCTCCAAAGACCAGGCAAACTTCACCACAAGCTGGTGGATCGAGTCAGTTCCTCCAGAGGCACCGAAATTGAGTCCAATTTGTTGGAATCTCTCAACAGTCAATTTCCCGCCATCAGGCAACAGAACAACATTTTCCCTCAAGTATTTCACGATTTGTTTCACGCGCTTCTTGTCCTCCGGGTACTTAGAGTAGTAGTGTCTGTTTCTTTCAGCTGTGCGCTTGTATGTTTGGGTATAGACATCATCGGCGGTGAAGCCAACCGGTGGTACGCCTCCAGTAATGAAAACAGCCTCAAGCTTTTCATATAATCCCAAGTACGAAAAACAGCAGAATCCTCCGAAGGATTGGCCCATGATCAGCCACTTGGACTCGCCAAAGAGAGCTTGTCTAATGAGCTCCAAATCCTGAACTATAGAGTCAGCTCTGAAGTGGGTCAAGTACTCGACAATGGATTCCGTTGAGCCCTTTGAAAGAAGGTGTTCCGTGTCAATTGGGGTACTTAAACCGGTACCTCTTTGGTCGTAGTAGACGAGTTGGTATCCGTCATCAAGAAGAACCTTGGTGAGTCCGGAATTGGACAATGGAACAGCACATGGGAATCCAGGGCCGCCTTGAATATATGCGAGTGGTTTGGAGTCTGAGGGAAAGACCACTTTCCAGATATCCGTGTGAAGCTTCTGGTCGTACTTCTGTGTGATGTTGGCAACAATACTGATCTTTTCAGACAGGCTGTTCCCGTGAACCAATGGAACAGAAAGAACAATTCTTTGATTTAAAAGCCCGTCATTGACAAAGGCATCGATCACTTTGAAAGGAGCCATAACGAAGGAATAGTATGAAGTGAAACTTTGGTGCCGTACGCGGAACGGCTGCAAAATATCACTCTTGCATAGGTCCACACTACATAGAGGAAAAGTCAATTCTACAACTGCTTTCATGAAATCGATTTTTTCCATATATTACCCTACTATGACAATTAGTACACAAAGCCCAAGATCTTACCAGAAACGTGCTTTCTTCTAGCCTCCTCGTGGTCCATAATACCAGCAGAGGTGGTCAAGATGACGTAACCGAACTGTCTGGCTGGCAACAAGTTGTCAGTCCATCTCTCGATGTCGCCGATCTTGACGTTGAATCTTGGAGAAATAACACCACACTTGTTCAATCTACCGGTCAACTGAACAACAATCTTGCCGGATCTGTGGTCGTCAATGTACTCGAACTCGCCAATGTAGCCTGAAAGTTAGTAAAATCCCAAAGGATTCCAAGTCGTTGTGGTAGAGGATGAAATGTCGAGGAAGAGTAAACGATAGTGAGGTAGGTTTAACTACTCAGCACCGTGTAAGTGTAAATCCTCTTCGATCTTCCGAACACTTAAAAGACAGAAAGGGACTGAAACCGATCAATCCATCCAGTTATCAGTTCGGGTTTGGTAGGGGGGAAACAACGACTCGGATCAATAAGATGCGTGTAACATACCGTGCTTCTGCATAACTTGCAAAAACTTGATGATGACCTTGGAAGAAGGTCTAAGCAAAACTTGACGCTTGCCGGTCTTCTCGGCGTTGTTGATAGCATTCAAGGCGTCAGCCAAAACAGAAGTTCTAGTCATTTCTAAGAAATGAGTTAGTATAAAAAAATCACAACCAAACAAAACAGAAGCCGCATGAGTGTCCCGAGGGAGTCATGAGCAATAAAATAGATACAAGGTGTTTGCTGTCTCTAGACAATTCTCGTAGCGAATTGCCCATCCGAAGGAGAGCCCATTCTCCACTGTCACCTCGATATTCCAAAATACAGAAATGATCGTGTCAAATAGCTCAAGACATCAAATGCTTATACCATTGTTTCGTTGATTGCAGTACCTCAACATCAGCTCTTCTGATTGTAGCATGCTGATACATACTTCAATTATAAGCTAAAGAAAGTGGATGTGTGGGAACTAGTGAGAAAATTTTTCGCTACAAAGTGTCGCAACTTTTTGGATTTTGTGCACGTGACTTCCATAGAATACCCTGGGGTTGATGATATAAATCCAGTTTACGGGAATGTAAATTGTGATGAAAATTTCATAAATGACTTTGTTTGAAATCCGTTCTGTCCATAGAAATCCATCAAAAATGAATTGGCTTCTTTAATAACTATCAGACGACAATCACACGGCCATCGACACTAAACTATGGCTCTGCCGTACATTCCAAGCTTTATAACCAAACTTAAACCTTTCAGATCGCTTTCTTAGTCAAAAATTGTCTTACTGGTCAAAATGTACCTTTTACTTGGTAGGTTGTAATCAGTCAATTAGCTAGGCCAGTGCACCGCATACTAGTCCCAATATTCAGGCCTATGCAATATATCCAAGCATCAAGATGATAAGATTGGCTTTTGGGAAGCCAGCCACACACTCAATAAGACGTCCTGTCACGTTACTACGATGCTTAAGGCATAGCTACCTGAGCAAAAACGATAATAAAAAGAAAGACGAGGAATTAACTTCAAAGGATGAGCTGAAAGGTCTCTTCAAGGTTAACCAGAAGTCCTCGTCATCTGCTCCAGCTGATATGCCTAACGACCAGGGTCTTCAGAGCTTGATGAAGAAGGATAACAAACCCTATGTTCCCAAATTGAGACATGAGCGACTTTCATATGAAATGCCGGGCATGCCTAATGAGGATGAGTTCACGAAATTCTCGAACAAAGTTCAAAAGCCAAAGACTGTCACTCGATGGAGCAGATATCTTCCAAAAATCGTGGCTCTTGTGCTAGTGCTATGGGGAGGCTACACCGTGAAAGTGTGGTACTATCCATCAGAGAAGGGCTCCGACAGTAAAGACCTCTTGGATCCAGAGCACTTTCACCCTTTCAAGGTTACCCATGTTAAACAAGTTGATGAAGACCATTATTTGATTGAGGTTCTTCCAAAGTTCAAGAATTGGCAGTACAGTTATTACGCTAACTACGAGGCAAAGACTGTTTGGAATGGAGACAGGTTGTGGTCGGTAGAGATCATGCAGCCTCAAATTCAGATTGTTAGATCCTACACGCCTTTGCCATTATACTTTATGAAATCTGAGAGAACTCGTTCAGGAGAAGAGGAGCCGCTTCTCAGAGTGATAGACAATGATAGAGAAGATTACGACAAGGGTGGAGTCATGACATTCTACATCAAAAAGTACGACGATGGAGAAATGTCAAGGTACCTCACCTCACGGAAGGTCGGGGACATCATACAGATAAGGGGCCCTTACACGGACTACAAGTTCCCATACCATCCCTTGAAGAAGTTCCATCAAAGACCCATGTTTAGAGACTTACCCTCGAAAGTTGAATCCGAGGCTCTCTTGCCAGTGGTGAAAAAGCAAAATAATGTACCCGATTTCGACAACCTTGCATTTTACGGAGCTGGCACCGGAATTGCTCCGATAATCCAGTGCTTGTTCTCAAGAAATCCATACAGAGGGTTTGTGGACATCCACTTCTCGGCCCAAAAACCTTCTGAGCTTGACCCATTCAAGAGATACTTATTTTTCCTCGAGAAACTAGACAGAGCTAAGTTGCATACTCACTACGATTCCCAGTTCATGTCCAAGCTTGGTAAGAAGGACATCCAGAGCCCACAGAAACCCCACTTCCAGAGCTCCATGAGAGTTGAGCAAGAGGTGGGAGAAAAGGAAGAGCTTCTGGAGGACGATAAGTTGAAGCTCAGAATGGCCATCATGCGTGATACTAAAGAGGAGGAAATCTCCAATGAACTCATCCCAGCGAACGAAACACAGAGGGCTCCAAGATACGAAAATGCTTTACAACAAGCCCAAGTTACTGCCACCGAGCCTAAAGAACCACCTGCTCTTGCAGTGGTATGCGGTCCAGATGGATATGTAAGCTATGTGGCTGGACAGAAGCTTTTGGAAACCAATGAGCAAGGAGAAGTCAAAGGTCTTCTTGGCAGTAAAGGCTGGGATAACTCCAACGTGTATAAATTATAGCATCAACATGTACATAGATTCGGTTGCAAAATCGAAAAGTCCGAATGCATTCGCACCACCAACTTGCACAGAGATGTACTAACATACAACGGTTCCTTCCCATACATCGAGAGATGGAAGATCAGCGACGGATCTCTCTGGAGCTCTTTCTGATCATAAAGCCGACTTGCGTGGAGCTATCTAAATTATCTACACTTCCTCCTGAGTCACTCAAAGAACAGGCTCAATCACTTACCCAATGCCTCCAGACATTATGCAACCAACTAGATCATCACGAGAAAGAGTACACTGGAAAACACTATTCATTGTCGACTAAGTTTGCAGACTATGCATTCTTTCCAATAACAAATTTGCTCAAACAGCCCTCACTACAGCCTGCTTCAACGAAACATGTTCTTCACATCATTGGCTTCCTTCTAGCCCACTCTTGGCTGCACGAGATCAACGAGACCCTAATCGACCAATTGTCTCCCATCATAGTTTACCTATGTGGAGGCCAGAAGAAGAGCATAGTTGTCTCAGATGACGACCTCGGGTTCTACCATCAAGTGATCTACTGCATCAATCAGCTTGTTCGTTGCTTCCCTCGTGATTATTATACCAAACAAGCTGAGAAGCGTTTGAGTGTTCTAGGCGACATCACAACTCTTCTTCTAGATTTGCTTGGAACTGTTCCGCAGCCTCTCGACCAAGAGCGTAACGAATTGTCCATGAAGGTCTTGGAGTGTCTCACTTGGCTCTACTCGGTGCGAGTCAATGCCGAGCAGACCTCCTTCGTGTTCCCTGGAATAATCTCCAAGGTAGCGAACTTCGTCATAATTTCAAAAAACTTGCATGCAAAGACCATCATTGCGGTCTTTGAACTTCTAAAGGCCTTGATAGTGAAGATCTTCTCTGACTCGAGTCTCGATGCTAAGGTGGTAGATACCTCGTTCACTAGCACGGATCTAAGCTCACTTAAGGCATTGTACGATGACTCCGACGAGGCGAAACCTAACTCCAGAGAGTTAGTTAAGACGGAAGTCAATACACCGAAATCCAGTCATAGATCACAAGCATGGCTTTCCGCTACTTCTAAGCAGCTCAAAATTGCATTAATAACTATCTTCAGGCATCTCCTCATAAAAAGGAGTGTACGAGACAAGATAGTTACGAATCTCATCCTTCGGGAGTCTCTATTTGCATTCTTGAAAGAAGTCACCAGTCAATGTTTCCGGTCGCTCTTCTCAGATATAATTCTCACATTCACCGACATCACTTCGCTACTTATTTTCAGTACCCTTGAACTGAACCCCGGTGATTCTGATGAGCTTTACGACAAGGGCACAAGCATCTTCCTTGCCCATGATCGCGATAACCTCAACATTTTACGCAGAGCATTAGATCAAAAGGCTGATGATCTTGTCTCAAACCAATTGTCACGAATCTTCATCTCTACAGATGACGAGAAGGTGCACCTCACCCTTGTCGCAATAAGATTCCACCTTCATTTAATAGACAAGATTGTTGACGACCTCGCATCGAATAATTCAATGGAGCTCAAGGAGCTTGCTGTTCTGCAAATTTATGATGGCGTGATAAACCGTGTTCTACATTCGGATGGGAAGAAACGCAAGAAAGACTCAAACAGAGAGCATAGTTTGGAGTCAGTTGACGATGACAACTCAATGGATTCCGTTGTTCTTCCGCTGCACATCAACGCCAAAAGCATCACAAAGATCAGAAAAGATACCACTCAAGTTTCGAAGCCCAATAAAGCAAGTTTGAGTCAGCTCACTAGAGAATTCAATTTCTCAAGTGATGGTCTCGTGAAAGATTTGGAATCTCTGTTTTTTTCAACCTCATTTACTCCCGCAATTGAAAAGGCCTTGCAGTCATTCATCCAGTATGTTGGTGAGTCAGCAAGCAGTATCGCTCCTATAATTGAGCATTTGTCTATGGAGCTGAGCAGATCAAGCGACGCCCTTCTACGCAAGGGAGTTTTCTTGTGGGCGAGTAACACGTTAGTGCTGTCATTTGAGAGAAAACATAAACAGGCCAGTATGAGCGACTTGGTTACTTTTTACGATGACGAACCCCAGGATGACTCTGTAGAAGAGTCGCTTTACTTGATGCTTGAAAATGCAAAAGCAGTATTCAATGATATGGAAGTGATCAAGCAACAAGAAGACTCTCATGATTTGGTCCAATCAACTAATGAAGCCAACTTCTCGATAGCCATCAAGTCCTTGGGTATCTTATCAACGTCTTTCTCGAAGCAGGATTTTGAGACAGATGTATTGATGGACAACCTATATTTATTACTCGAGGCAATGACACACAGGTCAGATAGTATGGTCAATCAGATGGCTAGAAGTGTTTTGAGCTCAATCGCTGAACGTTACTATGAGGGAAGTCTACAGAGGCTTGTCGAGGCTAATGCTGATTATTTGATCGATACATTGAGTTTGAAGTTAACTATGAACAGTGGCTTGACACCATCCCTCCCGGGTATCTTACTTGTTGTCCTCAAAATCTCCGGTGTCGAATTGGTGAAATCTAACCAACTCAGAGACATATTGAGTGAGATATTCATCGTCATCGATACCTTCCATGGCTATTCTGTCCTTGTGGAAAATTTCTTCATGGTATTTGAAGAGGTAATTGCATTGATAAAGAGCATATACTTGAGTGAATTGCTTGATTCAAACAAATTGAAGTCAACAGAAGCTCATGCGCCATTTAAACCGTGGGGAATCACAAATCATGACCAATTCATCGATCTCCTAGATGAAAAGAATAGACAGGGGGATCCTTTTTCAGACTATGATCCCGAAAAAGAGTATTTTAAAAGGAAACCCGGTGTTCCTTTTGGAGATCAGGACTCTGATGATGACAGCGATGATGAAGAAGAACCGGTAGAGCAACCACAGCCCTGGCCCTCACCTATTCCTGAAGATACCTACAATCTTGTCCTTCAAGTTTTCAAGTACGGCTTGCAACTACTCACTCATCCGTCTATAAAGCTTAGATTGACAATATTTAAGACCTTGGAAAATGCTTATCTCATGGTAGCATCCAATTATGAGAGACTCATGCCCGTATTGGCGGAAAGTTGGCCTGTCTTGATGTCTCTTGTCTCGGGAACAAAAACGGTCTCGGATTGGGAAAGTGCAAACTTCGAACATTCGCAACTTACGGGTCCAGCAATTCACTTTGCCACAACGATTTTTGCCGAGGATGCGAAGCATCAAGCATTCATGAGCCGAAGATTTCTTGATCTCTGGGACTTTCTCAAAAAGCATAACCTGATGTTCACATTAGACCTGAAAGTAAGTGAGTCTAAAGCCGTCGTTTCAGGGTCTGTGGCACCCTCTGTGAGGAAAGCTTACGTGGAATTATTTGTCACGGCCCTCAATAACTATGAGAGACAGATCCCTCACCAGACAGCGCTAGATATTGCCCGCGTGTGCACAAGATTGGGTTTGGATGAAACGCAGTTCCATCTCAGCAGGGACCTCAGAAGTGCATTGTGGGTCATTAAACATTATTCATAGCATCAACCATCATTTCCAGCCGCATCATCGGTACTCATCAAATCGTGTATCACAGCCTTTTTTATCGTAGGTTTCTTAGCTGGTTCGAACGATAACGTTTGTTGGCCCTTAGGCAAGACATGAACAGGGTTCTTTACAGGTTCTTCAACAACCTGCTGAGGACTCTGTGGGTTTTCAGGGTTTGCAGCGTCTGCGTATTTCTTTTGATCTTCATCCAGCAAATTAATCTTTCTTTCCTTTATTGCCTGGCCCACAGGTTGGGTCTTAGGCACTGTATCACTTAAGAAGTGCAATGCGTCTTGCGTGGAAACGACAGCGCTCAAATCCTTGTATTGTATCTTCTTCCTCTTCTCCATTCTTGCGATCATAGCAGCGTGTTCCATGAAGTATTGAACAAAGAGCTCTGTAGCAGCTCCAGTAGCAAAAACAGCACCCTGGGAGGCCGAAAAATAATCAGGATCCATTTTGAAAATCTTTTTGATTTTTGAGAGAGGTAATGACATGACGGCCTCGTCAACAGCCATAGCCTCGTCATCGTTATCCTCTGCTTCTTGATCGTGATTTTCATGAGTAGACTCAGACATTGTGACGTCTTCAGTAGCTACCGAAGCACGAGAAGCATCTGGTGCAGGAGACGACTCCAGAGGGAATGGCGATGTGGCAGGAGTCTCTGACATTGCTTTCTGAGAACTAGTCAATGAGGAAGACATGGTAAATCCTGGAGGTGCTGAAGCGCGTCTATACTGGATCAAGTGGTGTACGGGTGTGTTATACCAGAAGTACCTAAATCCAATAATTCATGCTATTTAGCCCACTGCGAGGCTCTATAATCTACAATTCTGATTCTTCATGGCACTGGGCCCTTTCATTATTCGTGACATGGCGCTATATACAGATTTTGATGCATCTTCTATGATATGAAGGTGAATGGTTTAGTCCTTCACGATGACAGAGTCCTTCTCTGCCTCCGCTTGGGCCTGCTGCGGGTTCACGAACTCTTCCAAGTAGTTGCTCTTCTCCAAGTCCACGTCGTTGTAGTTCTCGCCATATTCTATGAAGTCTTTGATGTTGTTCCACGCAAGCTCAGGGCTTTTGAAGCTATCGCTGTAGCCTGGGGTCTTTTGCATGATTTGAGGAACGTCGACTGAAACGAATGGTTTGAGGTCGGTGGTAGCCAAGTCACTTGGCACAACGTATGTTCTGACCTTGTCCCAGTTGACCATGTACTTTCCGTGCTTGGTCAAACTACCAATACCGGAGGAACGAGTACCTTTGTAGAAGTTCTTGTTACCCAGCTTGGTGTAAAGAGGGTGACGCTTGGAGCCCGACTTGGTGTAACCGTACCATATCTGACCATCTCTGTAAGTTTGGGTGGGTCTTCTCAAAGAGGCAACCGTGGACTGTTGGAACCTGAGGACAGTAGAAGCCTTCATTTCAAAGCTTTATATAAGGTGTGAAGAGGAGCAGGGGCGGCCGTTTGAGGTTAAACTCGTGCTGTCTTGGTTAAGCAGTATAAAAATTTTGTCAGTAAAAGAGTATCATGGTGCACGGATGTATCAGCTTTGCGAAGCTTTGGTTTGTGAGGCCTTGAGATTCTCGTAAAAAGTGCGAATCTTCCGGAGACTTGTAGAACCTCAAGAGCGAGTGTAATACGAATGGAAATCAAAAAATAAATCATTGAAGAAAATTGAAAAAGCGAGATGGTGTCTGTTGACTCTTCAGACTACAAAGGTCAATTTTCTTGGCCAATTGATCCTCATGACTGGTTTCAAGAGGAAACGTCTGCTGCATGACGATTTCGCAGCCATTTTGGAAGGTCCAAATGAAGCACCCATTTATTATGCTGAAGCCTGCCCCAAAAGCAGAAAGTCTAGTAAACCGTCACGTAATCTTGATTCCAAAGAGTAAGTCCAGTCAATTTCCAGCTCTTTCATGACCTCGAGGTCATTCATTCCCTCCCCAGTAGCAGAACAAGCCCAGCTTCTGAACATAAATAGAGGTGGTTCCCGCCAGTTTTTGTTTTCTTCTTCATCTACTTGACCACCACAGTTCTGAACCAGCGTTTAGGACATTTTACTTTATCAGTTTTCAGCACCACCACAAAGAAAAGCAACAACCAGCGCACCAACTAACAATGTGTTTCGAAAGATGTAAAAGCGTTTGCAGAATCCTCTTCCCCAAGGACGTCAGAGAAATTTTTTTGGAAGAGGATACTGGAATCATGCGGACTAACCACGAATACTCAGTGGTTCAGCTTACCTGGCAGGAGGGTGAGATTGAATATTTCATCTACCTCAGAAACCAGGCCTTTACCGACATTTTTGCTTATCAACAAGCCCAGGCTTTTTATGAGCACAAGCTTCAGCAATTTGAGCGTAATCACTTGAACGGGCATTGGCTTCGCAACCACCGGAGAATGGCACAGCAAGACACCCGTTTGATGGATATTTACCGTCAGAAGAGAGAGAAGAGAAAGCAGGCTTCTGAGCCCAAGCCAGAAATTCAAGAGCCTGTTGCTCCTAAAGTTGCCGAAAAGAAGCAAATTCCCGAAGTCATCGTGACTTCCAACGATGTGGGTACTTCGAAGGCCTCGACTCCAGTCGAGCCTACTGTCACCGAATGCCCACCACAACCACCTTCCCCCAAGGCTGAATCAGCCAATGACAAGCCCTCTGTACCTTCTCCCACAGAGCAGCCTTCCCCAGTTATTTCTCAGAGTGTCCCCGCCGAGACTCTTGAGACAGTCGCAGTTTCCACAAAGACAAATGTGGAAGCTGCAACCAAGGAAGCCCCTCGCCCTCAACCTTCCCAGGCTCGGGTTTCCAAGGACAAGAAGAAGAAGCGTTCTAAGGCTGCGAAAAAAGAAGAAAGGGCAGCCAAGAAAGCAGAAAAGGCAGCCAAGAAGAAGCTGAAATCTTCCAAGTCCCCCTTGCCTCCAGCGCCCGAGCAGTTTAGACGTCGTTACTGGAACGTCAAGCAGCTCGAGGTCCCTGACCACTACTTGCCAAACTACAGCGACAAGTGGTCAACGGTGCTCATTCAAGTGGAAGAGGATGAGCCCGAGCAGGACGCTGGAGAGGATGTTTTCGAGTTTCGGGAGAACGACGAGGTTGTGGAGCCTGTTCACGAGGTTCCAGAGCCTAAGCACGATGTCCCAGAGCCCGAACCTGTTCCAGAGCAGGAGCATGTCCCAGAACCTGAGCATGTTTCAGAGCCTGAACAGCCCGAGCAGCATGAAGAGAAGGTTTTGGTACCTGAAACCGCGGTACCAGAACCTGAAACAGAGTTGCCCGAACCTGAAACCAAGGTTGTGGAACACAACTCCAAGTTGCCTGAGCCCGAAACCAAGTCGCTGAAGCCCACCAGCGACTACTGGCTTGGCGACTTCCCCTTCTTCATGCTGACCTTGGCCAGAAAGCAGTATGTCACCTACCTTCCTAGAGACTTCTTCAAGGCTCTGGAGGTATTCTACCCAAAGGAGAATATCTCCTTCTTACCTGGTGACTTTTCTGGCTTCAAGGCCCTCACCTTCCCCAAGGAGAATATTTCCTTCTTACCTGGTGACTTTGCTGGCTTTAAAGCTCTCACCTTCCCAAAGGAGACTGACTCCTTCTTACCTGGTGACTTTTCTGGCTTCAAGGCCCTCACCTTCCCCAAGGAGAATATTTCCTTCTTACCTGGTGACTTTGCTGGCTTTAAAGCTCTCACCTTCCCAAAGGAGACTGACTCCTTC